CCCCCCCCCCCCCCCCCCCCCCCCCCCCCCCCCCCCCCCCGACTCTCTTTGCAACCTCTTTGCTTGCTCATTGCGTGGTTTGCACCATCCTCCCAGGTCACTTCTATTGCTCACTTCACTTCCCTGACACCCTTAGCATGGAGCTGCCCCTGTGTGAGCCACCAGTGCTGCTCCCAAACAAGCCTTCCATGCTACCTGATGGGGTAAGTGGCCATGAATAGGGTCAAATAGCGGGAGGGAATGTTTGGGTATAGCCTCACACTCATCACTCCTCCGCTACCCCTGCGGGTCTAGGATGCTGTCACTGACCATGTGCTCTCAGATGCTGGGAGCCCCTGTGCATCCCCTGAGCAGGAGGAGTCCGGACCCCCACCCACTTCCCCACAGCCACCTGGGGAGCTCAAGGTAGAGGAGGGTGTGGGCACTGGTGAAATGAAGGATAGTACGGGCACTGGTGAGATAGTGGAGCAGGAGCTGCTGCCTTTGGGGATGGAGGATACAATGGAGGAGGATGAGAAGAGCGAAGGTCCCAGCACAGAGCCTCAGAAGGCAGTGGAGGATTCCGAAGAGAGTGGTGGCAGGAGGAAGATAATCCTCTCAGACCTGGAGAAGCTCCATCTCTCCTCCCTGAGCCTCATGGGTGACACAGAGGCTGAGCCTCCCCCCAAGCCAGCACGGCTGCGGCTGCAGGCACCACTTGAGGCCATGCTAGGAGTGCAGGCACAGGTGGCCTGGGAGGAGGAGGAGAAGGAGGAAGAAGCAGCAGCCATGGAGGAAGGTGGGTGGCTGCTGAGCTGGGCTGAGGGTCCCTCTTGGGCCCCATTGTGCCTCAACTGTTCTGTGCTTTGGGGGAACACAGATCTGGAAGAAAGCAACAGTGAGGAAGAGGAGGAGGAAGAAGGCTCAGACCTGGGCATCGTGGGAGAGTTGGTATGTTCAGGCAGCAGCAAACCCACTGGTCCCACACTGTCCCACACCAAGGCATCAGGTGTGGCTCTAATGGCCTCACCCTCCCCATGTGCCTGCATAGAACCTGATAGTGGAGGGCACAGAGAAGTACCCCGTCTGGAAACGCACACTGGACCGCCGTGCACGGGAAGCACAGATGAAGCGGTTCTGCAAAGCCCAGGTAGGGAGCCCTGCTGTGGAGGCCAGTTCCCATCCCTGTCCTTACCTCATGCACTGGGATGCACTGGCCACCTGCTACCCCTCCACACCCCACAGGCCATCCAGCGACGGCTGGAGGAGATCGAGGTGACATTCCGAGAGCTGGAGCAGCAGGGTATCAAGCTGGAGAAGTTCCTTCGGGAGGACAGTGGTGAGGATTTGGTATGTGGGGCTTCTCAGTGCCCAAGGAAGAGACTGACATCACTCACCCTGCCCTGCCTCACAGACAGCCCAGCTGACCAGAAGACGCAGTGGATGAACCAGTTGCTGTACCTGGTGCAGAAGAAGAACAGCCTGATGTTGGAGGAGTCGGACCTCATGATCACGTAGATCTGGGGATTAGGCTGCATGGGCTCCTCCCCGCAGGTCCCTGGCCCCATGCTCACTTCTCTCCATTTCTGCCCCGCAGGGTGCAGGAGCTGAAGCTGGAGGAGCAGCAGTGGCAGCTGGACCGGGAGCTGCGTTGGTACATAGAGAAAGAAGGTAAGCGTCTGTGCATACTGGGGGCAGCGGCTGTGTGTGGTGGGGACCCCCAGCCATGCTGCGGCCCCTGCTACTCCCACAGAAGCCCTGAAGACCCCTGAGGATCATGCAGCTGAGCAACAGATCCTGGCTCAGCTGCTGAAGGTGGTGGACAAGCGCAACGCACTCATCCACATGCAGGAGGAGAAGCGGCTCAGTGAGCTACATCCCTGAAGGATTCTCATGGCGGGAGAGGTTCTAGCAGTGCCCCTCCCTAGGCTAAGCATCACCCCAAGCTGCTTTGCAGGCAGCTGCCATGGTGAAGCTGGCTCCCCACTTGCTATGGAGGGGGTGACAGCAAGGAACATCCCCGTTCGGCAGCACAGAAGAAGTGCCTCTCACATCCAGCTTAATTTTGCCTTGGCCTTGTGCTTGCTTGAAAATGAGATTTGCAGGGCACATGAAATACATGGGCTGCATGGCTCTGCCCAGTATTTGCCAGAGGAGGAAAAATCCCCATAGGGGAACTGGAGTCTCTCTCGCTGCAAGAGATCCCACAGCTGTGTCCCCTTCCAGGCACATGCTGCCACAAGGCAGAACTGGCGGCATCGAAAGCTTTTGGTCCTGCAAAACCCCTCGTGCTCAAGCTGCTCCACTGCCTTCCTCAGGACAGCGCTTCAGTCCCAGTGTGTGACAGCTCCATGCCCACCAGACCCCAAGGGCCCATGGCCACCATGGGCAGGTGGCAGCTTCATGCCAGATGTGGTGGGGCAGCAGCAGGAGCAGCGCCTGGAAGCCACTCTGGGACATCCATCCCAATCAAGAACATCCATCCCAGCTGGGGACACCCATCCTAATCAAGGACATCCATACCAGATGGGAACATCCACCCCAACCCCTGACATCTGGCTCTGCAAATGGGGCCACCAATGGCCAGACTAGACTGAGCCCATAGCCCTGTATCACCACTTTTGGGTGCCAACTCCATACTGTCCCCATCCACCACAGGATACAAGGATCAGAAACTCTTGTGCAATGTGATGTGGGATGACGATGTTTCCCCAGCAGCTCTCCTAGTGGATTTTGCCCAGAGCTGGCGCTATCTGTGACACAGAACAAAGGGCACATCCTCCTTGGCCCTTTTGGGCTTCTCCAATTTCAGTGCCTTTGCATGGACCTTTAAAGGGTTTCCATTTGCTGCAGAGCTGTTCTCCACAGTGATGTGGTGCTTACAGTATGGGAGTTCTGGGTGTGGGATGCTCTGCACCTCCCACTCTGCTGCAATCCCTGCCTTGGAATAAAAACTCCTTGACATGGCACAAAGGGTTAAAACACCTCTTTTATTTTCTTCAGCTAAAAAAGGGGTCAGGATGGGGCCGGGTCAGTGGCAGGGGAGAGGCTGTTCCTGCAGCCCCCGCATCGCCATCTCCATCTGCTCCTTGGTGCCCTGCAGCATCTTCACCTCGATGCTGTGGAAGAGGTGGAGGCCAGCAGCAAGGAGGAAGGTAGCAAGGGCAAGGAAGGCCAGCAGGGAGAAGGAAAGAATAGGGAAGGGCTTCCCAGCCGCCAGCCCTCCCAGCACACCCAGCACTCCCACCGCCTGTAGCAGCAGCAGCAGCATGGCCAGCACTGCCATCCTGCCCGAGGAATAACGCTGCCGCCGTGCTGTCAGCAGCCCCATGCACACCTCCGTCCGTGCCTCACTCAGCACCTCCACCAATGCTGGCACTGTGGGAACAGGGGCTTGGGGGTGACACCCATCCACACCCATTTGGTCCCCATCCAGCATATTTCTGTCAGCTCCCTTCTAAGGGGTGCCCCATAATATCCTCCCCATTTCAAAGCCAGTGGTCAGCAGTATCCCCAGTGCATGCAGGACCCCACTGGCTTCCTCAGACTGGTTCCTCAAGGGAACCTCACTGGTGTCCCCAAATCTTACTGGCTGTGCCAATGGTGACACCCGCTGTCTGTCCCCTCCTTTGGATGCACAGCACTGCCATCACAGCCTCATGGTCTGAGTAAGGGATGTCCATTCCTGGGACTGTTCCCATGGTGGTTCTCAGCTCTTCACACTTCACTGTGAAGCTGGAAATAGCCTGGGAGATGGGGCAGTGGGGTCACTGGCTGTCCTCTGCCTCATGTGCAGCATGGAGGGACCCTGTCACCTTGTAGAGGATGTAGTCGATGCGGATGCCCAATGGGAAGGGCTGTAGCTCCGACTTGACAGCGAAGCAATTATTTGGAATGAGAGTGCAGCCATCCTCACAGCCCTGGGAACAAGAGCCCTGTGCCATACACTGGGCAAGGATGGGCACACGGCCAGGGGGTGTGCTTGCTGAGCCACCACTCACCTCAAAGTGCTTGGCCTCGGTGAAGGCATCCTGCAGTCCCGTCCAGCCACGCAGAAGCCGGATGCCCACGTCTCCAGGGTGCATGTTGAGGTCTCCCCCCAGCAGCACTACATCAGCTGCCTTCGCCGTGTGGCTGCAGGGACAGGACTGACTCAGCCCTCTGGTTCAGCCCTGGGGGAGGGGGCACCCCGTGGTGCACCCCTCCCATAGTCCTGGCTGCAAGCTGTGAGCACTCACCAAATGAACTGTGCCAGTTCCCAGGCTTGCACCACGCGGTGGGGCAGGTAGGCGTCCTTCTCCCGGCTGTACTCAGCATGCAGCTGGAAAAGCAGGGGACAAAGCAGCCATGATTTCCTCCCTGCAGCACCTATCGCGCTCCACAGCTCCTTGCAATGCTTTGGTCCCATGGCTCTGCCTTCATTCTACTGACAGCTTGGGACCTTCACTCCACTGTGCTGCCCAGCTGGGGTCACTGTCCCCCCACACTATGCAGTATTGAATCACTGCATTTTAGCAGTGTCCCCAGAGAGGGGACAGCAAAGGAGGGGTGCAGCCACCTGTCTCCCTCAGGTACTCACATGGGTGACATAGATGTTGAAGGTGATCTCGGCAATCCTGACAACGACGAGGCCCACAGACTTGCCGCAGAACCAGTCTCCATGGTGCAGCTGCCAAAGGGGAAGGGGGAAGGCAGAGCCTTGCACAGCTCAGCAGCACCCTGTGGATGCCATGTGCCCTACCCACCCCACTCACCATATAGGGGTATCCATTGAGCGAGTACTGGTAGAGCAGTGTGTCCAGGATGGGGAACTTGGAGAAGACGCAGAGGCCGCTGCCGATGACACCACTGTAGGGGGGCACAGTGAACAACCACCTCCCTCCCTCTAGGGAATATCCCAGCCCTTCTCACCTTCGGAAATAATGGGAGAAGGGGCAGCAAACACCCAGCTTTGCCTTCAGGTCACTGTAGTCACGCTCACTCCATATCTGCAGGACAATGCGATAGGCTGAGACTGGGTGTGCTCAGCATGTGGGCTGGGACTGGCACGATCAGTTCATGAGTGAGCTCACCTCCTGCAGCAGGACAAGGTCGAAGCCCTCCTGGCACAGCCGGTCTCCAATGAGGTGGATGCGCTCCTGCCGCCGCTTGCTCAGGTAACGGATGGCCCTAAGCCATGGAGAGGAGCTGAGGATAAGGGCTCATGGGGACACAAATTGGGGAAGAGGGTATGGGGCAGGTTGCAACTCAGGTGGGGGGAGATGGGATGATAGGGTCGTGGGGCAATAGGGATGTGCAGGGGAGGCTCTTTGAGGATGGCTTTTCCCACCTCCAAGGTGAAGCAGCGCATCCCCATTTGGGGGGCACATGGAGGGCTCTTTCCACACGGGAGAATGGGGAGCACAGGGGAACAGACAAGGAGTAGGACAAAGCCCAGCTGAGTGCCCTGCCCTCTGGGCTGTGAAAATAGTATGATCCAACAGCCAAGCAGGCATGAAGGTGGTGCTCCTAGGGCAGATGTCTTCATACTCACAGCCTCACCAGGCTCAGCACTTACCAGCAGTTGAGGTCAAAGACACGGAGCCGCAGTGCAGGGTCCTTCTCCATTGCCCAGCAGCAGCACACTGGAGGGTCCTGCAGCAAGCAGCTTTGGGGTGACAGAGCCACACAGAGGGCACAATGCTCAGCCTGCCACCTGCTCTCCCTCCCTCTCCCCCTGAACCTCAAATTGCCCCAAAATAGGGAGCCAACTGCCCAAACCTGCTCTGTGCTGATGGGGACAGGGAGGGCGCTGAAAGGGGTGGGGGCAGGGATGGGGCACCTCCCTATACTGAGTTGTGCTCACTGGATAGACTTTAACCACAGTGCTACAGCACGGCCCCAAGCATGAGAACAGTTATGGAGAGCTATGGGGAACGGACCCTGACCCGAGCCAAACTCCACCGTCCCACTGCGCGTCACACAAAGGAGTTTTAAAAACTGGAAAAAGAAAAAATAAAAGAGCCATGTGCACGTTCCCCGCCGCCGCGCTGGGCGCCTGAACCGGCCCAGAGCTCCCATTCGAGCTCTCACCGAACTCTCAGCCCGGGCCGATGCCACTCGGCGGGCGGCGAAATCGGGACGAGGAGCAACAGGTGGGAGCGGAGCAGAGCGCGGTGCCGGAGCGCGGCGCAAAATCATGAGCGCACCTGGTGCGTGTGTGCCGGTCCAGCTGCGGTCCGATTGCGGTGCCGTGCCGGTTGAGGTCGGGTTGCAGTGTCGTGCCGGGGGACTACAAGTCCCGGCAGTCAGCAGTGCGGAACGGGAAGGGGAAGGCAGCAGGGAGCGGCCCCGGGAGGGCGGCGCGTAGCGACTAGGGGGAGGGCGGCAGTGCGTGGAGTCAGTGGAGTCGCGGAGTCCCCCGGCGGTGCGTGGTGCGCCGCTGCAGACTGCCTTCGGGTGGTGCTGCCCCGCTGCTCCCTGCAGCCCGCTACTCTTTTTGTTCCAGCGTGCAAGCTGAGCTGGGTGAAGTAGAAATAAGTATCTCGGGTGCCGTCATGCCACGCTGGACAGTTTGGCTTACAGAAAGAGGAAATATGGCCAGTGTTAGAACACGGCCTCTGTGTCGCCTTGCGATGGGAGAAGATCGGGTGTTAAGTAGCCACGGGAGTGAAAGCAAAGCTGTAAGGAGCGATTGTTATTGACAGCACACACTCAGACCTCCAATGCCTGATGCTGGCACAAGCAGTCTGCAATCCCCTAAATATGGGTCAGTGAACCCAGCAATGCTGCAGGGCTTCTCCCTCCAGCCTGGGAGACAGGGCAGGGAGAGAGTGGGAACAGGGCAAGGCCAACCCTGTGAACCCATTACCAACCTAGGCAACACTACAAACCCGTTATCAACCCTGTAAACCCATACAATTCTACAAACCTATCACCACTCATTCAACCCTACAAAACACAGTAACCCACTGCAGGATGCATTCCAGCGCTGGGTTAATTGCAGAAGTGTAACCCAACCATAGCTGGCCCCATAGACCCCACTGTCACAACAAACACCAAAGGAACGACAGAACTATTTGAGCCAACACAAGAACAAATAATTTTAATGGTTTTTCAGCAGACCGTACTTTTCTCGGAGCTCCACAGTCTCCTCTCTTTGAAGTTGGACAGATACAGTAAACACAACAAATACATGATACAACCCATCACAGCTGGATTAAAAAAATACACAAAAAATATAATACATAAAAAAAATTATTATTTTTAACATTGTGGACTGACACAGCTCTAAAAATGGTGATTGTAACCCTGGTAAAGCTTTACAAAGTCTTTAAAAAAATAAAACAGTACTTCATGTGAAATTCATAAATACATTGGAGGAGAACAGAGGGGCTATGGGGAGGGCAAGGAGGATCTCTGAGGCCGTGGCTGAGTCTTAGCTGGGGCAGGAGGGAGGGATGGAGGGATAGAGAGAAGGAGGGATGGATGGAGAAAGGGAGGGATGGATGGAGAGGTAGATGGAGGGATGGAGGGAGGGATGGAAGGAGCACAAAGCGGTCCAGTTAACGAAGAGCTCCATGTGATGGTGGGAGGTTTGAACTTGGATTCCCAGAGTTTAAATCAGTGAGCGAAAAAAAAAAAAAAAAAAAAAAAAAAAAAAAAAACCAGCACAACCACAAATAACAAATGAACATGCTACATATGAGAGCCTGGGACGGGGGGGCTGAGGCTGTCCCTGTGATTTTCCCCTTTCTCCCTTTGACCCGGCACTGGAGTGGCTCTGCTGGGATGGAGCCCCAACACATGGCATCAGCAAAGGGCATTTCCTGAGCTCTGCGCTGCCCCTGCACACCCAGCATCCCATCACCAATCCCCAGCTCCATCATCCCAAAACACTCTGCACTGCACCTCCCACTGCCTTCAGTCTTCCTCCAGGCGGACAAAGTGTTTCTCCTGCCCCCTGCTCCATGTCACCCTGCACAACCCTCCTGGGGATGCTCTCCCTTGCAACCTGCAGGACTGGACAGGGTACATTGGGTTACTGTGGGCTGTAGCCCCATATTCCCTCTGAGCAGAGCCAGTCTTGCATCCCACATATCCTCTGTCCCCTCTCGGTCCCCTCTCTATCCCCTCCTCTTCCCATTCACAGCTCAGCTCCATGATCCTCCGGACTCAGCTGCTTCCCACTGAGAAAAAGCCAATATCAGAACTGTAAAAACAGAAAAACAGGCCAAAAAAAGATGGAAAATGTACATATGCAAAATAAATCAAGCAAACCCACTGCACCATGGCAAATTGCACCGAGGGGTGCTGGGGCTGGAGAAAAGCCTGAATGCAATTCCTGGAGTATGCACAAACACCACAGCAATGTGATGACCACAAGCCCCATGGTAAGCTCTGGCCACAGGCACCAGAGGTGACAGCAGGGAGTCCTGGGCACTGTGGAGTGGCACAGGATGGAAAAAGCTCAATTCTGTGCACAGTATTAAAAAGCACTTTTCAATTAAAAAAAAAAAAAAAAAAAAAAAAGCCATTAAACAATGCTTTGCATCTCCCGCTCCCAATACTGCCAGGACAGGATGAGGAACACTCATCCTCATCAAGGCACAATGCAACTTTCTCCTGTTCATTTCTCCTGCTTAAGGCCACCACCCCTGCCCTGCTCCCATCTGATCCCACCTCTGCCCTGGGCTCCATGTCCTCACCACCACTCCCAGTGCCGGGTTACACCACTGTTCAAGGGTTATCACCATGGACCCAGTGACACCACGCGGGGACCTGAACAGGGAGGCAAAAGCAGCACCATCCACCGCTCCAACATCCTGCACGGTCCTGGCTCATCGGCACCACTGCATTCCCCATCCAGTGCTGGACACGGGCTCTTCTCCTTCCTCCCTACATTTCCATTCTCATTCTCATTCTTCTTCTTCTTCTTCTTTTTTTTTTTTTTAATATATATATTTATTTAAAAACTGTTCCTAAAGTAGAAAACATCTGCAATCACAAGTCAGTCTTTTTTGGCTATTGCTTTTCTTCTTATTCCTCCTCCTCCTCCTCTTCCTCCTCCTCCTCCTCTCTTCCAATGACTCCCAGTGGGGCTGGGGGGCACAACAGGCGGCGCTTCTGCACAACCCTCCCCACGTCCCTGTGTTCCTCAAGCCCCTGCCTGTCCCAAGGGCCCCTAGTCCTTCACCAATTTGTAGACATGATGCTGGGCGCCGTGCTCACTGGTGGACACCTCAAACACGAAGGCGATGCAGAGCAGGGTTTCCTGGGTATCCCTGTTGGTAACAACCTGTGGGGAAGCAGAGGGGCATCAGTAAGTGTACTGGGGGTGGATGCTGTTATTGGGGGTGTTGTGTGGGCTCAGGCATGGCAGCTTTATGTGCACTCATTTTGCTATCTGCTATTTGGGGGTTTGTGCAGAATCAGAGACAGCTGCACTAATCTGCACCACCAAAACTCTGTCCCCCTCATTGTTTAGGGAGTGAGTGCATGGGCTTGGGCACAGCCATTCCATTTTCACCATCAGAGTGTGCTCCCTGCAGTGGGTATGGGTTGGGGATGGATGCACTGCTGCTTTCAGTGTGCCACCCCACGCTTGATAATCACCATCCAGTAGGCTGCATGCACTTGGGCACAGCTGCTTTATTTGTGGCACCACCACTTGGTGTCCATAACTGGGGCAGTTCGCAAGGCCCCTTGCAGCAATCCATAGCCAATATGACGTCCCACCATTTGATCCATGCACAAAGCTCTGGGAAGGGTGAATACCTGCAGGATGGTGAAATTCTCCAGGACGCTGTTCATCATGTACTTCTCCGGGAGATGCTTGAGTTTGTGGATGAAATTGATCATGTATTCGCACATGGGGGAGCGGTGGATGCGGTAGACAAAGCGGCTGTTCTCCAACCGCGCGTACTCTGTCTGCAATGACAGCCAGGCATCAGCGGGAGGGTGACACAATAATGGGGAATGCATGTGGCAGCCAACAGGGACACCGTGGAATAACCACAGCCTGTGCCCACACGCCCTACATTCACTTCTGGGGTTTTATCCATCCCACACTGTCCCAGGACTCGAAGCATGGACGCCATTCCCAAATACTCCCAACACCGCACAGCACTCACCTCCACCTTCTCCACAACCTGCTTCCCAAAGGAGCACACCTTGGTGGACACTGTGATGGTCATGTTCTCTGCACTGCTGTACTGACTGCTGACACCATAGAAAGTCCCTGGCCCATCCTGGATTGTGCTGTTCAGATCAGCCTGAAGAGAAAAGAGAGGGATGCTGTCATGAGCCACTGTGTTCTTGGGAAACAGGACACTAAGATGGGTTATACAGAAAATCTGTGGGTGCCCCATCCCATGCCACGCATGGGGTCCTGGGCAGCCTGATCTGCTGGGGGGTACCCAGCCCACAGCAGGGGTGCAGCTGGGGGGGGGGGGCTAAGATCCCTTCCAACCCAACCACTCTATGGTCCTATGACCTTTAATGTCCCTCCCAACCCAACCACTCCATGGTTCTAGGATCTTTAAGGACCCTTCCAGCGCAACCACTCCATGATTCTATGATCTTTAAGGGATGGAGGTCAATCCTCCCAGTCTCATACCCAAAACTTGACGAGGAAGAAGGAGTTCTGGGGCCCACGCTCATAGAGCTCCTTGAGGCCACCCTTCTTCTCAGGGAACTTGTCGTAGATCTGGCGGATGTCTACAGCCTCCAGCAGTGGGTCACTATATGAGGGGTTCGTCTGCCCAATGTGCACGAAGAGGTGTTTGCTATACTGTAAGGGCAAATGGGGTCAAAACAAGGTGGAGGTCAGCTGAAAAAGCTGGGTGACACTGAGGGTGAGGGTGGCCAGGTGTCTAGGGGATGGGGAAGGCGGTGTTACCGTTTCGGCATCCCGTGGCACCTCCATGAAGGCAGAGTACTCAAGGAGCCGCAGCTTGGCAGAGGCGATGGTGCGGTCCTGCCAGACCGGCACAGCTGAGGCAGCTGGTGGCAGCGGGGCCAAGGGTTCATAACCTGGGGGGGGACACGGGGCAGTGTCAACTGTTGTGAGCCCCTCTTGTACCACCAGGATGTTGCTTGCCTTGGTGTGCTCCCCCTGTCCCTCCCGAACCTTCTAGGACGGGCATTTTGCTGTGGGGTGGAAAATTTGCACCCTATCCCAAAAGGGGAAAGTAGAGACCTGCTGACTATGGGGTTTGGAGCTGGGTTTAAACCCAAGTTTTCACCTCAGGAGGCTGGGAGAGGTACCTTGGATGGGTGACATTGCTATATAGTATAAGGACAAAAAGCATAGGGACAAAAAGCTGTGAGCGTGCCCCAGGGTGGCTGGCAACATCGGGTGGCACCATGGAGGGGACAGAAAGCTGCATCCCCAGCACAGTTGTGAGGTACCAAGTGATACCCCCAGGAAGGACAGCACTTACTGGCTAGTGATGGAGGCATGGGTGGCTGGATGGGGTAAGCTGGTTGTGCAAATGGTTTAATGCTGAAAAACAAAAAGTGCCTTGTTAGGTTAACAGGGTTGGGTCCCATGGTGGGGCTGGTTGACATGAGGGCTTGCACTTACTCCTGAGAGGGTCCAGGCTGCCCTGGGATTGGCCCACTCCAAAACTGGGGAAGAGTAGAGAGAACACAGTCAGCACCCCTTGACCCCCCAGACCCATCAGCAGCTTCCAGAGTGCCCCTTCCACAATGCAGCCAAGAGGCTGTGACTCCCCCAGGTCCATGTATGGGTTCTTTCCCCCCACCCCAAGTATGGGGACTATGGGCACAGAGCCATCCTCACCCTGGGGGCAGCAGAGAAGACGGCCTGAGGAAGAGGAGGGGGGGGGCTGAGCTTGTTCTGTAGGACGCTGGCCGACACAATCTGAGCGGAGGACATGGACGCCATGCTCTGCAGAGCCTTGTCTTTGGAGACTTGGTCCTTGGGGGAGTAAAGAGAGGAAATGGGCATTATGCAGGGCTTTGGGTGGGCTGCCCTCACCTCCCCAGAAGTTTAGCAAAGTGTGGGGGTGTTGTGCAACCAAGAGATCAGGATGGGGGGGCAGGGGGAGGGGGAAGGGGCATGGTTAATGCAGCCAATACCAAAACTACACAAGGTAATGAACACTATCACCCTGCAAATGGCCTCCCCCCTCATCTACCTCCCCTCCCCACACATGCTGTACCACCCCTCCAGGTGGGAGCTGCCAGGTCTAGGAGGTGTCCCCACTGCCTCCCTGGGGCACAAAGGGTTTAGCAAAAGGCAACGGGGTAATCACAGTATCAGAGCTCAACTTACCAAGTTCATGGCCTGTCCGCAAAAGAAAGGAAAAGACATGGTTAGAGCCAAGGGGATCTTGAGTACACCCCCTGCACTTCCACTTTGCCATCACAGCCTCGTTTTGGGACTGACTCCCCGGCCCTCATGCCATCCTGGTGGTGGGGACCCCTGCCTTCACTGCTTTGTAATACCCTTCAAATCCTGCTTGCCCCAGTGAAAAGGTGAGAACCAGACTCCTTCAAGAAATCCATTTTCCCCATTTTTTCTCGCATTTTGAGGGCAGAAGCTGACGGCAGCAGGCACTCCCCATCTGCAGGGAGAAGTGTACAAGCCAGTTCTTCACTCCCCTCCTCACCCCGCTCAGGGGTCTATGGCCCCATTTATTCACACCTGGGGCACAGCAGATGTGAGATAAATACGGTTTGAGGGAATGCTGAGCTCTGTGTGCAGGAACACATCGGCAGCACGAACCCAAAGAATATGACTGCACCTTAAAGAAGTCACCACTTGCTGACAGATGAGAGTTCTGACTCAGTGGGATGAGAATTTGTCTTAAGGTCCCAGATTTGCCTCCAGGAATGGATGTGAAAGGATGCTCTACATTCACACTGCACTGCTTCGGAGCATTGCTCTTGGTCAGACCTGAAGCATGGCTGGGGCTGGAGCCATTCATCCAGTGCCCTCTTAAAATTACTTTTTGCAAAGCTTTCTGTTGTCATTCATTCTATTCCACCAGCTGTCCCCGCTCCTGGGCTTGGGGTCTGGTGTACAATCCAAATCATTTGGGGTCCCCTCCCAGCAAACAGCTGGGGATGACGGCGGATGGTCCTTGTGGCATTGGGATCTACCTGCTCAGCGCTTTCAGAGGGCACAACGTGGTAATCCTGGAATTATGCCCCCCTGCCAGCCCCAGTGCAGGAGCACTCAGACCCAAATGGCGGCAATGTTTAGGGGACTGAGTGAACCTCACCCAGAAGTTCTGGAGACAGAATGCTATATTCTTGGGGCCAGAAGCTTTCAGGGCCCCCAGATGAGCCTGAATCCAGCTGAGGGGACTGAATCAGGAGCAGCCCAGGCTGTGCAAATGGGATGCCCTCTATGGTCACCAATGGGGACCACTGGGTGGGGACACCTGGGTGGGTCCAATCCAAGGAGGGCTCAGTCCTTTGGGCATATCAGTGCCTGCTGTGTCCCTCCATTCCTACCCTCCCAACAAATAACACCAGGAACAGTAGAAATGGTTAAGGACAGGTTAGTCGGGCTGCAGTTAGGAGGAAGGAAGGAAAGGAAAGCCAACCACAGCAGCAGGCGATCCAGTTTTTCCTAGCTTGGCTCCATTCACCCCTGGAACTATGGGTCGTCCTGGGACCATCACTGTGTCCCCAACTGGGAACACTGTCCCCACAACATGGTGTGTGCCATCCTTGAGGACACTGCTTGGGGACATTGCTGTTTTAGCCTCTGACAAGAGCAGGGGGAGACAATCCTTGTGACCATCCCAAGTCTGGGGAAACCTTTTGGGTTTTGCTTTGTTGCTAGTTGCACTGGGATGGGTCTTTTCCCCACTGGGAGATGCCCAAAAGAGCAGAGTGTATCACAAGGGGAGGATGTAAATCCAATTCCATGTGATCCAGGTCGGGGGGTGGAGAGGACACCATGGATACCTCCACATTTTTGGGAGACAAGAGGGAACACGCAGCCCTTGCAGCCACTCCAATCCATCAGTTCCAGGAGCAAAGGGAGGAGGGAAGCAAAAAAAAAGCCATCAAAAGGAGAGGAAGCTGCACACTAGAGAGTGGAGAGTGTTAGTGGTCAGCAGGCAGGAGGGAAGCGGGCGCATACCTTCAGCTTGGACTGAATCTCCCGAGATTTCCGTCGGGCAAGAACCTGCAAGTGGCTAGAGACCTGCAGAGAGAGAGCAGGAGAGGGGAACAGCAGAGCCGTCAACCAGAGGAAAAGAGAGGAAGGAGAGGGGCTGCCCATGCTCAGAGAGACACCGCCGAGGACACCTGGGCACGGGTGCCAACGTACCTTGATGCCAACCTGGTACTCCCGCACCTTCTTCCGAGCTAGAACCTGGATGTGGCTGGACACCTAGCGCCCACCACGCCGTTAGAAAGGAAAACACAGAGCATGAAGACATGTCCCTGCACTGCCCCAGGGGAAAGTGTATGGGAAAAATGGGGCACGTAGATCCAGAGTGCTCCAGGAGATGCTCGTGGTCTTACAGCATTGCAGTTGCCCTGAGCTGGAGGAAGGAAAGTTGGGGGGGAGGAAGTGGGGTCCATGGGGAGAAGGCGGTGGCTCAGTGTTTACCATCTCTCGGAGCTTCCCAAAAAGACAGCCCCACACCTGTGAGCGCACACATCCCTGTTGTGCTTTCAGTAGAGCTGCAATGAAACTGCTGGTCCCAAAGGGGATGCAGCATACCTGGGACCCCTGCTGATACTGCAGGTGGGAAATTCAATAAGAGGTTTTCTTTTGTGCAGAGCACTCCAAGCGCAGGATGGGGCTGATCTGCAGATCCTGAGTGCATGTCTCTGCTCCCAGTAGGGCTCACTTTGGGGGGGAGCAACTTCAGCACCAGCACCCGACTCTCTCAGACAACAAAGGCATGAGGGGGACAACGTCACATACATTGATACCCCCAGAGTATTGCTTTCATCTGTGCCCTCTCCTTCTCTCGATGGAAGGAAATCCAAGTGAGATGCTTGCAACCAGAGATACCCAGCATGAAGGTGAAACACAAGGCTCAAAGCCAGAAATGAAGAATGCAGTGGCTGTGGCTGGACCACAGTCCTCTCCTCCAGCATCAGTCTCAGAAGAGTTTCCCCACAGCATACGGGTACCAGGATCCATCCTATGCAGGGACAGTGGCATGGGGCCACTCCACTATGGGTCACCCCAACCCCTCTGTCCCATGTCCCCTTGGGGAAGGTCATCACATCCATGAGGATGCACAGTGGGCAGAGATGAGCCATGTGTATGTTCTAAGTGGGCACAGTGCACAGAGGGCCGCAAGCACTGTGCAAGCAGAAAAGGAAAGCCGTGTTTCCCTGCTCTGCTGCCACCCCCAATGCTGCCACTGCCAGGCAGTGTTACTCTGGGGACCATTGCCACACCGCTGTCCCCTGGCTGCAGTGGGCACAGCTGGGACTCAGCCCTCAGAATACCTTCAAGCGCACTGTATGCCACACAAGGCACACAAACAGACAAAGGAGCTTTTGGGACATGGGAACAACCTCTGGCTCCAGGTGGAAAGAAAGGGCAATGCGTGGCGATGCTACAAGAGCAGCAGCTCGAGTGCTGTTACGGAGAAATTGACCCAGTGAGGAGAAAGTACAAATGCATGGCACAGCCAGACCCCTCTGGGTACCCCATCCCCAGTGCCCAGATAAAAGCACCCTCAATAAAAGCAGAGTGCCAGCCTCACCTGCTTCCTTGTCCGTGTCTTCCCTGTCCGCAGCTTGATGTAGCGCGCAATCAATTCGTTGCGACCTGCGGGGATGTGCAGCGTCAGCCCCAGCACAGCGGGGAGAAGGGGACAGCATGGGACGAGGGGACACTGGTCTGTAACAGGGAGGAGGCTCTGCCAGGAGATGGCGCTGCCAGGACAGCTGTGTGGCCCCAGGGAACACTGGGGTGGCCCATGGGGACATTGGAGTGGCCAACCGCCAGTGAATACATGGGAACATGGGAACATCCGTTGTGTCCACCACCCCCAGCACCATGGAGGACAGACTGGCGGTCAGGGGGTGGTATCCACTGGTACCCCCCCTACAGAAGTGTCCCCAACATAGGTGACCATGGATCCCCTAAAACCATCCCAATAGGGCACTCCTTTGAGCACAACCCCATTCTGTACATGGGTCCTGGGTCCCCCCTGAGCACTGAGCTTCCCCCAACACACCAAGCTGCCCTTTCCACCAGTATTTCCTAACGTCCTGAGCTTAATTCAAAGCAGAAGTGCTTTTGCACCACATTTTACAGGGCCAGCTGTGGCCAATCTGTGCTCCAACGTCAGAGCAGCTGGGAGCATTCTTCAACCCGGCCCTGTTCCCCCCCAATGCCTCACCCCCCGCACACGGGGGCGGCAAGGCACGCCAGATTTATTTTAATGGACCAGATGGTGGTGGTTGGAACTTGTCGAAATGCCCTTGGAGAGGGTTTCAGCTTTAAAAATAAATAAATAAATAAAAATAAAATAAAATTAAAAAATCCCCACCACCCTACCCTGGGCAGCTCCAGAGCAACTGGGAGGGGGAGGGAGGGGGGTGAGAGGGGACACATGAGGACTGACAGTGCCAGGTGCTATGGGGTGGCTGCGGTAGACAGGGGGTGGTGGCCACAGGGGGGTCACCATGGGTCCATTGTGACCCATGTCACAATGTGGGCACAGAGAAGGGTCCCTGTGTTCAGTCCTGTCCTCTGTTCAGCAGCCATGGGTGCCCTGGTGCAACCCCATGGCAACCCCAAAATGGTGGTGCAGACATCACTCCTGCCTTTTAATTAATGAGCAGCCCCTAATGACCAGGACTCACTTGCTCTTGGTTGCCAAAACACTGGCTTGGAAGGAGCCGTGGCACCATGCACCTATCCCGGCCTCATCCTGCCCAGCACTCAAGGGTGCCCCATGCACCCATGCCTCATCCTGTCCAGCACCCACAAGTGCACCGGTGATGTGATGCCACAGGGTGCAGCAATGCCTGTGACTTGTGGGGTGTTAGGTTTGGGACCTTCAGCACTCTGGCTGCACGCAGCCCATTCCCATGTCCCATCCCCATGCTCAGCAGTGTGGAAGCAAATACGGGAAATGAAACCTGGATGCAGCGATGCACCCAACATGATGCCCAACACTGGACATCTCCCCACACCTCTGCCTCATCCCTCTGGGGTGCCCATGGCTGTGTCCTTGTGATTCACTCGGAGCCATGCCATTCCCTCGGTGAGGGCACATCCTCCTCCAAATTACCACATTCCCCAAATTCCTCTCCCCTGACACCACCACGTCAACCAGTTGGACAGCTCTGTTAAAAATAACCCAGTGGGACACGCCGGCGGCCAAAGAGCGGTGCGAGCATGACCAGCCCACCCCATGGCTCCCACCTGCTCCTGGGGCACGTGCACATCCCACACCCCATTTCCATGGGACACTGGCACCATCTCCTGAGTCAGCACAGTACTAAGCAAAGCCACTCATCCTCCCATTTGGGTGCTCCAAGAGGGTTCCCAAATCAGTGCCACCTGGAGATGTATAGCCCCAGTGTGACCCAATCGCTCTCCCTATGAATATGTTTCAGACCCTGCCTTCCCCCTTTGCAATGCCCAAAGCCACTCATCCTTTGGGTGCTCCAAGGGGGTCCCAAAGTATTGCTGTCATGCGGGGATGCTTGGACCCAGTATAAACCCATTGCTCTCCAACAGGTTTGTTCCGAACCCCACTTTCCAAAGGCACCTCTGAGAGAAGAGCCCTCTGCAATGCCACCCCCAACCCCTAAATACAGAGCCCTCTGGGTGTGCGATGGGAGGTGGGGGCCACTGCCTCTTTAAACAGCTGCCAGATGGCTCTGAAAGGCTGGAAAAACCGGTCTGCGCCCGGGTGTGCTGCGCAGGGCCAGACTCCCAGCGGCACTTCAGCTATTCCAGGAGAAATCCAAAAAATGCACCCGCTCAGGAAGCCCTGTACTGCCTTTCACCCACCAGCTCTGACCAGGGTGCCCCAGGGTGGCACTGGAATGGGGATGGGGATGGTATGTACCAGGTACCCAGTGCCCTCTGCGCCGTGGGTGGATAAGCCATTGGATGATGACGGCACTGTCACTGGTGCGTTTGGAGGTCACCACCAGGGATAGCAGTGTGGCACCGTGTCCCACAAGAAGGAGATCTGAAGTCACCTGTCAGGGGCTGACATCGTGGGAGGGAGAGAGAAGGGGACAGCCCCACTGTGGCACAGATGTGGACACACACCTTTGTCCTCTCCTTGGTGGCACTGCGCACCCCTGCCTTCATCACCCATCCTCATCCTTCCTGCTGCAGCGGAAACAAGGCTGAGCCCAAGCAAAACGCATTTCACAAATGGGGCAATGTCACCTGATGCAGAACAGGTGGCTTGGAGTGGGCTGAGGGCCACAGCCACCATTCTCTTGGAGCACTCCCTGGTTCAGGACACTACAGGGAGTGGTATGAGACAGGACCATGCCCACTCCCTGCCCCACGGCTCCACCAAACCTGTCAGTCCAGCACATTGAGAGCAGGAGGGAGGAGATGGCTGTGACAACACCATGGGGACACGGGTCACTGCCCTCTGGTACCCAAAGCCACACAGCTTGGGAAAGAACTTTTGAAGTTGGGGTGCTCTGGGTTGAATCCCAGATGGGTTCAGGGCTCGGAACCAGCCCCATCCCAGCGCACAGTGACGCACACAGTGCCCAACCCATCCTGTGTGTGCACTCACCGTACATCTTGCCTTCATCCGAGAGGATGATTTTCCGCCGGCCACAGGGGGGGTAGATTGCCAGAGCCTCCTGGAAGCTCTGCTCGATGTCCGGGCTCCACACTCCCTCAGCATCGTTGTCCAGGCTCTTGTCCATCCCGTCCTGGCCATCTTCCCGCCCCTCCCCGGGGCTGCTGCTGGCGTTCCAGCTGTTGGACGCTATGGTGCTGGCTGCTCTGGGCTCTGAGCCCGAGCCCCCACGGACACGTGGCAACCTGCGAGAACAAAGAGACACCCCTGAGACTTGGCCGCAACTGTCATGGCCATGTTGGAGTCGCAGGTGACAGCATGGTCCCAGTACATCCCCATGCTGGCACTGCACTAGGAGAGCACTCCGGTGCCAAGCATGCACACAGCTGCATGCCTTGGGGACATGGCCACGTTTGCCATTAAACACCCCAAATCCCGCAGAGCAAAGCCACCACATGCCCACCCCAAATATCACTTGGGAACAATCCATGTGCTGCACTACACACAAAGCATTTGGGCATATGGTGCCCATACAGAGCACTTGGGCACACATTGACACTTGGGGACCTGTGAGCCTCAACCCTGCACCCCCAGTTCAGCAGAGCAAAGCCACCAGATGCCCATCCCAAATACCAGTTGAGAATAGCCCATGTACTGCACTACTCACAAAGCACTCAGACACATAGTGCACACACAGAGCACACACGGGCACCATGTCTGACCATGGGACACAAGATGACATTTGGGGACCTGAGCCCCCAAAAGGTGGGGAGGGGATTTGACAAACCAGGTGCCCAAGGATGCTTCCCTGCCCTCCTGCACAGTTTTGCAGAGCAGCATTGGATTCTGTTTGGAGGTGTCTCGCTGCGCAGTGCTACGCTTCCCGTTTGGGGTGGGAGCGTGCAAAGGTCTCAGCACGCAGACATCTCCTTTTAAAGGAACTGCAGCAACTCACTGGCTCGGGCACGCGCCCAGGCTGCTTTGTGTTGTGTTGTGTTTGTTTTTTTTTTAATTTTTTTAATAAAAAAAGAAACTTTTCTCCCCCCTCCTTCTTTGCCACCACCCTCTCTGTGATGTCAGTCCCTCTGACCCCCCCTTGCTTGCTCCCCCCCATTCCAACGCCCCCCTCACCCCCCCAGCGCTCCCCCTCTTGCCGAACACTGTGGCCAAATAAGGAGAACTGGATTGCAGGATGGAGCCGGCAGCCAGGGGAGGGATGGCGGCAGCGGGCTGCAGTGCTCTGTACCCCACGCTGAGCACAGCCCTGGGGGGCTGCATAGGCTGGGGGGAGGGGCTTTGTGTGTGAGCGATGGGGATGGGAGAGGGATGGATGATGCAGAGGGGCTATCACATAGGGCTGAGCCCCCCAGCGCCCACCCCATGCAGTTCCCTGGGATCTCGTCAACATGCAAACCCCACAGTGGGTGCAGGGATGGGAGAGGGACTGCCAGAATGCGGGCGGCCTGCCTATGGATTGGCACATGGGACTGAGCCCATCCCATACAGCCCAATGGAACCCTGTTCCCATGTAAACCCTATACTGGTGCTGAGGAGACCCCCTGCAGACCCCACAGCACCCAGACCCCACAGCTCTGAAGCACCCGGAGTCTCCCCCAGTAATGTGAGATCCCCCCCTCTGCAGTGGGATCCCCCTCATGGGATTCGGGTGCCAGGAGAGGACAGACCTGAGAATTGGGTTGCAGGGGTTTTGCAGGGTGCTACAGCCTGAGGCAATGGAGGCTCTGGGGAGCCATAGGACTAGTGGTACCACTGCCCACATGGTGACAAGTGGCACATGTCACCATCCCCTTCTCCAAGAGCTCCCAGCTCCTTGCAGCCTCCCCACATCCCTCCCACCTCACTGCCTCCCTCCCCAGCAGGGAAATCCCAGTGCAGCCCTTTCAGGGAAGCAGGGGAAAAACAGAGGGAGGAGGAGGGCAAAGTGGGGCCCTGGCCAAGGTGCGAGGAAACAGCTCCTCCTCCATCAAACCTGCTTTTAGCTAGGCCAAGAGATTTTATTTCCTGGAGGGAGGGTGCAGAAAGGCAGCAAGTCACAGCTTTGACGTAAGGGGCCGAGCACAGCGCTCCACCCAACCTTACAAAACAGCAACCAGAAAAGCAATTAGGAAACCAGCACGGCTGGACCTGGGTACCAGCCTGCCCGACCTGATCAAGGCTGGGAGGGACTGGAGCTGCAGGAATAATAACATCTCAGTGTGTCCCTCCTCCTGGCTTCTGCTTGGGACAGGGACTGAGCCTCTGTCCCACAAGGACCGTGGCACCTCAGCAGAGACATTCATAGCCACACGGCAAAGAGATGCTTGTTGCACCGTGGCAACCTTGGGGTACCCAGGAGGGTACAGGATGGGTACTCACAGTGGGCATGGGGGGGGCCACCAGGGCATGGCCAAGGTGAAACTGGGAGATAGAAACAGATGTGGCATTCCTGTGGGCTGCGTGCTCACCCCAAGCTTGGCCCCAGTGCAGCTCAAGGGCTCGCCAAGGTGAGGGTCCTCAGTCCTAAAATCCTATGAGAAATCCCTGCCAAACCCTGTGGCATCAAAAGCTTTGCCCAAGGGGTTGCAAAGAGTGGGTGCACAGATTGGGGAATGGAAATATTGAGGACACAGTGGCGGTGCCCAAGTGCCCAGGTCAGGAGCAGAGTGCTGGCAGGGCACAGTGGGGGCAGGAGCAGCAGAACCTGATGCAGTAAGGACTGTGGGGGGCAGAGGATGTGTGGGAGGAGCATGAGGGCAACTGGGGCTGGGAGCACAGGGATGGAGCTGGGAGCATGGGGATAGAATGGGGAGCATGGAGTGACACCTCATCCCCAGCATAGCTACTGAGCTTGGGGTCAAGGTGCATACTCTTCTCCCCAGCATGCTTAGCCCCAAAAGCACTTCCACCCACCACACATCACTGCAGCCCCATATCCCGATTATGTGGAGCAGAAAGCCAGGATTTGGGGTCTGCCCAAAGCAAGAGAGGATGGATGGATGGAGGAAGATGCCATCCTATGGTGGCTATCATCATGACACAGGGACCAGGACCTTCATCTTGCTCCTCACTTGCCACAGCCACCCCTGCCCTCCTAGTGGCATCAAGGTGGCCCTGCTGTGGGTGACAGCTTCCCCAACTCCATGGGGAGCAGCCTCAGGACTGCAAACTGGGGACACACACATTTGAGCATGAGCAGACGCAGCACAAAGGGCTACTGCCACCACTTTACTCCCTCCGCGCGCAGCGGAATGGGGCAAGCCAGCCCTCCCTACTTGGACCCCATAGCAAAAGGATAAAAGTTCAGCAACAAGTTGGGGCAGGCATCGGGGCGGGCGCAGCCTCACCTGCACAGTAACTGCTGTGGTGCAGACACTTGATGGGGAGGGGTGGGGGGAAACACGGGGTCATCACCACTGGTGGCACAGAGGGAATCGCTCTGTTGGGCTGTGCTGCTCAGACGCTGAGGCAGGAAGGGTGCGATGTGCCCCGAGGAGGACACTCAGGGTGCCAAGAGGAGCTGCCCCCTTTGGTTCTGCAGAACCCCAAGCCAACAAACCCCAAAGCAGAAGCCCCAATGCATTGGGTGCAATGCAAGAGCCCACCCAGACACCAGAAGACAATCTGTGGGACTGTCCATGTGTTCCTCGGTGATGGGAGGAGCACAGGGTCACCCACACCATGACACATCCCACGGGGCTGTGAGTGGGGCAGTGGAGTCCCACCTGCAATGAGAACATGACCGATGTTTCAACAACACAAGGTCTCCTAGGAAGACCCCAGCAATGGGAAGATGTTCCCCCGTTCACTAATATTCCATGCTGCACACCAAACCATGATGCTCACTGTGAAATGACCCTTTGTCGGCACTGGGGCTGGAGGTGGCACAGCTTTGCTGACCCCACCCTCTTCCACCCAGCAGCTCTGGGGCTGCAGTGTGGGACTCCTCTGCTCCCTTCCACCCAGGGCTGTGCCACGGGGCCACCCACAAGTCCCTGGTACTTCCTACAGAGCAGCCTGACTAGTTTCCTTTCCTCTATCGCTTCCTGTCCCTTCCGGCTTGGCAGACGGCTCAGGAAGCAATCAGAGCAGGGAAACTGCAAGAGGCCACGTGGCAGCATCCCACCGGGGTCTGCGGTGCCACTAGGGCCATCCAATCATGGGATGCTCATCTGTGGGGTGCCCAACCATAAGGTGCCCACCTACAGGGTACCCACTGCAACCCCACCCTGCAGACCTCAGCACAGTTCCCCAAAAAAACTGCCATCACTGCACTGGTCAAGGATGCTCCATTTCAAATCACGAGGGCAAACGATGGGGAAATCTCATTGATGTGTCCCTGTAAAATTAGGGTATGGTCAAGGGATAAGACCTAGGTGAAGCTCATGGTGCCTCACGTAAGATGCTCCACACTGGTTTTTGGCTGCTGCAGGACCTACACTAGTTTCACCCAAGGCTCTGGGCCCGGGACATGGGGACAGACGGACACTGTACCCCATCCTCTGTCCCTCCTTGCCCCAATTACCCTGCCCAGCCAGGGCGTTGCACCCGTCAGGTCATAAATAGAAAGCTTTGACGGCATTAATTACTCTCTGTGTTATGAAACAAGAGCAATGAAAACAACAGGGTTGGGGTTGAAGACAGGCCACCACCATGGCCATCCCATGACACCCACAGCACCAGGTGACCTGGAACATGGAAGGGATATGAAGGAATATGCTTTGCTCCCACCCCAAAAATGTGCCCATCCTGGTATGCATGGGGACATTTACCACAGGGTGGCCACTGTGTCCAGGACCCCAAGACCCATTGCCACCACGGGCAAGGGAGAGCTGTGGGTACCAGGGCTCTGTGCACACACATGGGGCAATGTCCCCTTGCTGGGTGGGAGAGACCCCAGAGACCCCCTCAGGACACACTCCCTCCACAGAGGAGAAGGTTTGGGTGCTGCTGACCCCACTGCAGGGAGAACATCTTCTTAGGGATGGAGACTTCTGGGTGAAGAGGAGGAAGAAGAGCAGGAGGAGGAAGGCTTCAATGCATTTCTCACTTGCCCCCTTCCCAGTCACCTCCACACCCAAGAAACCCAACCCTAACCTGAAGCAGCTGCACTGCTGCCTGCACCAACACCGCGGGGTGAGCACAGCACTGCACAGAACAGGAAACCAGTGGGGCATGCAGCAAAGGGAGCAACAGCCAACCCCCAAACTCATAGGAAAAGGGTTGCAGGGTCACAGGAAGGCTTGCAGAATGCAACCTTTCCTGCCTGATTTTCCAAGCTAGGGACAGTGGGGTCACTGCTATGAGGTCCCCAGTGTCACCAACCCACATGGGACAGCCTACAAACCAAGACCATGCAAAAACAGCGCAGCACTGAGTGCTGTACCACTTTATTCCCAGAAAGGGATATTTAGGCTCAGCATCACCTCACTGCTTGCTACCTCAGACAAGCAAAGTGAGTGAGCGAAGCACCCTGCTGTGCCATGGACATGCACCATCACTTTCTGCTCAATCTCTCTCAGCACTGCCCAACCCATCTATTGTCCCCACTGGGAGTCTTGGGGGAAGGTCACTCCCACCAGGCAGGCAGGCACAGGGTCCTGCCCAGTGCCTTCACCTTGAGAGGGATGAAGCCCGTATCATCATCATCACCAAACCCAATGTCCACATTGGTTGTATGCACAGCAGGAGTCAGCAGCTGGGGGAGGGCAGTGGGGAGCTGGCACGGGCCCGCAGCCCATCCTCCATGCACAGTGCAGCTGTAAACTTTGAACATCTTCCGGAGAGAAGTTAGTGGCTGTTGTGAACAGCTGGATTTAATTTGATGAGGAGTGAGGAGGAGACAGTCGTGGGGAAATAATATGGCTTGGAGCTCCTGGGCGAGAAGCCCAGAGCCCCAGCAGCACTCCACTTCCCAACCGAGGTGGGGAAACTGAGGCATAGAGCTGCTGGGACACCAGTGGCTGAGGCCTCTGGGAGTGGTGGGATCACTGTCTCTGGAAGTGTTCAGAACCACAGAGATGTGGCAGCGAGGGACACAGTCAGTGGGTAAGGTAGGATGGGTTGAGGCTGGATGGGATGACCGTAAAGCCACGGCGCCCATCTCCCAAATGGGTAAAACCACCGCTCCAGCAACCTGTCCAAACCCGCACTGTATCGTTGTGTGCCCGCTGCAGGCTGGCATGGGGCACAGCCCCGATGGCTCACCCCATCATTACCTGCCTCCCTCCCTCCGTCCAAAAAAACATTTCGTAACACAACACGTGACGGTGGCAATCACGAACGCCCACACGCTTCAGGTGCTGTCCCCAACCACAACACAGGTGCTTGGGCTTGGCCACCCTGGCATGCTCCCAGTGCCTGACCCGGGCACCGACCCCCAAAAAAGGATATTTCCCAGCAGCACCCCAGGTTGGGCCAACACATAGAAACCATGATAGTCCCTTACAGCCTTGGAGCACATTGGCGGTTGAAGTACAAGAGGAGCTCTTTGGGATCACAATACTTCAGATAGTGTCTGTCCCACCTCTGTGAGCACAAACCCACAAACCTCGGGAATGGTTCCACAGCCCATTTTCTGCTATCCACCTCTGCCCCTATTCCCACAGATGGAAGGCAGAAAGCCCCATTTTCTCCACAGAAAGCCCAACATCATCCATTTCTCCCCATCCCAATCTCACCCTTTGTCACACTTGGTGTGTTGGATGGGAATGGTGCAGCTCCGTGATGTTTCATAGGTTAATTATAGCCAGTGAACACAGCAACTCCCACATCTCCATAAGACACCAAGATGCTCCCAGCTCCGCTCTCATAGCAAACAAGGGGTTAAACGGCGATTAAAGACGGTGTTGTTTCCGGTATCATGATAAATAGTGACCGTATGTCATGGGAAACGCAAGTGAGTTCTTCTGCTGTGGGCTATGGATGGGTCTGGAGGATGGAAGGGATTTTGCAAGACATGAGGGGGATATGGGCTGAGAAGGTTGGTCCCTGTGCAGAACCTCTTTTGTCCCCTGGAGTGCCATGGTCAAACCATCCCCATGCTCTGCGCTGTCAGCCCAGCCCGGCTGAGAGCCCCTGCAGCACCGTTATGCAATGTGGCCGCTCCCAAAGGGTTATTTTTGTTAGAAAAGCTGCTGCTGTGCCAAACCTGGGGGCAAGCCCGGCCTCAAGCTGTGCCTGAGGTTCTGCAAGGATAGGAAGGTCCCCTCATTCTCCCATCCCCACTCAATGTCCCCATCCCCACTGAGCAGGGCAGATCCATGCATAGACTCAAGCATGTCCAAACCCAAAACTTTGTACCCCAATGGGACTTATGTCCCCTATATCAGGGAGCAGCTGCCACCTCCCCACCAACTGGGCCATCCCTGGTGACCTCAGCGAGACTCCTCACGCCCCATTTGGGGAGCCACTCATGGGAAAACCACCCCAAAATCCAATGGCTGAGAAGAGCTTTGGGGCCAACAGAGCTCCAGATGTGACAGCACAAAGTGGGGCTCAATGCACCCCACAGCCCCCCAGCAAACACACAGTGCCCCCAGGCAGCGCAAAGCCCTGACTCACGGTGCACACGTCGGAAAGCGATAGGAGGGGGCAGAGGACGCTGGAGCCCAAAATACCCCAGTGCGCCTGACACAGAGATTAGCGCTTTGCTGCGACACTGTCGCCTGGCCTAGCTTGCCATGGCCCCAAGAAAAATCCCAGACCCTCTGCCCCAGTGTGGACCAGCAACACACGTGCATGCTTCCCCATTCCCAGCAGTTTTCTCCCTAAAAATGACTTCTTCCTGGGTGATTTTGGGCTGGATGTTATTTTTCTTCTGAACAGGAGAAGTGAAAAAACAAAACAAAACAAAACCAAATGAGAGTGCAAAAATAAAATAATAATAATAATAAAGATGACACATTGCCGAAAATTATACACCTAATCGCTGACTCGTTAGCAATGCACCCCTATGACGAGGCATAAAGTGTTTAGCATACACTCAGCGCATGGTCATGTGTGTGACACACATGTAACGTGACACGTCCCCGTGCCCCGCGACCCCACTGCCTTTGGGGTGGGCATGGCGGGGTGGGCATTGTGCCAGGGCTGTTTATGTAACGCCCGCTCCGAAGTATAGGCTCTATTGCACACAAGGCCCCTTTGTAACCCTATGTGTAATCCGGAGATGCACAGCGTGAAGGGGAAAAAACATGGATTCACTCCGACGCAAACCCTTTGGGATGAGAAATGATGAGTGGGGTCGGGGAGGGATGAGCCGTCCCGCAGCGCTGAAAATGGGAAATGGTTGGAGTGGGGGGGGGGGAGGGTAAGTGGGGAGAGGGGTGGGGGGAGCTGCGTGATGGGGGGGTCCCGGCACTGAGTGGGCTGGGGGCACTGCAGAGCCGTCCGGGGAGAGAAGGAGCGGCCGGGAGGAGCGCACGGAGAGGCCCCGGGGGCGCTCCCAAAGCCGAGCTCCCGCCCGGCTGCTGGTGGGTCGGGGGGCACATTGGACCCTCTGTTCACCTACCCCTCCCCCCCCGTTCCCCACCGCCATCCTATGGAGCCGGAGCCGCCCCTCCCGGGCTCGGTGCAGGCGGAGGAGGGCTGCGGGCCGAGAGGAAGGAGCGCAGGAGGTGGAGGAGAAGGAGGAGGAGGAGGAGGAAGGGGGGTAGGGATCTCTTCCCGACGGCGCTTACCTGCTCCGTGCTCCGGAGGGCTGGGCCGGCCACGGGAGCCGGGAGAGGACTGGGACCGAACCGGGACCGGAGCTGGTGCCGGGGATGGGCCGGGGGAGGACGATAGGAATGCGAGAGCGCTGCAAGCTCCGGAGTCCGCACAGGGAACCAGGCTCAGGGACGGGAAAGTTTATGCAAGGGAGGAGCAGAAAGTTGGGAGTCAATCAGGAGGCGGAGGGGCAGGGCAGACCCTCCTCCCCCGGCCTTCCTCCCACCCTCCTTTCCCGGTGCTCTTCCCTCCCTCCTCCCGAGTACTCCCGCCCCGTCGGGTCCCATGTCCGACCCTCGATTCGCGGTCCCGTCGCGGTGCGGGGATACGGAGGGTTCGGCCCCCCCGGAGCACAGCACAGCGGGAAGAAGGGGCAGCGCAACCCCGACTCCGGGAGGGACTTCTCGGAGCCTTTATCCTCCTTCTCCCTCAGCTTGGGGTGCTTCTGCCCTGTGCCAGCCTTCATTGTCCTCTGTGCACATCCTCATCTTCCTGTGCTCGCCTCCCTCACACCCCTATTCCTTCCTGCACATCTTCATCCTATAAACACCTTCACCCCCAGTATCCATCTTCACCCCCTGCACACACCTTCACCCCTTCCCCTACACTTCTATCACCCCCCCACACACACCCTTATGCTGTGCCACACGCCTTCATCCTTCTCCTCCCTCTCCTCATCCTCACACCCTCATCTTTCTGCAAACACCTTCATCCCCTCCCAAATACCTTCATCTTATCCTCACACCTTCATCCTTCTCCACACATCTTCATATTTTTCCTTGCTTATATATCCTTATCCTCATCCTAGACCCTCATCTCTCTCCAAACACCTTCATCCCTATTCTTTTCCTCATCATTACCATCCTCATATCCTCATCTTCCTCCAAACACTTTCATCCACTTCCAAACACTTTTATCCTTTTCCTCATCCCTCCCCACCACCCCCCCTTCATCCTTACCTCCTCATCCCCCTCCAAACATCTTCATCCCTTCCAAAATAATTTCATCCTTATCCTCATACCCTTATCCCCATGCTAGACCCTCATTCCTCTCCAAACACCTCCATCCTCCTTCTCTCATACCTTCATCCCTCGATGCACTCCCCCACACAACCACAGTCCCCCATTTCCTGAACACCCATTCTTCCCCGTGGCACCGGGATGGGAATTTCAGCCCATGCGCCTGTGATTCCCAGTGGAATCCCAGGGAGCCTAGCCAGCAGCAGGGCTGAGGGGTGGTAACACACTGATTGCATGCAAGTCCTTGGCCATGGCCCAGCCCCAGTGTTGGGATCTGAGGTCCCAATGGCAGAAAGCCCGGCGCTGCTGAGCACGAGTTCAGCACACAGCAAGGACGTGGGCAGGTTAGGTGACACATGGCGCAGTGCATGCAGACGTAGATCAGGGAATGGGATCCTCCAGGCACTTCACTCAGGATAAGGATGCTCCCTGCATCCCATCCCTTTCAGAAACATATTTTTCTGATTTTCATGCCAAACTCAGCTGTACTGAAGCATTTTGGGACACAACAGCCAATGGTGCAGCTCTCCACACACCCATCCAGCACATTCAGCAATCTGGGTGATTAATACGGCCATATCGCATTCTTCCACCCTTGGCCTGGTGCTGACTGCAAGAATCTGGACCAAGAACTGCAGCAAAATGGCTGCAATTCTCCAAGGGCCGTTCGCAGCACTCGTTACTCATCCCTTACTTGGGCAAAAATGACATTGACTGCTCCTGGAGATGACAGACTTAATTGAGTTCAATAGGAGTTTAGTCTGAGTAAGGCATGAGCAAACAGGCGTGCATTAGCCCATGAAGAAAAGCCTGATCTGCAAATGTTTAGGAACACATGGCGTTCTGCACAGGGGAGCAGCAGTGGGGTTACTGCTGTGCCGAGCTGGATGTGTGCAGTGAGTGGCTGCAACACGGTCTCATCCTGTTCCAGTTCTGCCCTCGGTGCTTTGCTGTGGTGCTGCTGATTGGTCTTTTTCCTAAACTTGGTTTCTGCTGTTCTTTGTCCACTGGTGGGAACAGCAACTTCCCTTCCCAAATTATAATATAAAAGAGCTGTGAGCAGCAATGCCATAAATAATATTTTCTTATGGCTGGAACATCCAAGTCTAGGCAACACACCAAGAACAGCTACAACACTGTAAAACTCTGACACTTCTCCAGAATGGATTCACTAATTAAAAAATGATTCCTTTCTTAAAGCAGTTGAAAAATATCAGCTTTCCCAGTGCTGCCTGTTGGTTATCATGCTGAGAGCAGCATGTCCTGCACACCCATACCACTGGGATGTGGCCCAGAGCAGCACCATTCCGCTTATTGGAGAGGGATGGGGTGGGGTGCTCAGCATCAAGGTAGGATATGCAGCATCAAGGTGGGATGCATTCTTCTCTCTTTTCCTTACACCTTTGCAAAAAATACAATGCATTTCCCTGGAGGATCCTGGGAAGAGCTTATGTGCTCCATGGGGCTAAACCCATCCCTGCTCCACCAGCCCAACCCTAACCCCTAAACTCAACCATAAGAAGCCTCAAAGCCTTTGCCTCAGGGTAAATCTCATCCCCTGGATTCAGAAAAGCATTTCTCTGAGGACAGTGCACACTTTGGCCTCAGAAGTTGATAAGCTCCCTCCTCTTCTTCTCTACTTTTTTTTTTTTTTTTTTTTTGATCTTTACTTGCAGCAAGCATTCCTTCCACACCCACGCACACATCCTCATCCTCACTCATTGGTCTGCCTGAGCATCCGTCACACTTTCCATCGGCCAAAGTAGATACACATTGCAACTGCCTCAATTCTTTATCTCCACTAGTGTTAACAGCCAGCGCAAACAAAGGGCCCGAACATCCAGAACCCTATTAAATTGCTTTCATTTGCTTCTTATGCTGCAGTTGGTTTGGTTTAGGAGGATTTGTGTAAGTGATTTGGGGGAGGTTGCTGATGCTGTAATTGCTGTGGGCTGTGCGTGCAGTGCTTGCACATTAGAATCGCTGCTGCTGGCAATGGGTTTGGGATGGGATGGTGTTGTGTCTCCAACCCAATGGGTGATGGGTTTGGGATGGGATTGCATTGCATCTCCAACACAGTGCTGCTTTTTGCTCTCTTTGGCTGCACCCCAGGCTGGCAATTTGGAGGAACTGCAAGTAATATTTGAAAAAAAAAATGTTTGGGTGTGCTGGAGGGAGGAACTCCCAGAGAACAGTGATGCTCTGAGAGAGGGCACTCCCCCGGGGACCCCAGTACCAAACCCCACTTTCTTACCAAGCTTTGGCTTCCTGCCTCCCACAAACGCACAGGAAACTGAGACAAGTGCCGATGGAAGCAGTCCCTAACCATCAGCTGTTCCTTTCCCAATCTCAAACAAATGTGTGGTTGGCAGCTGGATTTGGGCAGCAAGATCTGGCTTTCCCCCACATTTGCTGGCTGCACCTAGCCAGATGCTGGCTAAACCACACCAGTTGTTTCTCCTTCCAGCTTTCCCACGAGGGTAAGGGATGGGGCTATGCATGCACCCATGTAGGGCTCCATCTGCCCCCAGTGCAGTGATGACTCATGAAGCCCAAAGCCATGCAGCTTTTGGAAAACAGAAGAGCATCACTAGGCTGGCAATTTGGGACAAATCTGGAGATTTGTCTCCAAGAAACAGCACTGTTCCTGCTGACAGTTCTTAAATGAAATCAGGTATTGGGTGCTGCTGGCGGCTGGGGGTGACCTTTGGTGTGGGTATGAAGAACCGCCAACCAAAGGAGATCACATCCTCTTCTTGTTTAAAGATTGTGCTACAAAGCCCAAAACAGAAACTAAAAAAGATATATATTTCAGGTTTAACTCTTCCTTCTGCCTGAGACCGGTAACCAGCTCCCAGGGAAGTTGTCCACAGCCAGGCAAGCAGTGCCCAACAAAACGGTGCCTGACAGAGTGCTGCCCAATGGAGTGGTGTCAGACATAGGAACCAGGGGGGCGGATGGGGACAGGACAGCATGGAGCTACTCGCAGGCCAGCTTCCCATCAAAGCTGGAGAGAGCAATGGCAAAGGCCTGCACGGCACACAGCGGGTAGTTGTAGTCCATGGTGAAGGCGTCATCTGCCACACGTCCAAACTGCATCACAATGTAATCAGCTGCAGGACAGAGTAGAGAGCACGTTGGTGTGGGCTGGACGGCTCCCACACCCACACCTTCCCTTTCCAAGTGGCACTGTGAAGGGGGCACCTATGCCCAGCTCATACACTGGCTGCTGCTGCACTGCACTGCAGCTCAATTAACCAAAAAGCAGCGTTTTTGCATTGCACCTCAGAGGAGATGTGGCACTCTGGGTCCCCCCAGCACCCTGTCCCTGGGAACCAGAGCCTACTGCCCCCCATGGGACACTCACTGTTACCAAAGCACGGGTGGCAGGAAATCTGTAAAAATAACCAGGGGCCCCCGACAGGTTTTTTTCTGTCCTGTAACTCAACACCCGCGGGTGCCGATGGCTTCTGACTGCGCGGGACAGGTGACGAGGGTTGAGTGCTGCCCCATGCTGGGACGCTTGCCATGGGGCCGTGTCTGCTTTGCCGTGGGGCAGGCAGTGCCGCTGGCAAAGGGGGTACAAATGTACCCCTGAGCCACATCCGGATCCTGTGTCCATCACCCCAAAGGGTCACCCTAAGGGACCATCCCCAAGGCATGATGCACACCAAAGATGTGCATATGGGGAGCACGCATGGGGTGTGTGCTGGCAGCGATACTGCGGTGCTACAGAGTTCAGCACCCTGCAGGATCGAGTCATGCCCTATTTTGCATGACCGTGCACGACCCACGTGCTCCCTCTGCCGGAGCAGAACGCAGGGAAACCCCAGAGCAGTTGGGCAAGAAATAAACAGCAAAATGGGTGCTGGGAGTCAGCCAAGTCCCCCCTGCACCCTATCCCTCCACTCACGGTCACTGCCATGCACAATCTGGAAGTTTTTGACGGAGGCGTGGGTGACACGGCCGTGGAAGTTGAGGACATAGGACTGGGTCTCGTCATTCCACACCGGTGCCTTGTTGTGCAGCTCGATAATGTTGTCCATGTTCTTGTTTTGCCACCTCATGAGCAGCCCGTCGTTGTCCTGGGGAGGGCAAAGAGGGTGAGACTTGGCACACAGTGGGATGCTGCCCCTGGATGCTCTGGAGCACACAACTCCAAAGCAGGACATGGCTGGGAAGAGACTAACGCCACACCTCCACCTCCCACAGAGGTGCCTTGAGATTGAGGGATGCCTCAACCAGGTGAACCTCAAGTGAACCCCATCAAACCCAGCCCAGAGGGCTTGCTGGCTCCATCCTCACTTGATCCTTGGCCATCTGACTCACATTTCGGGGCCGGATGGGCACCCGCTCGTTGTCTGAGTTCATCCCAGGGATGATGACTGTCATCTTCCGGGGCCCTTTGAACCCCAGCACATTGGTCTCCTGCAAGAGATGCCCCATTCATAAAAGAAGCAACTGCTGTGGGCTGCAGCCTCATTGCACGGCTCCATGGCTCTGCAGCCCCCAGTGATGCCCCAGCAAGGGAGTGCAGGTTGGTGATCCCTCAGTCTCTGCTGGGGGGAACTCTTACATAAACCACAGCCGACAGCTCCTGCCGCACATTGGACCAATCAGCGCTGGCCCGATCAGGGTTAGAGCCATTGTCGAACACGGTGAACTTGGTCCCCATCAGGTTGGACCTGCAGCAGAGGGACAAGATTTGGTGCCACCAGCATCACTATCTCACACCAAATCCCACCATCCAGAGCCTCTCCTTTTGCACTGATCCCACTCCCATCCCACATCTGATGTGCAAAAATTGGTGGCACCCACCTCAGCTTCCCGATGAAGTTCTCCCCACCCCGTGACAGGTCTGTGGGGTCGATGGAGATGAGGTAGTTGGAGGTTTTGCTCTTCTTACGCTTCCTCCCAGCGAGCAGGAAGACCTGGGGGCATGACATGGCTAGGACAGAGCTGTCACCTCACCTTACCCTCTGCATATTGCATTGTGCAATGGGGACACGGCTGTGACGTTGCGTAAGTTGTAAAGTCATCGAGCCATTAAGGTTGGAAGTGACCTCTAAGATCATCCAGTTCAACCATCAACCCATCCCCACCATGGCCACTAAGCCATGTCCCTAAATAGAATCACAGAATCGTTAAGGTTGGAAGAGACCACTAAAATCAGCAAATCCAACCACTGACCTACCACCAGCACCACTGTGGCGCAGCTGAGCCCCAAAACACTGTCAGTGTCCCTATGCGTGGCACGAGCATTACCTCTCTGGCATCATACCTTGCATCAACTTTGGCATTTCCAAGGAAAAATGAGACAGAAGTAACCCAGTGGGGTGCACATAGGCATGCCCTAAAAACCGTATGGGTGCACTCCTAGGGTGTTCCCATGGGTCTCCGGCCCCCTGCCTGCTCACCTTTTTGTCGTTATCCAGGTGCAGGAAGTAGGTGGGGTACAGGCCCCGGTCCATACCCCTCTTGTCCCGTGTCACCCGGCACTTGATGGTCACCCCCTGTGGCGCTGGGGACAGCACAAACTTCTCCAGGTTGTCTACCTCGATGACAGGTGACAGCGGCCTCTCCTCCTTCTGCAGGGCCACACCACAGCTTTTTTGGGGGATCCCAAGCCCTGTGCCATTTACTGCCATTTCCCAGTTCCTTACACCCCACGTGCCCTCAGGATTTGGCTCCGGGGGCAGTATGGCCATGCAGACCTACCCCAGGGGAGGCTCCTGACCCACTGTATGGGTGTCTCTGGCATTTCCCCGCATTACCTTCTTAGATTTCTTCCCTTTGCCCTTCTTGTTGGAGTTCTTCTGCTGTGTCTCCAAGGCGTCCTCTTCACTCTCTGCTGCTTTAGGGGCTGTAGACAGGAGAGAATGCCAACACATCATTAATAATGCCCCATAGCCAGGCCCCCCATGGCCCTGGAGCCCCCCAGCACTGCTCCTACCTTTCTTCCTGGTTTTTCTCTCTCTGGGAGGGTCCCCACCAGTCTGGAAGAGTGACACCGGATTCTTCTTCTTACCCGATCGGATAGGTTTGGTACTGGCATCAGAGTCATCCTCCTCATCACTGCCAGTGGCAGCTGGGGGGCACAAGGACATGGGGACATGAGGACATGGAGACACAGGGACAAAGTGACACAGGGACGTGGGGATATGGGAAAACGGTGCATGGGAACACAGGGTTATGGGAACATGGGGACACCATCACACATCGTGGGAGCTGCTGGATGAGGATGCCAACCCCGCTCACCTCATACCTTTCTTTTTGCTCTTCTTCTCCTTCTTCTCCCCATTCACATGGAACACAGATATCGGCTCCTTCTTTGCGCTTTTGGTAGATTTGGCTTTGCTGTCAGCATCACTTTTGTCACCTGGAGGGCCAGACCAGGGACAGCCAGTGACAGAGGTCACATGGTGACAGTGGACTGGGACTGTGCCACCCCTGTGTATTCACCCTTTGCTTTCAGCTTCTTCTCCCCTGAGGGTGGCTCTTTCGTCAGTTTCTTCTTCAGCTTCTTGGGAGGATCTTTACTCTCCATCTCATCTTCTTCCTCCTCCTCCTCTTCCTCCTCCTCCTCAGATACCTCTGCCCAGTGGGACACAGCAGAGAGATGGTGGTGGCACACAAGGGACAGAGGGACACACATGGATCTGGGGGGTTCCCACCTTTCATGCATCAGGCTGATTTGGGGACAAAAACCACCACAGGGGTGTGCAGGATTTCTGCAGAAACTGATAGCGTGGACATAGGGATGTGGTGAGTGGGGACATGAGGCGTGGGGACATGGGGCTGGAGTTTCCCCATCCTTTTTGGATGCATGAGGCTGATTTGGGGGCAAAAAGCACCCTGAGGGGATGCAGAATTGCTGTGGATATGAGTGGGGTGGACGGTGGGGACAAAGTGCTTGGGGTCGTGACACACAGGGTTGTGGTTCGTGGGGACACATGGTACGTGAGGGAATGTGGTTGTACCATGCTGTGGTACAACCTCCATGTGCCCATGGAGGGTGGCTGCTGCCCGCCATGTCCCCTCACCTTGCTGCTTTGTTTGGCCTTTGGCCACATGGGATCGAGGCGCTGAGCCCTCCTTTTTCTTCCGAGGCTCCCGGAGGGGTTTGGAGCTGAGCTCCTTATCACCCTCCTCCTCTCCTTTCTCCTTTTTCTTCCCCACCTTCTTCACCCCTGCACATTTCAAGAGCCCGTGTGACAAGGAGCACCATGGGTGCATGGGGCATAAGCTTTGGAGGGAACAGGAGCTGGCAGAGGGCCTCCATAAGCTGCTCACCCTGCACTGGGCCATGGGGCTCCTTGGTACCCCTGGGATCACTTGGCTTCTTCACCCGCAGCCGTCGTGGTTTGGCTTCGGGCTCCATTGCTGGCTCCTGCTGTTTCTTCTTCAGCTTCTGCCCCACAGACGATGCTGCAGAGACCGACCGTGCCATGGTTCAGCATCTGCTCTTACAGCAGCTGGAGCACACTGGTGCATTTTGGAAAGGGATTCTGTGAGCACGACAGCTCTTGCATTGTTCTTGTAAAAGCTCTTGCAAGGGACGTGCTGCACTGTTACATGAACAACTTACCATGGGGTTGGCCCATAGAGGGATGGCAGGAAGGAAACAGAACGGGCCATTAGCAGGGAGATTGGAGGGCAGCAGTACCACACCGTGCCTGTCCAGGGGATGGGGGACACGATGCCATACCACCATATGTGAGCCACAAGGGATACACAGGGAGTGTGGGGATCAAAATCCCCCTGGCTCCTCTCGCCCACGTGTGTTTCCTATGGAAACCAGATTGTGGGGTGGAGATTGAAGGCCATGTGCTGAGACAGGCTAGGGACACCAGAGCTGCAAGGATCGAGGTCAGCAGAAGCAGGGCAGGAGGAAGTGGGGGATTAAAGGCAGCACACCTAATCCTCTTTACCCTGGGCTATAAATAATGCTGATTTACCAAATGCAGAGCATGTGGTTCAGCACCAGGCAGGGGACATCAGAGGGAGAGGGCACCTGGTCGGGGTCCCCCAGGAGTGATGCAGCACTGATTGCATCAGCACTGATCACATCTGGGTGCAAAGCATCCCCCCTTTGTGAGGGATTTGCTCTGAGGGGATCCTTCCCCGGCAGAGCCCCCAGCACTTCAGCACCACAAAAGGATGGATCTGCCCCACAGCACTAACCCACTGCCATCTCCCAGTGCATATTCCTCAGGGTCTCGTGGTGGGGCTGCAAATCCCAAGTTCTTTCAGCTGGCTACAAAAAAGCTCTTTCCCTCCTTTAATCACTTGAGCAGCACAGGGACAGGATGGCCCTCCACTTTGTTAGCAACTTAACAAAGTCTACTAATAACAGCAGAGTACTCAGATTGCTGCAGAGACCCCTGTCAGGGGCTGTCCCAAAGGGCTGCCTCAAAATGCAGCCACCCCTAGAAGGGGTCACAGCCTGGAAAGTGACACTGCTGACAGCTGAAATGATTAATTAAAGCACTAATCAGGAGCTGAGGCCCCATCTGATGGGATGGAGATGGGCTTGGGAAGGATGCACAGATCAGAAGCAGAGTAGGGTCCCACAAACGCCTGCACTCACCCAGGACTGAGCACCAACCCCACTCCACTCCCACCACAATGTGGCCAGGGGCTGCACCCATCCTCAGCCCGTAGAAGAATTGCTCCTCACCTGCTTCAGCCGCTGCTGCTGAGGGCTGCTCAGCTCCTCGCTGGGGCTGTGGGCAGAGGAAGCAGATGGGTGAGGGCTGGCCCCATTGGAAAGTTTATTTTTTGATGAACATGAGCCAAAACGGATAGCAGTTTTCCAAAGCAGCTTCCCCATATCCCAACAGGGCCAAGCACAGGCTGGGCTCTGCTTTGGTCAGTGCTGATGGCAGTGAGGTTAACCAGCGGGAATGTGCCCTAATTAATGCTTTTCCCATTGCAAGCCACCAAGCACCGAGGCACTGACCATTGAGGCAAGCAAACAAGAAAAAAAAAAAAAAAAAAAAGAGAAAAAATTCAACAGAATTACACTAAGATAAACCATTAAACTGAAAAGGGAGAAAAAGGGACCTCACCTGTCAGTGGCCCACACCTCACGCAGGATCTCAGTCTGCAGTGGCATCGCTGCAGTGCCTATAGGATCAGAGCTGGTTCCATGGGTGCAGCCTCAGCCCTGGTGCCAGCAGCGCAGGAGTGTGCAGAGGAGATGATTAACTTTTTATTTCTCTTGAAACTCAGTAATAGGATTTCAGGGCTGGCCGGCCCTGCAGGGAGAGTGACAGCTGTCGCAGTAATCCCAATAAAAGGGAACCTGGGGGATTTGTCTGTGGCTTGCCTCCTTTTTCTCACCCACTGTTGGGGATAGAAACACAGAACTTGGGTTGGTTTGCACAGAAAACCCAAGGATCCCTGCTGGACTTACTGCCTACCCAACTCAACATTATGGCAGCACCAAACGTACTGCTTACCCAACTCAACCCCACTGCAGCATCAAACCCACTCCTTCCTCAACACAACCCCACTGCAGCACCAACCCACTGAAGCCTTGCTCCCTGCAGCACCCAGTGCCACTAGGTGGCATTTGGACACTGCACACCCCACGCAGAGAGGAGCACCCTGAGCCATGGTGTGCTCAACACTGCCACCCTCGAGCCGTGTAGCCAGAGTTGCAAGTTTCTGTGGAGCAAGCCAGAGTCGTTTCCTAAGAAAAACATGACTTTAGCTGATCCAAAGTGACTTGTTTGCCCTGCTTGCAAAAAGAAAACATTTTTTTGCGGAGCCATCACTTCCATTCAAATTTTCACCCCAGAACCAGACCTGGGGCAAGCGAAACCCCGAAACACCAGCCCCAAATCTCCCAAACGGTGGTGCTGAACAAATAAAGGCATCAGGACAAACTCCCCAGGCTGGGAAGTCTGCACTGCTGCAACCCCAAAGTGGTGCCTCAAAGCAGGACTCCAAAGCGGCAACACAAAGCAAGACCCCAAAGGAGCACCCCAAAGGAAGACCCCACAGCAGGACTCCAAGCAGCACCCATAGGGGCATTTCAAAGCAGAACCCCAAAGCAAGACCTCAAAGCAGCATCCAAAGGTGCCCTCTAAAGCAACACCCCCGAAGCAGGACCCCAAGCAATACCCCAAAGCAGAATCATAAAGTAGCACCTCAAAGCAAGACTCCAAAGCAGAATCCCAAAGCAGGACTACAAACAGCTTTCCAAAGCAGGACCAGGCCTAGAAGACAGCAATAACTCCATGACACACTCAAACTGCTGCATCCCCTCTGGGATGGAGCAGAGAAGCACTTTTTTATTTTAACCAATTTTTTTTTTTTTTTTTTCAGTTCTTTATTTTCCAGCTTCCAGTGGGTATTACAAAGACCAGACAGTAAAAATAAAAACTTGAAAGCTGTTCTCCGCAGGCAGTGCCCACATCCTTTCTCACGGGGCTGGCTGGAGGATGGCACTGTGCAGCACCGGTTCCACAAGAACCTCCCCTTTGCTCCCTGACCACTGCTTCTCTCCTTTTCTTTTTTTTTTTTTTAAATTATTTTTGTTCCTATGGGCCATGAAACCTCTGTTGAAAAATATGAACAGGGAACACAACCAGTGAGCACAGTGGGGTCCGGACACCCTGTTGCAGCTCCCCCAGCCCTACAGTGAGAAGAAAGAGGAGAAAGGCAGTGCATGAGGAAGGCTTGGTTGCATCCTGCCACACTGCTTCCACATCCCAGCTGCTCCCAGAGGACATAGAGCAAGGTGAGCCTCCTGAAGCCAGGAGTTCCAGCTTTGATTTCTTTGTCCCCCACCCCTGGGAAGGCGGTTGTTCCACTGGTGGTGGTCCCACACCATCCAACTGCTCGCAGCTGGCAGCAGCACCGGGCTGGTCTGATCTCTGCGAGGCACTTTTGCTTCCACAATCACACAAACTGGAACAAACTTTACAAGGAAACACCAGCAGGTCCTGAGTCCTGGCAAAGTTCTTGGCACAGGCTGAAGGCAAGAGGCTTGTCCTTCTGCCACCTCCTCCATCATACGTGCCCCTCTGTCTCTTTGCCTTCATCACATGATGCTGTCGCTGCCTCTTTTTCTACTCTGGTTTTGCTGGCTGCTTCCTGAAAGAGAAACACAGAGCGAGAAACAGGAATGATGGGCTATGGAGCTGCAGTCCACGTGCTGGGCAGTATCTGTGGTCCATACATGGAGATATAGCTGTAGCCCATACACAATCTATTGGTGCAGCCCATACACAACAAGCGATAGCTGCAGCCAGACCCACGGGTGCAGGACAACATCCTGCAGCCCGCGTACAGCTGGCAGCTGAGCACAGCCCTGCTCCCTACCCACCTCCTGGTGCTGGGCCACAGCTGCTCCCTGTCCACTGCACTCACATATTCCACCGCCTCATTTTCAGACACTGGTTCAGAAGAGATTATACCAAAAATGACTCACACAGACTGCAAAGTTGTCCTCTCCTGTTATGGTACACTGTGCATTGGTTTTTGTTTGAAGGAATTTTGGATAAGAGCCTATTACAAGAAAGCGATCTCTTATATAAGCAGAGGAGCAGAGTGTTGGGTTATATGATTCAGAAAATTCATACTATCATGTCTCAAACTCCCCCCGGCCTTGCCAGAGAGCGGCTGACATTTTGCTTTACCCATGTCATCAATCGCCACAGGCAGGGGACAGCACCTGGAGCACAAACACCAAACCTGTTGCCAGCTGTCACGTGCCCATGTCCTAAACACTTTAATCGACAAGTGAGCACCTGACAGCAGCTTCTGTGTGCAAAAGACCAAGAACCAAGGGGTTCCTTCCCATGCTGCTCTGTCAGGCCACACACAGTCTATAGCTGCAGCCCATTCAGCCCTACAGCTGCAGTCCATAAGTGAACTACAGCCACAGCCCACACAGACCTATAGCTGTGGCACATATACGACCCTCATGGCCTGAAGTTGCACCAGGGGAGATTCAGGTTGGACGTTAGGAAATACTTCTCCAAGAGAGTGGTCAGGTGCTGGAAAGGGCTGCCCAGGGAGGTGGTGGAGTCACTGACCCTGGAGGTGTTCAAGAAACATTTAGATGTTGTACTGAGGGACATGGTTTAGTGGAAAATATTGGTGATAGGTAGATGGTTGGACTGGATGATTTTGTAGGTATTATCCAACCGTGGTGATTCTAAAATTCTATGAACTCATGCATGACCTACAGCTGCAGCCCACGCATGACCTGTAACTGCCATCCAGACCTCCATCCTTGTCCCAGTCTCCATTTGCTCTGTTTCAGCCCCATCACCATGCTGAGCATCCCAAACCCAATCTCCAGGCACGACAAACCTTTGCATCCCTCTCAGCAAACTTGGCAAACATGTTGGCGTAGATCCTCCTGTCCCGCTCATTGTGCTCCTTTGTCTTCTTCTGGCAGACGGCAATCTGCGACCTGGCTGCTTTGTTCTGTGGGTTCACCTCTAGCACTTTCTGAAAGTCACATTTTGCCAGCTCAAACTCGTTCATCAGCAGCCGGGCCTCACCCCGCCGGTACAAGCCCTTCTCGTTGTCCTGGTCCAGCCCCAGCGCCTGCAAGCACAGAGTTCTCCAGAACCCAGCAACCCTCAGCAGCGTGTTCACTATGGATACTGTGAGTTTTTGTCCCAGCTTCATGTTATTTCCTTATAGTGAAAGCTTCCTGAGAGCCACAGATGCGTCTCATTGGTAACTTCCATCTGAGTTAAGGCAGCAAGCCTTATGCAATGAAGAACCAGAGGCAAGATTCCTAAATTTTGGTGGATGCCTAATTCTGAAGACACCCAAGGTCAGGGCTGGACGGGGCTCTGAGAACCTGTCAGAGCTGTGGGTATCACTGTGCAGCTCAGGGAGTGGGACCAGACGGCCTTCAAAGGTCCCTTCCAACTCAAACGATTGTAAATTTGAGCCTTTTATAAAATAATTAAGTGTTCTTAATGCCACCAACACAGTGCCCTTTGGAAACTGCTGCGAAGACAAACTGAATAGGAAAGGAAGAGTAAAACAAAAGTTGTGCTCCCATACCTTATCACAGCACTCAACAGCTTTGGTGTACTCGCGCAGCTTCAGATAGCACATGGCCAGGTTGAGGAAGGCAGCCAGCAGGAAGGAATCGGAGGCTTTTGACTCCTTCTCTGACAAGCCATACTCCATCTCCAGCCAGGACACGATCTTCCCATACTGAATCACCGCCTGCAAGTATTTGCCTTCCTGAGATGGAGCAAAAACAGGATATGGGGAAGGGTTTAAAATCAAAAGAGGGGAAGTTTAGGTTTGATGTTAGGTGGAGCTTTTTACTCAGAGGGCAGTGAGGTTATCCAGCACTTCTGCCCAGAAGGTGCCCCATCCCTGGTGGTGTCCTGAGGTGGGGAGGAAGGCAGCAGGGCTGCGAGGGCCCTTCTGACCCAACCATTCCATAGTTTCATGATCTTTATGTTCTCATTCAACCCAATCATTCCACGGTTCTATGATTCTACTTTATGAATCCAGACTCAGAAAGACAGTGGATCTGCTGAGGACAGCGAACAGCAGGGCAGGCAGAAGTGGATGACGCTGCATGGCCCCAGTAATGCTGCGTTGCCTATGGAGTGTATTTGTTACGCAGGGAGAGGACTTGGCAGAGGACTGGCACTTTTTGGGAGGGGACATTTCTGACATTTTTACTCCTTGAAGACCCAGTGAAGTGAACTAGGACTTGCTCCAAGTGCCCAGCAGTGCAAGCTCCCTGCTTCTATCCAGGTGTCACAAACCTTGAAGTACATTGTCCCCTTCTCCTTGACGATGGCAGCCTGCTCCAGCTTCTCTTTGGTGTCCATCTCCCATGACTCTTTGGCCTGCAAAGACAAGCTCAGAGCCACCACCCCAAGGCATAGCAGCAGTTGCAAGGTGGGAACAGCACCAGATCAACACACCATGCAACTCCAAAGCACCAGACCCACCTGCATGCACGCCCTTAGGAAGCAGTAAGAAGAGCAAAATTAATGGGATGCCACAATCCAGGCAGCCCCAGGAAGCTTTGGAGGATTTCTCTTTAATAGAGTGGGGCTCAGCAAGGTGGTCTTGCATAGGGCAGAGTGCTGAATTTGAAGGAGTGGAGCAGATAGGGAACAGGAAACATTCATGGAGCACACAAAGGGCATGCCTTGGGGTGCAGAGTAACTACTGCAGGGATGGGATGTACTCTGAGCCCAGCTATACAGCATGATTTGTCCACTGCAGTACACACATAGCAACCCCGCAGAATGAAAAAAAAAAAAAAAAAAAAAAAAAAGGAAGATCTCTCCCCAGCATAGGGTCTTGGCACTATCCCTGCTCCAGCCAAGGTTAGGGACCCAGCAGCACCTGCCCTATCCCTGTGCTGTCCCCAGTCCCTGTCCCCATCCCCAGCCCCTCCAGCATTCACCCCAACCCTCTCCCATCAGGACTCAAATCTTAATATTTTTTTTTCCTGTGCAGCCCAAGGAGATAGAAAAAAAAAAAAAAAAGTACAAAAGGAACAAGGTTAGGAACAAATAAGAGGACCAGCCTTGGAGCTTGGCCAGAAAAATGAAACAAACCAACACACAAGAACAAATTAAGAACACAGTGATCCTTGCTGACGTCTCCACTTCGGCAGGGGCCGTGGCGCAGCCAGGCCAGGGACAAAGGGTGAGCACAGTGTGGGGAGTGTGTGGGAGTCCTGCCCTCACCTTCTCAAAGCTTTTCAGCGTGACCTCGTACACCAGCTCAGCGTTCGCCTGAATACCGTACTTGGGTTTCCCTGCCTCGCCGAAGCCGTACCTGTAGGGAAGAAGCAAGAAGCTTTCAGGGGGGAGGTCAGGGCACCCACAGCCTCCCCCCGGGACCAGCCTCCCCCCAGCCCCTTCCTTCCTCTGCTGACTCGGCCATTCTCCTCCTAAATACCCCCCTTCATCAACCAGCATCTTTAAAAAGCAGGAAGAAAGCTAAATCCCCTATATCTTCATTTTAGCAAGCACACAACCAAGTGGCTTGCTGTTCTCACAACCAGCTCCATGCTAATGCTGTTGGGTTGGAGTGCTATTATCCTCCAGAAGCAAATATATGCTGCAGCATACGATGCATTACACATGTGCATCTCCAGATGCACACAGGTGCACCAGACCTGGCTTTACACAGCTTTCATCATGCGTCAGGACAAGGAACAGTGATTTCCTGAGCTCCAACAGCTGGATAAAACCCCTTTCAAGTACCTGCCTCCCACTTACCACTCTGGCATTCCCTGCTGGTGATACTAATATATCCCAGAGAAGTTCTGTTGGCACATTTACATTTTCACAAATGCTCCAATGGCCTCCAATGTTGGAAGTTTCAACCCTGCACCGAGCAGCATGGGCGCAGAATCCCTTACCGTGGCCCTAGGTAGAGGACACAGTGCTCTCCCCTCTGCATCTTCTCCAGCGCTTTGTCAATGCCAATAGGGATGTCGTGGTCCTCTCCTTCGCCCACCACAAACTTCACATCCTTGCAGTCAAAGCGGGTTCCACCACAGAACCCTTCCAGGTGAACTGTGGGACAGAATGAAGACCACAGGCAGTCAGCACCGTGTGGGCCCTGAGCCCTGTGGCTCCCCATAAACCATTTTCCAAGGGATTTTGCATATAGGTGGCACTTAAGGAAGCGGGAGCAGAGATGGGGCAGTTCCATCCAGTGACCGACCACAAGACCCCAAAATCCCAGATCCTCCCCCAAGCTGAGCCAGAGCCTTGGAAGCATCAGGGGAGACAGTGAGCAGAGAGGGGTGGGAGGGCTTGAAGAACATTGCTAAAAAGCAGTGCAGCCATATCTCATCCCAGCAAGGACCAGACAACAGATAAACATTATGACTAATATGTTCCTCTTGTGCCGCACTGCACGAGTCAGCCTTACTGGAACTGGATACTGCTCCTGGCACACTGCCACGTGGAGTTTATCACGGTTATTACAGATCTCCTATACTACACTGTACGCTCGCATTACACCTCGAAAACAAGGCCATGCTCTCCTGCCTCTACTGAACCGAAAGTACAAAATAAACGTTTATATTTTTTGTCTTCAACCAATAAGCACACTGTTCCAGCCCATGGAGCTGGAGAACGAACAGCAGACCCGGCAAATTTGCCACCTGGTGCTCCTGGCATGATTTCCACCCTGAGATCGTTCCTCATTTATTCAATCCTGAGGATGGTGTGTGCCTGGGGGACAGCGGGTGTTCCCTGCACTCAAAGCAAACAAAATAAAAGCAATCTCATAAGACACTCCCACCTACTGCAGGAAAACTCCCCAAAAGCCTTCAACAAGGGAAAAAAAAAAATCATGGTTAGGCATTAATGCTTCCAAAAGTGCTTAAGTATGTTGCAGCTGCTCACTGCTGCAGAACCCAACAGCATGGATGGATGGACATGAGCTTCTCACACGCATGCTGCTGAGAAGCCAGAAAGGTTTCTACTGCCAATATAAATGTCAGTAAAATGGGGAGAGGTGAGAGCCTTGGGAAGAAATTAACCCCTTTTCTAAGTGGGGATGATTTGGCCATTCATTGATGCGCTGCCGAGGACAGCACTCTGCTTTGTGCAGCCAGGCTGCATGATGGAAAACACTCCTGCAAGTCCACTCCAGGGCTAAACCCTGCTGATCTCCTTGGGAAAATGGAACGTTCAGCCTAAAGCACAAGCAGCCCACCAACCTCACGGCTCCTTGCTGTCTCTGCTTGTGTTTTCTGCACCCATTATCCGTGGCCCTGCACCAAGCACACGGCACTGCGGATCTCTGGGTCACCTGTCACCAACAGAACACAGCAGTGATCCCACAAGCCCTCCTCACAACAGTATGCCCAGAAGAATATGAGCTCCCAGCCCTTGCTTCAAGAGAAGCAGAAGAGCTTTCCTTCTATTCTAATTGTACACTAGCAACGGGAAAATCTCTGCTCCGGTTTCTAGGAGCATTTCAGCGCTATCTGAAGCAGGTCAGCTGGCTGCGGTTGCTCTTGGATTACAGCAAGAAAGCCCCCGCCGGGCTCTGCACATCCCTTCGGCTGCAGTGCTGACTTATTGTTCTCCCAGTGCCTGCAGTGATTTTGTTTTTGAAGAGCTCAGAACACAGTGTACCGAGTGCGGCTGGCACATGAACTTGATGTGCTGACAGCAATTTGTACTCAGATTAAAATGGAGAGGAGGGGGAGGGGGTGGGGAAAGGTTGTAACAAAAGCTGGAATGTGGGATTTTGACTGCAGCCCGTGTTCTAGGAACTGGACCTGCAAACTACAGCCTGTAAAATTCTAACTGATAGAACTGCTTATGAAACTCCAGCCTGGAGGTGCTCGCCCTGGTTAGTGCACATGTTTCCCCAGCATGGTTCAAACAGAGGTTTCGGGCACCTGGGAGCTATCCCTGATGCTGGATTTGGTGGGAAGCGAGAAGAACAGAGAGGTGCCTGTGCACTCCCATAAACCAAAGCTGCTCCTTGGGGTCCCACCTCTGCTGCTGGGTGACCCTGCAAACCAGCCTCAAGCAAAGTACTTCGAGGTAAACAGCAATGCATTTGAAAAATAAAAAGCCTCTCTGCACCCAAAACGCTTCCCTGCAAGGCTGCCAGGTTGGCTCACTGCTCCTTTGCACCTTTTCTCCTTGGGATGCATTTATGGTCTCTGGCCCCAGACCGCAGGTTGGTGCAAAGGACCCGTAGCCACCTTGGCGCAGTGCTCCTGCTCTATGCAGCACTGCCTCTGAGGGAATTCACCTCTATTATCCTGACTGTGTGTGTGCTCCTGTTCTCTGTTTGCTCCTGTTTGCTTGCAACCAAGCATCCATTTGAAATAGGAACAGGTCAGCTTTGAGGTGCAGAGAAACGCAGCCCCACACAGAGCTCCAGTGTTAAAAAGGCAGGAGGAAATGGGGCCGGTTGTCATTTTGCTTAGCCTGTTTCTCAGGTTAACCTCAGAGACGGGGAAGGCAGCCTGAAACCCTACTCCCAGCAGGGTCCAGCCATGTGACAGGCAGATAGATCAGCATGAGACAAGAACATCTTCTTAAGAAAGTCTGTGAGAGGAACAGACAGTGAGTTTTGTAAGTTCAGATCTAATTTCACCTTCACTAATGGAAGTTAATTGGACCCTCTTGAACGAACAGGAGCTCTGGAATGGGGATAAGAAACTAGACGCCTTACAGAGATGGCATGTTAGTTCCACTTCTATGGCTGAGTTGTTTGCAGGAGGAGAAACAAAAGCCTGGCTCTCCCCACCTGAGTAAGATGCTTGCTCCATAAACATGACCAGAATCACTCAGTCCCGCTTACAGAGAGGGAGCGAGGAACTGGACAGAATGAACTGCAATGCACTACGGACCACACTGAATCCACAGACCCCTTTTGTGTTAATTCATCCCCCATCAGCTACGACCAGAAGTTTGAAACTGTCCTCTGGCCACATGAGAAGGAAAAGAGCCCATGCTGCAGCGGATGCAATGAAAACCACCAAAACAGCAATAAGCGTCGCAACAACGAGACCAGAGAGGCTGCTGCCTCCTCCTCTGGACAAAAAGATGTGCCCAAGCACCCAGCAAGCTGCACACTAAGCAAAAACCTCGGCAATCCCAGTGCTACAGGCTGAAATCCAAATCACAGCCTGAGTTTTCAGCATCCACCTCACTGGTCCTGGATACAACCACATCCTGGAGCCACTCATAGACAAGGGAGGGGCAAACAAAAAAGAAAGAGGCTGAGCCCAAGACCCCATAGGGACTGGAGAAACAGAGTGCGGTCCGTCCTTGAGCAGTGGCTCCATCCCCAGCTGGCTGCTCCCGCAGCTCAAGGTTTTCCAGTAAAACCCTCCGAGCCAGCAGTTCTGGAACAGCTGTCACATGCTGTGCCAAGGGCAGCTCCCAACCCAGTACTCACTTTCCACTGTAGCACCTTCGTTGGGATTGGAATAGCCTTCTCCTTTCCTCTTGATCCTCCGGATGATCCCTCCATCCTCAAACAGGTCCTCGCCTTTGAAATCAAGCAACTCTATCTAAAGGATTAAAGGGAAGGTAGGCAGAACTGTGGGTGGAGAGGAAGGAGAGGAGAAAAACAACAGAAAATCCACAAAGCAACAGTTCATCCCCAAGCCGGAAAGCCAAGCAAACTAATTCTGTGCTCAGCTGACAAGCAGAAGTTGCCCATAAAAGCCAGCTCCAAGCCACAGCATAATACACCCAATTTATTAGAAATTGGGCCACATCCAGTACCTGAAGTGCAGCACAAAGTAACAGCAAAACTGAGTTTATTAATCCTGCAGGGCAGAGCGCAGTCGTGGCTGAGAGGTGCAGGGGGAGCACAGGAGCAGATTTTTAACCCCTGGAGGTGTTCCCGAGCTGTTTCCCCACTCGCGTGCCTTTGCACAGCCAGGCTGTGCCGGCTCTCCCCACAGGGCTGCTCCCCACCGCAGACTCTCGGCTCAGACACACATTGCTGAAAAAACACTGGCATTGGTTCCTGGAGCAGAGGGACACGTTTCAGGAATGCAAGCTGTTTTTTGTTTGGCTTTTTTTTTTTTTCCTCTTTCTCAGAGCTGGCTGGCAAGGCAGAAAGCAGAGAGATCTCCCAGCCCTGTACTTGCCTCGAAAAAAAGGGTGGCATTGGAAGGGATTTTAGGAGCACTGCCAGCAGCCCCGTAGGCGTACTCCGGTTTGCACAGCAAGTAGCAGACCTCACCCTTCTTCATGGTAGCAACCCCGATGTCCCATGCCTTGATCACCTGGCCTGGGAGAGAGGTGGCATCAGGAAGGAACCCAAAAAAAAAAAAAAAAAAAACCCACAAAAGCGGGACCCTAGAAAGCTGTTCCTTAATCCCATGGTGACACAGGAGTCCCTCGTCCCCTTACCCTTGCCCAGGCTGAAGATAAAGGGCTCGTTGCGGTCACGGCTGGAGTCAAACTTCTTGCCATTGGACAGCTTGCCCTTATAGTGCACATACACCTTGTCTCCAATCATAGGGAACTCATCCTCATTCCCGGGTCTCTTGATGATCTACGGAGGAAATCCACCCACAGGAAAGAGTCTGCGCTGAGCTTAGGATGCACATATATCCATTATTAAAAAAAAAAAATACAGGCATGTGTACACATTTAAACCCTCTCCTGCAATGCTGCCCTAACACAGGGGAAGGCAGTAGGCAAGCCATCTGATTCCTAAAACCCAGCCCCACACCAGTGCAGTTCCCCCTGCACGGGGCTTTACTCATGGGGGTGTGTTGTTTCACTCCTCGCTTCTTGTCAACACTTGTTTTTTTTTCTTTTATATTGCTACAGCCTGGAACAAGCAGTTCCCAACAGGGGAGGATGCTATTATTAGAGGGAAGGTCCTGTTCAGCTGGAGAAGAGCAAGTGCTGGTAAGCAGAACTATCCAGAAATGGCCCCGAATGAGAACCAGGAGCTGCGAGGCAGACTGCATGACCTAAGTAATGTGCTCTTTCTAACGTCTGTGAGTCACACACAAAAATGCTTTGTGGATTTGAGGCTAATAATCTGATTAGAAACACAATAGCAGTGAAATTCATTCAGCAGACTGAACCCGTGTGCAGTGTGTTCGCTCCATCCTTCGATGCTCAGAAGTGTCCGTCTCACCAGGAATACAGGGACAGAACACGGCCCCAGGGCCATGACAAATGGCCACAACTGCAGGTCCCACTCACCTTCAGCACGCCACGGTCACGGGTAGGTGTGATGTCCTCCCCACGCTCCGCCAGCGCAGCTGCCTGCACCTCACCTTCAGGCTTGGTGGCCTCGTCAGTTGTCATTGTCCCCAGGCAGAAGCAGCACAGCTAGGGAGAGGATGGAGGGACAGGAGGAGGGGGAAAGGGTTAAGAACTACAGAGCCCTAGTGCTGCTGCCCATGCAGGAAGTTTAGAGAACATCTCAAGCATGCAGAGCGGAAAATCCCTTCCCAGGGGCCACCCAAGCTCAGCGCTGTTGAACCACAAGCACACGCAGCTCCAGCGGCAGGCACTGAGCTGCCCTGGCAGCCGGATCCACGCTGCGGCACCATGATGGAGACAGTCATGTCCTGCTAGTTCTCACCCCTGGGTCCTCTCACACTGCTACACAGAGTCTCCCAGAAAGGGTTTTACCAACAAAATGCGCCAACAGGTCAAAGGGTGCCGACCAAGGGGCTCCCAGTGCACAGCATAATGCAGGAGCTCGGCGCTGTTGGCTGCACTCAACCTACTGGGGCCTTCTTGGGGGACGCTCCACCAGCAAGACTGCAGTCCCAACAAGATGCTGGCCTTCAGCCCAAGGAGTAATAAACACCAAAAGAGAGATTTCAGGCACCTTTATCAGCAGACACCACGAAAAGTGGTGAAGCTGAGAGGCTGAGATGCTCTGAGGGGAAAAGCAGAGCCCTCAGAGCTCTTCCTTCCCTCAACTCAGCCCCTCTTATATGCTGTCTGAAAGTTTGCACAATGCTGTGCTTCGAGCTACGCCACACACTGATGAGGATTATTTTCCACGAGGAACGAGTTCCTGTTCCGTCAGAGGCTGCATTATTCTTAAGTGAATGGCCCAAACCCAGGCATGCATCGTTCCTCTTGCCCAAAAAGACCCAAAAAGGTGCTGAGGCTGTGGGTCAGCCCTGATGCTGTGGATTACCACATGGTCTCACCCCAATGGGAAGACGTAAAGGCAAAGCAGGGCAGTGCAAACACAGTGCCAACAGAATTCCAACAAAGAATATCCACTAGAAGACTCCAAGAAATGAGTTTTTGGGGCAAAGTGCTGCCCAAAGCAACAACTGTACAGGAGAAGAGCGTGCTGCAGCCAGCAGACCGTGCCCACATCGGTGGCACTGAACATTTTGCTGAAACAAAATACAAGCAGAACACAGTGCAGTTTGCATGGGGAAGCACTGCAAGGACACGATGCAAAACCCATGCAGCCAGGCACCTGAACTCTGTGTAGCCTGCTGCGTGCCTTGCCACGGCGATGGACAAACCACAGCTTTCATCCATGGCAGAGCTGGACAAACGCTGCCCAGTGAGAACATAAATGCTTCTGGTTGAGGAAAAAAACCATTTCCCGATGATTTCCCTTAGATGGGATGACTTGTTTTGGTCGCTACACTACTGTGCAACACGTAATCAAGGAACCATACAACACAGAAATAGAAAGCAAGGGTTTTTGAAACATAAAACAGATCTATAAAAGTCAGTGTAATTGCCAAACTTTCCCACAGCCTTTCGTGTGGAAGCTGACGCCAACCAACATTAGAAATCATCCGTTCAAGGCCTCATAAACAGCAAAGAAGGGATGTTTTCAGCTCCCAAGGCAGATCAGTCACACTGCGAGAACAACTGCGCCTGGGCTGAGTGGGACAAACCCAACTCCAGCCTTCCCAGCACAGGAAACCAGCAAGACACAAAGGGCTCCATGAGGAAGGAGTGAACAGAGAAAGAAGAGAATTGCCGCTGCAGCGCTCCGTTATAAGTCTTTGGGGCTATGTCTGATGAGATGCTGCATTTGCTCCACTTCCCCTGCTCTGCAGAGATTTTGGATGGCAACCCCTAAAAGCACTAAGAGCACTGGTGCAAGGAGGGCAGTTGGGAAGCTCAGGGTATTTCTACATCACTTTCAGCTGAATGGCCCATCCTGCAGCATCCATCAGCTTCCCACCTCCTGCTCTAAGGTGCCCTGCATCCAGCCCATGTGCTCCTGGCTGCAGCCACCAGCACACTGCACAGCAGAAATACAGCAAGACCCCACGGAGCTCAGATCATCCCCATCCATGTATACAAAGAACAGTAAGCCTTCCAAAGCCTGTTGAGGCAGAGCTTCCCTGGGTGCATCAAGCGTCACCATGGGGGCACAGAAGATGGCTCGGGAGGTGCCAGCTCTGTATCACCAGTCGCCAAATCCCACCAAGAGATATCTAAAAATACACCACACGCATCCTCCTCGTTATTTTTCTACGTAAGCAATTAGTGCAGCTATCCAGGGCAGCTGGCCAAGGCACAGGGAGGAGTGGGGGGGCGATGCCCTGCGTCAGCAACAGAGGGAGGGATGCAGCCTACAGGACCACTGTGTATTGGGACAGAGCTCAGAAACCTTCGTCTATCAAAACAGAGAGAGAAGGTGGCTCTGCTTCTGCTCATCTCCAGCCTTGTGGAGGCACAAGCACAGCCAGGGAAGGCTGGTGGGGCTCCTGAGTGATTAACAGGAAGCAATCCATCGGAGGAAGGCTGCTGCTCCCTAAGCTCTGCTCCACGCCAGGGCTGGTGCTCTCTCAGGCCAGAATGATCGGCCGGGTCCAGCATCACATTCATCCTCCAAAGCTGTGCCCAGCAGCAATGACTCCCTGCTGGGAGCCATGTACCAGAGGCTGCAGGGCCAGGAGGGATCCATGTGCATGTGGGCACAATGGGAAATGTCCTGACTGTGACATGTAACCACAACAGGGTGGCTTCACACCATTTCAGTGTACACCTGTAACTTAAGAGCTGTAATAAACGTTTTAAAACCAAGACAAACCCAGAGGCTTCAGCACCTGGACACAAACCCTCGAGAGCAACACCCCAGGACCGCACTGGATACGGCACCGGCACCAAAACCTGCCCCGTAAAAACTGGCCGCTCATTCCCAACAATGAAAGGAGAGGCCAAAGTCTGACAGGACCCCGTTCTGCCACCATCCCAGCCTGCATTTCCTAGAAATCACAATACCGGGAACTTTCCAGCTACAAGTGGAAACTTTGCAGTGTCTCTTCTGGAGGTTGTCAGGAGCAGGGAGGAAAGGGGGGGCAGCGAAAAAGGGAGGGTCCTGGCTTGGCACGCATACAGCCCCAAGCGGGACCCCACTGTTCCCAAATGCTGCCTCATATGGCAACAAGGGACACGCTGTGTGTCTCCTCACCACACTGCAGTTTCACTTCCCTCCAACAGAGCAAACGGTTTTCTCTAATAAATACTGTGCAAAGTGTTGCAACTCAGGAGGGAGGAAAGAACACCCCCAACAGCACCCAGAGACACACCAGGTGCTGCTCCAGGGCAGCTTTCATCAAATGCCAACTCCTGTGCTTGCAAGGAATACCCAGTGCTACACACAGTCGATACAGCTTCACAGGTCAGTTGCAGCTCAGCTCTGTGCCCTGGGGGGCTGCAAAGCCAGGACAAAGTGTGGTGGCAGCAAGGAGACCACCCATCCCTCTGTGTAACCATATATATCATAGACAGATGATAGAATGTGTGTAAAACGTATATAATGTGACTCAAAAATGGAGAAGTGGTATGTACATGAATGGGTATCTACAAATCTCTGCTCTGCGGGCAGCAGTGCTTCCATGAGCTCAGTGCTGCTCACACAATAGAGAGGAACGTGGTCTTGTTTCCTTCCAGGTTAAAAAAAAACAGAACAGATTTGCTCCTGTCTGCACACCAAAACACAGCCTGCAGGCCACTGAGCAAACTTAACTGGGCTCTGCTGCTGTGCCCCTGCTGCTCTGCATCCCCACGTACGAGGAGCGCACGTCAATACCGCATGGGGCAAAGAAAGGATTTTTAGTATGCCAGTTCTTTTCCAAGTTAGTGTTTTTTCCTCGATAAATCTGGAAAGGAACATTAAATTGTTATAAAGGCATCTCACTGCTTGTAACAGAGGGCTTTTGCAATGCACCTGTCCATTTTGGCCAGGTGAGCCTCAACTGCAACAGCTCCCCCGTAATCAGTGGGCTCTATTTCGCCACTTACCATCCACAGCAGCATTTTGTGAGCACAGTGTGAAATCCCAACACATCAATCCATGCACACCAAGAGCCCTGCACACCTGTAGGGGGAACAGACCCCAATGTCTGCCTGCAAAGCAGCGCTCAAGAGAAGGTACAGTTGGATGTATGGAAGCTACTGCAAGAGCAGGTTCTGAAACCTCTGCTGAGCCACATGTGCATGCAAATGTGCACAAATATATGTGCATGCACAATATGTGCACAGCCACCTATGCACACATATGCATAGTAAAGCCACATACTAGCATGTACAAACCAGTGCTGCACACACAAGGGTGCACACACCAACAGCGCACGCTGTGCTGCCTTTCACTGGCAAGCGGGGCGCAAGCCAGAAACACTGTTACTGGCAAGCAAGACAACACTGCCTATGGCCAGTTTTATTTAATTAGCCAACTAACGTAAATTTTAAAATATCCTCGAAACGGGACTACCTTTAATTAGGGTAATTCTCCACGAGCAGCACTACTGTTTGTGAGCAACTCCTTCCCAGAGCTCTGGAAATGCCCCACTTTGCAGAACACACCACCACCAGCGCCTTACCCCCAATTTTTGCAGCTCCTAAGCAGGTCTGCTCCTATCTGGGCAGTGTTTCTCGGTGTTCTCCCTGTGCTGGGGGTTAAAGATTGACATGAGGCTCTGCGCAAGTGCCCAGGGATGCTTTTGGAATGCATGTCCCCACCTCTTTGTGCGCACAGACCCCCGCAGTAATTAGAGTAGAAGGTAACGAGCTGGGAAAGAGTGGCACAACTCAGAGCTCAGCAAAGCTCTCATCAGCACTAAACAATGGCGTGGAAGCATTGGCCAAATTTGAGCCCGCCTCTCCCTGGGCTCATCCAGCAGCTAATTACCCTCCAGGCACTAACAAAGGTGGGCAGGACTGGGTATCCAGGTGGAGCGACTCAAAGGTTCCCAGCGAGCTTTCTCATTGTGCACATCTGCAATTAAAACCCACCTAATTGCAGAGCAGCACAGGGGTGTTCTGAGCAGGGTGGTTTGGGGTCTGCTTTCTAGAAATCTCCGGCGCTGCTCTCTTCCTGCTCAGAGGGAACTGTTCCACATCCCTCCTCATCCCAAAGGGACCTCAAGGAAACATGCAGTCCATGTCCTTCAGGTCCCCCGGCACTGGATCCCACGTATGGCCACCTCCAGGGCCATATAATGGCCACACCACGGCCACCTCTGTGTCAAACCACAGCAATCACTGAGGCTCTTCCAGCACACCTCCAGGGTCACACCATGGCCACATCCAGGGCCACTCCCTACTATCTCACCATCACTTTTTCCCTCCCAGGTTTCCACCAACAATCACTTCTCCAGCACCTCCACAGAAACCCACATTCCTCCTCCTGCCCCATATTTCCTCCTCCCACCCTATATCTTCTCCTCCCATCCCATATTTCCTCCCCACTATCCCATATCCTGGCTCACCAAGGTAGTGTAATGTCATACAATGGGGTCCAGGACTCACGTGGCATCGCCTGCCACAGCACCACGAGGACACTGGCTTGGCTCAACCCTGGGTTACTCCTTACAGGTTGTAACTTCCATAGTTCAGGACACCCAGGGAACACTTGGTGTGACAGCAGCACATCCTGCCAGGTGTGGGTTGGGTGCAAAAAACAAAACAAAACAAAATAAAAAATAAAAAATAAAATCCAGATGATTTTGGAGACCCAAACAGCTACAGAGGGAGGAAACAAAGGGATCTGAACAAGATGCCCCATTTACTTTGGCTATGCTGCTGCACCCATCCTGAATGAAACCACACACTGCTGCCTGTACTCGGGGGTATTTTTGGTCAATGCCATTAGGAAACTCATTATATCTGAACACAGCTGTTCAGATACAACCTCATTTTCCGACAACTCTGAAAATAAATTCCCTCTTTGGGCACTGCAGTACTGATGGGCCCCGGTCCCCATCTCAATTGTAACCCTGGTCCCAATCCCAATCTTAATACTGATCCTAATCCCAATCCTGATCCCAGTCCCAATTCCAATCCTAATCCTGGTCCCAGTCCCGAGCCCAATCCCAATCCTGATCCCAGTCTCAGTCCTAATTTCAACCTCCATTCCAATCCCGACTCTGGTTCTGCCGCGAGGGATGCGCTGCGCTGCTCCGTGGGAACGAGCACAATTCCTCGAGCGGAGCGGACCCAAAGGCACAGCGCTACGGACGCGTGCCTACCCCCAGGTCCCTCCCTCGTCCCCTCCGTGTCCCCTCGGCCTCCGTGGGCGTGACGCTCCTTTCCACCCTCTCCTCCTTGGGACGCTTCGCAGCCAGCACGAGTCGGGGACCACTCGAGCCCACGCGTGAAGCTCTTTCCAACCCGCCCCCCAATCCAATCCCGCAACGCCCCACCTCACGCCATCCTGACCCCACCTGCCCACCGCTGCCGCCCGCGCTCCGCCGCAGCCCGGCTCCAAGTGGCACCGGGCGCTCTCGCCGGCCGGGTCTCCCTGTCCCTTCGCCCCGCCCCTCTACTCACCTCCCATTGGTAGTTTCGTCCGCCCGTCCACTTTACACCGCCAGCACCGTTTTCTCATTGGCTGGAGTGGAGGCGGTATGCAAATCAGAGCGTTTTTCCGTTCCGCCGCCCGCTCCGTAGCCGCGGAGCTCCGCCCTCCCCGCGCAGTGCCCGGGGCAGCAGCAGCAGACCGGGGTCGAATGGCCGAGGCCCCCTGTAATGCTCCCGGCGGTGGCTGGGGAATTCTCATCCCCACGCAGTGACCTTGGGAGGGTCCTTAACTCCATGCAATGCCCCCCGAAGGAAGCAGCTCTATGCCACGCCTCTGGGGGCGATCTCACCTCCGTACCATAACCCCGGGGGGATCGCCTCATCCCTGCGCAATACCTCTGCGGAGGTACAGCTCCGTGCAGTGCCCGGGAGCTTCTCGTCCCCATTCAATACCAGAGCTCCCCCCCGCCAGATACTGCGAACTGCCCCCCACCCCCCAGTCGTCATGCAATGCTTCCCCAGCCCTGAGCAGAGCCTCTGGAGGGATCGAGCAATGCTACCGAGGCCACACCCAAACCACGACCCTGCAAACTGGGGTGGACCCTCCCACTCCCTGCCCCTGCCCCCCCCCCCCCCCCCCCCCCCCCCGCTTCCCCAAGAGCTGCCCTATTCCAGGAGGTGTCCCCAGTGTCCTTCCGTGGAACCCCAGGCCTGGGTGATGCTCCACGGGCCCTCAGCACTCCGATGTGAGACCCACTGATCCCGGCTTCTGCTCAAAGCCATTTCCTGCCCCCAAATCTTTGCATTTCTCTCCACCTCCCTAGGGAGGAGGGGAGGAGGGGAGGGGGAAGGTGTCCTCACTGGCACAGCTACACCTCGTGCAGAATCCTGTAATAAAGCCAAAGTCCTAAATAGCAGCAGCTGTGGGGGGCTGCAGTGGGCTGTGCAACCGTAATGCTCCATTTGTTTATTCGACAGAAAAAAAAAAAAAAAAAAAAAGAAAAGAAAAAAAGAAAAAAAAAGCGCATACAATAATATGCATAGGAAGAGAGTACTGGGGTGTTTCTATAACAGAGACCTTCCAGTGGCCATTCCCTCAGCACAGTGTGGGGGTGCTCTGTCCTCCCCCACCCCAACTTTGCAATTCGTATTTGTAAGGAAATTCGATGTTAGAAGAGCACGAGCTGACGTCAACTTCCCCACGCCAGGAAATGCACGGTGCAGCCCTGTCCTCGCCTCACCCGCCCGCAGTGCCTGGGTGTTGTAGCACAGCATTATGCAAGATCCCGCTGCGCTGGGCTGGGAGCAGAGTTGCAGCCCCCAGCAGTGGCATGGGGTGCAGAGAGGTGATGGCAGGATTGGGACCCACGGGAGACAGCTGTGGGCATAGGAAGAGGTGGGACGTGCTGCAGCATGGCACTGCAACAAGGGGAAATCTTGCATGGTTTGGATGCAAAGCCCTGGTGCTGGGTGTGTTGCTCCCCCTCCTCAGTCCCCCGTTCCCCCCTCCCCCCAGTGCCTACCCCATCCCAGGAGGAAATCTACTCCTCTGGAGCAGAATTCCAGGAATAATCCCTGAAGGCACTGCACAGCTGCCAGGGCACTGCCTGTCCCTCGTCAGTCATCCCACTGGCACATGGATGCCCCTGATGGGGACAGGGATCAGGGTGAAGCCTTTAACTTGGGCACTCCAAGTGACAGCTGGGCATGCTGGACACCTGGATACCCCTAGGATGCCAACCTGGGCATGTGCCCCCACACCCTGTGGCATGTGATGGCAAAGCCTTCTGCCCAAAGGTAATAAAACTGAAAAAGGAGAAGGAGAAAAAAAAAGAAGAAAAAAAAAAAAAGAGGAGAGGAGGCTGGAGAGGAGAGGCATTCCCTGCTCTCTCCCTCCTGCAAAGTGCAGCACCTCTAAGCCCAGCGCACCATTGCTCCCTGAGTCCTTCCTGCAGCAATGAGGCTCCCAACACCAAACTGAGCCCCTTGCCCCTTTTGGGGGTGCAAAGCAGTTTGTTGGGTGGTGCCCCCCTTGCACCCCTCCCCCTCTTCCCTGTAAGCTCCCCGGGCAATCCACTTCATGTCCCAGCCCAGGTTGGGGGCTGAGTTGTGCCATGATGTGAGCTCAGCCCTTTGCTGCAGCAGTCGGGTGTTTACGGAGGCGAAGGGCTGGGGTTGCACAACCGCAGTGTGAGTACACCGTGTCCCTGGTGATGGCTGAGGTGCAGCTGCAATGGGGCCACAGGGGCACAGGGGGCCCTCAAGGGTGGGGCCTGGCTATGGGGTGCATGGCTGCATGCTGCATCTGATCCCACAAATCTTTCCAGCAGAGAAGTGATGGTGGGATATTGCACACAGCCATCTACATGCTTTGTTCTGAAGTGTGGAAACAGTGCTGAGGAGAGCCCACGAGCCCACCCCTAGAAACTGCATGTGGGGACCCAGTGCCCCACTGCTGCCCCATCACAGCCCTGGCCCTGCTACCATGCACCCAGCGTGCACTTCAACGTGTGCTAGGATCTACTGCTGCCCCCTCACAACAGCTCCCTGTGTCCCGCTAGGGTGGCACAGACACCCATGGGAGTGCACAGCAATGCAGTGGGGGTATGCAATGCAGTGAGGTATGCAGTGTAATGGGAGTGAGCAATGCAATGGAGGTGTATGTTGCAATGGGGGTGTGCAGTGCAGTGGAATGCTCCCCGCAAGGATGAGTAGCAATGCAATGGGTGTGTGCAATGCATGGGTGCCCCATGGCACTCCCCTCCTCCACGGACAGCTTTATGCCACCCAAAGGGTAAATTATACCTCTGGATTGTCTTCTCCCCAAAGGAAAGGGAAAAAAACCCACCAAGAATGTATATATATATGTATATAATATATATATTATAATTATACATTTAAATATGTATTTTTTAAAATACATATTGAAAGCGGTGATGCTGCTCTGTAAATGAATGGCAGGAGGGCAGAGTCCAAGGCTCCAGCATGGCACTGGGGGGGGCCCAGCATGGCCCCAGCACAGATAACGCCGTGAGTGCCGGGCGCAGGATGCAGAGAGCTGAGTGGGAGTATAAATAACGGCCGCTGTGCGTTCTGGCTGGGGGCCACTTCTAACACAAAGTACATTCCGGTCTGGACGTAACAAACTGTACCAGCCTCTGCCGGGGCGGGCACAGGGGTGACGGTGCTCCATGCCAGCCACCCCCACCCCCAACTGAGCCATGTCCTGGGGGCATTGATGGAGATGGAGGGAGGTGGGTGGGGGTGGGAGCAGGACCCCTGGGGTGTGCAGTGCAATGAGGGTGTGCAGTACAACGGAGGTGTGCAATGTGCTGTGGGTGTGCAACGCAGTGCAATGGGGGTGTGCAGTGAATGACAATGCAGTGCTGTGGGAAGGGGTGCTGGGGGCTGCACTGGGGAACAATGCTGCTTGTGATGTCACAGGTTTGATTGGAAGGGGTGCGTTGCAGGGGGTGAACTGAGGGGGATGCTAGGGGTGTGTTGCTGAGAGTGATGGTGGAGACCATGCTGGGGGCCATACTGGAGCATGATGCAGGAGTTGCTGGCACAGGGGTGATGCTGGGCTGATGCTGGGGGCTGTGATGCGGGGAGGGGGGGGGGTGATGTGGACCACATTGGAGTGCAATGGGGTGGAGCAGGACATTGAGGACAGCGGGAGCCGAGCAGTTCCCACCCCACGGGGCACCCCCAGCACGGGGATGGGGGTTTCCTGCCCCTCTCCCCCCCCCCCGCCGCACACAGCTCTCCCTTTGACCCAGCGCTGCCCGCAGTCCCGCGCGGCGGTTTCCTTCGCCCCTCTCTGTCGTCCCCACCCCCCCTCTCCCCCCCCACTCCCCCCCCCCCCCGCTTCTGCTGAGTCAGGGCTGTTCCCTTCTCCCGGTACATCGCGTCCCTGCGCCGGGACCTGGCACCCTGCCCGCCCCCACCCGCAGTGCTGCTGCGGGGTCATGAGAGGCCCCGGGCCCCCCCCCTCCGGCCCCCCCCAAGAACCCCCCCGGGGGGCTCTGGGTTACGGTTGGGAGCGGCATTTTTGTAAGGAGAATGCGAGTGCAGCTTGCTCTGCTCTGCACAGGGTGACGTGGCCCTGCTGGGTGTCCTCGTCAGCATGCGTTGCACACAACCATTGCACTGCACTGTGTTGCAAACACTCATTGCAATGCTGTTCATCCTTGTAAGGTGCATCCCCGTTGCATGCACACCTCCACTGCATTGCACACCCTCACTGCATTGCACGCTCCCAGAGCATTGCACTTTCTCACTGCACTGCACACCCTCAGAGAATTGTACACCCCCAGAGCACTGCACACCTCCATTGTACTGCATTGCACTGCACACCCTCATTGCATCACCCCTATGTTAGCAACCCCCAGTATCACATCCCGGTGCAGCTCCCAGCATTGTCCACAGCACCCACAGATCCTCCTCCGCCCCAATAACGGCTCAGCACCACTTTGGGGAATTCTACCCTAAAAACATTGATCCTGGAGGATCCTACTCCCGAGTCTCCCGCCATCCTGGAGCCCTCCCTATACTAACACAATCCCATCCCCCCTCCAACATATCCTTCTAATTAATTCCTCCAGTAGCACGAAGCATTCAGCCAGCAGATTGGGGGAATTTGCTTCTTTGGTCCTTCTGGAAATCATCAGTGCCTGCTGCTGTGCTCCTGAGGGGGCTCAGGGCCAACAGCATGGTTTGAGGGGTCCCCACCATAGCACCCCCATATGCATATCCAGGTGATGACCCCCTGCTTTATAATAGGGCAGTGGGGTGGGATGGGTTGGGATGGGATGTGGTGGGCATGGGACAGGATGGGAGGGAGTGGGATAGGAGTTTTATGGGATGGGATGGGGGTATGATGAAATGAGATGGAATGTGGTGGTGTGGAGTGCAGTGATGGGGGACACCAGCACCCGCACTCTGCTGCCGCCCTGGGGGCTGCTCAGGGGCTGTTCCCAATGTGTCCTTCAATTTGTCCTCCTCCACCTCCAGCTGTGAGGAAAACACAGGAGCAGGAGAACAGGCGGTGACATTGCTCTCTACGTCCCATGTGAAGGCCAAACAGGAGAGGCTGGGAAAAATCTGCAACAATTGCTTTTGGCACAAGGAGCAAAACCAGACCACTTTTCAAGAATTTTGCTTTTCCGTTTTTTCTTTTTTACCTTTTACCTTTCATTTTTTTTTTATTCTTTTTCTTTCTATATTTTTTTCCTTGAAAGGTCTTTATCCCTACAGTGAAAGTTGGAAATGATGTCTGCACACCAACATTGTTCCTGAGCTGTGCAAACCCCGCAGAGCTTCAGGCAAACCCCGGTCAGCACCCAGGATGGGGGGCCATGTGGAGGGGTGCGCCTACAATCAGCCTCATACCCTTCCCCAGAGCTTTGGGTGCATGCAGCAGGACCTGGGGTCACCCCAAGGATTAGAGTTTTCCTGCAGTACAGATGAGCCCCACCTCCATCCAAAGCCACCCCAGTGGTGAATGTGCACCCAGGGGAGTCACTGAGCAACCCCAGCTGCAATTGGGACACATTGCAATGCAATGACCAAAACCGACACATGCATTTCTGCAGCTTTAACCCCACTTCAGGGTGCACTCATGGGGCCCTCCATGGCTCCATGGCACCATCAAATCCTATTGGCACTGGAACCAGCCCCAACGTGCTGTTTGGCCCTCGAACCTCTTTCCCACCAGCACTCATTGTGCACCACTGGAAATAGTAGAGGGCACCCAGTGGGTGGGTGCTAACAGCTGCCATTATGAGAGGGGTACAGTTAGGATTGGGGTTGGGACTGGGGTTAGGGTTAAGGCTGGGAGGGCCCAGTGCTATCAGGAAGCATTTGCCCACCCCCCAAACTCCTTCTCCCAAGAGCAATTCTTGCTGGGGATGTTTGATGGATGAGCACTGGGGTGGCACCCGAAGTGACTCCTGAACTCCAGTTCCAGGCATTACATGGGTTGGGGAGATGTAAGGTGAGATCCCTGCTGAAATATCGTGTGAATAATGGTAACAGTCACCATAGAAATAACAAGAGAAGAGGTGAGGCTTGCAAAAATGGTGGTTCTAATGTTAATAAAAGGTAATTTTATTTTATTTATTTATTTATTTATTCGCAAGAAAAAGGGTTAAATAAGAGCAGAGAGAAGGAGAGGTGAAGGCCATGGGGCCAGCAGGAAAGGGGGGGGACAGGGGGAGGAGAGAGGGAGGTTGAGGTTGTGCAGAGCAGAACATCCTGTACCCTCGTGTTAAAAACAGCACAAGCGGTGGGGGGGGGTGAGGGGGGTGGGGGATGACATGACACGCACATGCAGCAATGGGGGATGCAGGGACATCATCATATCCCTCTCCCTCCCCTCTCATGTGGCTTAGGGGGCACCAGGGGTAGTTCTCAGCTCCAAATGAGATCTGGTGGCCATGGCCATCTAACTCCTCCACAAAACCATCTCAGCTGGACTGAACAGCCCTCCCAGCACCACCATGATTCTGAAGGTCCTGGCTGCTACGGATGGGATCCCCTCTGCCACCTCCCTTCCTGTGCTTCATTTTCCCTATTTGTGGCTCATGAACTCAAAGCAAAATGTTGGGACCACGTGCCATGTTGGTGTGATAGCCACTCAGAGCTGAGCATTGAGGAGATGAAAAGCAGCACATGGAGCTTAAGAGGATGTTGGCGCTGCTGGGTGAGCAGGAGGGCCCTTCTCATGCCTCCACGCTAAACAGCATCGCCCGCTGCATCCTCCTGCTGGAGCCAGAGTTGAGGGATGGTTGTGGGGACCACAGTGTGCCCCAGCAGGGTGCTGCTGTCCCTATCCCCATCTCTACCTCCATCCCCGTCCCCATTCCTGTTCCCATCTCCACCCCAATCCACCCCTACTCTTATCCCCACCCCATCCCCATCCCATCCCTAATTCTCATGCCATCCCATCCCATCCAACCCTCCCACCCCCAGACCTGTGCCTGCTGCTCTGTGGACTTACACTTGCTGCTGTTCTGCATGGACGACCCCAGTTGCCGTCAGCCTGGTGCTGTGTGAGCTGCTGCTACTGCTGGAGGTGCGGCACAAGGGCTTTGCACAAGCACTGTGCACTGCTGTGCATGGCAGCACCGACACCTCACTGCACGAGGCGCTGTTCAGGGACAGCTTGTGGCTGGCCAAGCTGCTTACAGCCCGAGGAGGAGGTGCAGCTGCAGGCATTGCAGGGTCATCCTCAGCTTGCAGTTCTGCATGCTGGGCTGCAGCCTAGCAGCCACCACCACCACCACCACCTTTGAGTTCCCTGCATACCCCACTGGCAAGCTGAGAGCATTTCCTACCAATGGTAGTGCTGACAGCCAATAAACCTCCACTGCTGCATCCATCTGTCCCCCCACATCCTTATCTTGATGTGACCTCATTGCTTATTGCCCACCTGTGTCCCAAACTGATACTTCAATGCACCACACACACAGAACACATGAAGCCCTCCCTGTGCTGTCCCCTCTGCCCCACAGTGATGGCACGGCACAGTGCTCAATGGTGGATGCTCTTTACTGGGACACACGTCTGTCACCGCAGTGTGGTGGGGTCACGTTTGTCATAGCAGACTCCATAGTCGGTGTTGGTGATGGAGCCCCCGATGCTCCACTCGGCGTTGCAGGACAGGCCAGCCTCACAGGGACATTTGTAGTAAACCCCATAGAGGCTCTGTGGGGACAGATGAATGGTGGGGCAGCACCCTTTGGGGCCACTCCTGGGCTGGGAATGGGCAGAGGATGCACAGCACCTACCTTCCGGGAGCAGTCCTGGGTCTCGGCAGCCTTCGGGCTGCACCGTGACAGGCTCAGCCCAGTGTCTCGCTGGCAGCAGCCACTCTTGCACTGCGCGCTCTGCAAGCACAGCTCTCCAATGTCCTGCAGCATCAATGGAATCAGCTCACACCCAGAACCCCACACCCCCCACAAAACCCAACTGACCCCACACAGCCGCATTCTTTTCTGCTGCCCCACAAACCCAGTGAACCCCCTCTCCCTCTGTCTCCCCATCTGCAAAAGAGTCTTTCTCTCTGTCTTGGGGCACCCCAAAATGTATGCTGAATGGTGGGGATATATGTTCCCCTATTACCAGGTTGAAGATGAGCCCCTGCTCACTGGGAGCGCCCAGAGCCAGGGCAACGAGCAGCGCGGCAAGCAGCAGGCGGAGGGGCAGCACCATGGTGGCTGCAGGTAGTTTTGGTGGGTTGGAGTGCAGGTAGGTTTGGCTGCTTTATAGTCAGCACCTGCCATGCTCCCTCCTATCGCACCTGGCCTCGTGGCACCGCACCGCAGCTCCAAGGGCGGTTGTGTGGCACCGTGCTGTCCCCAGGTGCTGCTGCTCCTTCAGCCAAAGCAAATGTCAGATAACGGTGCTGCACTTCCCACGAGGGGATCCACTGTGCCCAGAGCCCAGGAACTGAACCTGCTGAGATGTGGGGACAGCTCTGGGAACGGTGCAGCTTTCAGCACTCGACAATGATTAACGCCAGCACAGCGGTGGCCTTCTTCAGTGGCCTTTGGTGGCCTTCTTTAGTGGCCTTCGGTGGCCATGCAGTGACATTCAGGCTGGCCCTGGCAGTGGCCTCCCCAAATGACACGAGGACAAAGCCCTGTGGTGTCTCTGCATCCTGTCCCCTCCCTGTCTGCGCCTCATGTGCCCCACCTGTGGGGCACCAAGATGACAGTATAGGAGTACAGAGTTTGGGGTGCGTGGCATGACCTGGGGGGCTGCTGGGGGGAACAGCACACATCCTATGGTGCACCCCAATGCAGGCAGCAAGGACATGGGGTGCAAACAGGGGTGGGTGTCACCTCCTGGGCACACGGTGGGGGCACAAAGTGCATCCTGGAGGCACATATCCCATGGGGGCACAATGTGTCCTAGGAACACCTCCCAGGGACATGGGCTGTATCCTGGGGTCGCATCCTGAGGTTGGACCTGTGGGCAGAGAGTGCATCCCCGGAGGGGGCACATGGCTCACCCCAGGGAGGCTTTCATTCCTAGGGTGCTCATTGCGGGGCCGTTAGGCACATCCTGAAGGTGGGCACATGTCAGGGGGGAGGCTTAAGACGGGGAGAGGGGAAAAGGGGGGGGGGGCGATCATTCCAGAGGGGATCTAATCCCACGGGGGAGGGTCCCGTCCTGCGGCACTGAGCTCATCCCGAGGCGTGGGCGGGAGCACATCTCGGGGGTGTCTCACACCGGCTGTCTCACCCCGCGGGAGGAAGGAGGCGGTCTCACCCCCGGCGCTCATCCTGGGCCCGGACCCGCGAGCGCAGAGCGCATCCCGGCGGCACCTCCCCGCGGCACATCCGTCCATCCATCCCCGCAGTACATCCATCCCCGGGGCGGTCCCGGCCCTGCGGCCCTCCCCGCCCTCACCGCCGCTCTCCGCTCTCCTCTGGCGCTGCGGGGCCCCGGGAGGCGGCGAACCCCCCCGTTCTCCCCCTGGCCATGCCCAAGCTGCTGCCGGCTCAGGAGGCGGCGCGAATCTACCACACCAACTACGTGCGAAATGCACGGGCCATGGGTGTGCTGTGGGCCCTGTTCACACTCTGCTTCTCCATCCTGATGGTGGTGACCTTCATCCAGCCCTACTGGATCGGCGACAGCATCGACACGCCGCAGGCTGGCTACTTCGGCCTCTTCTCCTATTGCATCGGCAATGCGCTCACCGGAGAGCTCATCTGCAAGGGAAGCCCCCTGGATTTCGGTACCATCCCCTCCAGTGCCTTCAAAACGGCAATGTTCTTTGTGGGCATCTCCACCTTCCTCATCATCGGCTCTATCCTCTGCTTCAGCCTCTTCTTCTTCTGCAATGCCGCCACCGTCTACAAAGTGTGTGCCTGGATGCAGCTGGCGGCGGGTGAGCGGCAGGGAAAGGCACTGCGCTATGGGGTGGTGGGCGTGGGGTGGGTGTGGGATGGGCTCCCTGGAGTGGTGGGCACTGCCATGAGCTCAAGGAACATTGGGACACCGCTGTCAGCTATAAGGTTTGCATTCTTTCCCCATACTCCCTCCCAGCATGTCAACACCCGATCTGCTGGTAACCCAATCCAACCCAACCTGCACAGCTCCTGCATCATTCATAGTGTCCCTGCACTCCTCAGGTGGCTCTGGGGACAGGCGGCTGCGTAGGTTTGCTCCAGTTCCCAGCTCGAGCTCAAATGAAGATTTAGATAAGAGGCTTTGGGGCAGCTCAGCCCTGCAGGGAGCTGGGCATGGAAGGGCTTTGCTGCTGGATTCAGAGCTTTTATGTGACCACCATTCATAGAGCCAAAGTGGGGAAGGTCACTACAAGGGTTGGGTTGTGCTGAACCAAGTATTTTTGACCCCTCCAAACCCGTTTCCCAAGCTCTGTCTGCTCTTCCTTTTGCTCTTCCATGTAGCTGAGGTCTCCGAGGCGCATCTCTTCCCAATGCCTGGCACTGCAGAGCCAGGAAACAGCAGCAGTTCCATCTCTGTGCCCGTACCATGTTGGGGCCAACCTCCACCAGGGCAGCAGCTCCTTTCCAGTTGCCCTCACCTCCCTGTGCCCCATCTTTCTGTTGGCTACAGCAAAGCTTAATTAAATACACAACAAAGCAGCTGCTTCTGAATTGTAAGAGATGCTCTGTCCTGTCCCAAGGAGCTCCCCATGGCTGGGGACAAACCCTCAGTGCAGCGCAGAGCAGCTCCCTTTGCTCCATGCACCACAGGTACCTATTCGAGCAACAGCAGTGACTTCTCTGAGCACAAGGATGCAGAGGAAAAAATGCACCTGGAGGGGCCGGGAGCTGCACTGCACAACAGGAGATGTCCCCGGGCAGTTGGTGCTGTGTTCCCATGGCACACCGTGCACCATGTGGCAGCACGGCTCCCAGCCCCGCTGGAACAACAGCAGCTGAGCAAGCGGCGTCTATCAGCATGTTGCGCTGCTGCCAGCAGCGAGCCAAAACCCAGCTGTGCACAGAGCAGCAATGTTGCACAAACACACCATGTTCCAGCTTTGCTCAGAGGCTGCATCTCCTTGAAGAGAGAACTATGTTGTGTGCAGTGGTTGGAGAGGAGCAAAGTTGCCCAGGCAACAGCACGATGGAAGCTGGGGCAGTGGCCTGGGCAGTGGGTGGGAAGTCAGTGCTGTACCACGCCTGTGCTGCTCTCTCCATGTGCTGCATTGTGCTCACACTGTACTGTCCCTGTACTGCTCTGTCCACGTGTTCCATCGAGCTCATGCTGCATCATCCTGACACTATTCTGTCTTTGTGCTGTTTTATTATCAGCTATATTGTCCCCTGCTGCTCTGCCCACGTGCTGCATCATGCCCACATTGCTTTGCTCTTGTGCTGCATTGTCCCCATGCTGCTCTGTCCCTGCAGTGCACTGCAGCACCGTCACAAAGGGAGCAGAGCCCCAACCTCCATGTCACACTGAAGCCCCTTCAGCCAGCACCAGCGATTGTTGTTCTCACACACCATTCCCCTTTTGCCTCGCAGCCACTGGGCTGATGATCGGGTGCCTCATCTACCCTGACGGCTGGGACTCGAGTGAGGTGAAGCGCTTGTGTGGGGACAAGACAGACAAATACACGTTGGGCGCCTGCACAGTGCGCTGGGCCTACATCCTCTGCATCATTGGCATCCTCGATGCCCTCATCCTCTCATTTCTGGCCTTCGTGCTGGGGAATCGCCAGGACAACCTCCTGCCATCGGATTTTAAAGTGGAAGGCAAAGGTGAGAGCAGCAGGCTAGGGTGGGGGGAGGTGAACCTTTTGGAAAACAAAGCTGAAAAACACACCTGCACCTTCATTATGAGCATTATTAGAACCATGACCCACTAACACTGATTATTTTTGTTTTACAGAGGAGGGCAGTGAATGACAGCATTGATCACTGTGTGAGTGCTACAGCAATTCTGACGTTTCTTGCACATGCAACGCCACCAGCATAACTACAGGATTACTGGTGCTGTATTCAGATGGGGTTTGTTTGGGGCCGAATGGGAAACAGGCTTTGCTGTGCCTCCATCTGGGAGAATGTAAATCCTTGCCAGGAGATAGCATAAAATGCGATGCTGTGCTCTACTCGGCAACAGCAACCGCTCTCCTTCTCTCCCAGGGCTGCCTGGAGCTCTTAGCATCACTTCAGGAGATGCGGTCCTTTCCTTTTGAGTGACTTTTCCTACACGTACCATCACCTCTGGACTTTCTACAGCTTTCAGCTCTCATGGAATTTGTGTGATGGGAAGAGACACACAGGACATCAGCTTTCGTTGGTTTGCTTGTTTGTTTTGAGTCCATAGGGGGAGGTCTGGGGCCATGATTTGCTGTCTCTTGGGGTTTGTACATCTTTTGAGGAAACGACTTCTGAATTAAAATATGGCCTTTTAGATTGTGTGCCGTCTCCTTGAGGTCAGGGGAAACCCTCCACCACGGCCAAGACTGTCCGAGTCACCTCCCGCACCTCTCGCAAAAACGCGAGAACAAAGCGGCCCTCGTGGGGCACTTAACGCAGCCCTTGTGAGGGCATCGCGCACCGCTGCAGCACCGCCGTTGTGCGGCAGGTGGCGCCACGCACCACTGCTCCGCAGTTCCGCGCTGCCTCTGTTGACTCCGCGCTGTGGAAGGCAGCAGAGGTGGCAGAAAGACACATTAGAATAGCAGCCTCTCCCACTATCCAACAATTCTTCCCCCCTTAAAAAAATGGATCATAGTATGGACAAAATGTTTTACCAACGCCCAACCCAGTGAGTCTCAGTCGAGAGAACTGGAACTATGCACCTGCGTACACCTAAAGAGCCTGGAGCTGAGAAAACAGACCTGCAGACGGAACACAGGGAGACTACGGCTGAGTAATTAAATAGTCTGTTTATTGTAGAGCTTTCACAAAGAAAGACGACGAAGCACCCAAGTAGAAAGAATAAAAATGTATTTTCCTTCAGGTTTTAGACTGACACAGCAAGTACAAATCCTTTGTGAGCACTTTACGGCAATTTGGGGACTTCACAAACCCAAGTGAATGAGCACGTGGAACAACGCTGAACCCCGACAGCTGCTGCTGCAGTCTCCAACTCACACTTTGGCTCCATCCTCAGCAACCAAGGTAAAAAATTGTCCTCCTGCAGGTGTGGGAGGGGGAACTGCGGCAGGAAGGGAAGGAGCTCTTGATGTGCAAAGCTCTTCCAGGAAAAGTTCCTGCACCAGCCGGGCTGAAGCACAACAGGGTGGGATGAGCTGTCAAGACAAGAGAAATCATTCGCCCTGCCAATATATCTTCACAGTCTGTAGGTGGTGGGTGTTTTGGAATCCAGTCTTGACTGCGGTCCTTCTGTAACAGACATGGAAGTGATACGCAGCTGGAAAAGCTCCGAACAGAAGGGAAAGAGAGGTCAAATCAGCAGTTTAAACCAATTTGGTGCGTTACCTTCATTAATTTTAGATTATATGCATAGACAATCCGACCTACCCCTAAAAGAACATGCAGCATGATCTGTGTTAATTAGCCCAGTCAGGCACTAGACTGGAGCAACTCTTTAAGTGGATTAAATGACAGAGGTTTATGAATGAACAACTATAATGAACCAGGATTTTCAACACACAAAGTGACAGAAACAGCCTTCTTGGCAGCTTCGGCAACGCAACAGTCTCAGATCTGCGTGGCCTCCAGTGAGTTCCTAGAGGAACTTCAGTGCTCTGAGAGCAACCACGAATCCATAGCCCCATTTGGTCCAGGGAGAAGACGTGTCTCTGAAGCCTCAACACTGCCAGCTCTTACTTCAGAGTTGGATGCACTGACTCTGCAACAGGATGGGAAGCCTTAAAGAAGTCATCGTAAAACTATTATACGCCACAGTGATTTAGATTTAATTAAAATTAATTCATTTACTTATCACATCCAACCCCCTCTGAGAAGTTAATGCAGAAATCTCACAGAGCATTATGATTTGGGGTAACTCTACAAGCAACTAAACCAGTATCTACAGAGGAAAGTCCATCAGCTCTCTTCCAGCCCTCCTAGTGCTAATGGCCCAGAAAAGAAAAGGCAATCCCAATCTGGGAAGTTATTCCTAAAGGCCATCACCTGAAAGAAATTTAAAAAAATAAGAGTATCAGGCTTTCAAATGTTGAGTTTTGAAGTCGAGGGTGATAGCATGGCTGTGACACAGATGCTGCCCACTCTTTCTGGGAAAAAATGTGAATGGTCAAAAGGGCCGGAGCAGACTGCATTAGTGAGGGCCACTTCACTGGTGCAACTACCTCAAGCAAGGCACAGAAGTGCCAGGAAGGGATAAAAAAAAAAAGTACAGCTCGCTAAAGCATGAGAAGTCACCTGCATCACCTCTCTGCAGCCCAAAGGCGCACCTATCTGCATGCTGAAGGTTGTGCGTTGATTACGTTCCAGCTTTTGCTTTTTTTGCTTGTCACCTTTTAGTCACAGGCTGAGGTGTTAGAGAGCAAGTAGAAAGCGTCACTGAATTCAGAAACTATTCTGCCTATGAAGACAGGAGGGACAAGTAAAGGGAGAGGGCACTTCAGAGGAAGAAGCAAATGATACTAAAAATCTAGATTTAAATAGCTCATCTCAAGAAATTTAAGCAGCTAGAACTAAAGAATTATGTGACTGAAAGCAATGAATACAGCAGACACCTAGAAAACGATGGAGGATTTTGAGGTCTTTGCTCTACAAGGAACTAACACCACCATGGTGCCATCTGTTACTTCCTACCCCAACAGTGGGAAACTGACTCCTGAGTCAGTGAGATGAGTTCAGATCTTCACATCCTCCTTATGATGAAAGGAGAGTTAAGATTTAGGTAAGGGCGCATATCTGAGCATACATCCATAACACAGTGCATACCATACAAGAAGACTCAGGGAAAAGTTGATGTTTTAGTCAATTAGTCTTTGGTGAAGCCCAATCAAGGCAAAACAAAGATGACACGCACTGGATAAGAGTCCCCACTGAGTCACACCAGCAAACTCAGGACAATGGGTTAAGATTTATCTAAAATCTTGGAAGCCTTGAAGGAAGAACTTCACGCTCAAACTGAACAAGGAAAAAAAAAACAGATCTGGGAAGGGGCAGCTGGGTGTGTGTATCCTATGCTGTAAACCAGAGTGCAGCACAGTGGCGCTGGGTTGAAGCCCCTAAGAGAGAAGCCAGGGGTGCCTGAGACATTCTGCTGCTGTGGCTCGCTTCTCTGGGATCAGCTCCAACATCGGTAGTAAGAAGTCTGTGAATGCAGCTGCCTCATCCTGGGACCATTCGTATTTTTCCACCAAGACTTCGAAAAGGCCCCAGGGCTTCAGTTTAGTGATGTGCTTCAGATCACCTGAAAAGCAAGATAGATATGTTAACTGCAAGGCATGGCAGCAGAACAGCCAAATAACTGAAATAACAGCAAACAGCACAGACTGAATTCAAAAAGCTGTCCCAAATAGTTAAGCGGGAGGAAGATAAAATTGTGGGGCATGCTGAAGGAAAACTACACTAGAACTCTTGCCTCCTCCAGTCTGAAGAAATTACGGTTGGACTAGATGACCTTGGAGGTCTTTTCCAGTCCTGGTAATTCTATGATAAACATGTACAGCACTGTTTTTCAATCTGCTGCATTTGATCCACAACCAAGACGACAAGTAACAAGGCTCCGTGTATTTTTAGCAATCAGACAAGGATATTTTATATGTAGCTGCAATTTTGTCTTTTTTCTTTTTTTTCTCCTCCACAGAAAGCCTCTCATAAAGCAGAGAGACTTTAAAAGAGCCATCTTTGCTGGCATCTATTGTTAAGAGCTATTTTCAGCAAGGTACTTTTGTTTATTTGAGTGTGGGGCAAAGGGAAAACAAACAAACAAACAGACAAACAAACATTTGCTTCATTTCCTTTTACCTTTTTTGGTGAAAAACTCCTTGGAATACTTTCCTGCCAAAATGAGCTTGCGAGGTATTTTCCCCAGAAGTTCTATGATCAAAGCAATGTGATCTGCGTTTTTTTCCAAAAGAAAAGACAGTGTAACATATCCACAAAAGACATCTTTCTGTATGTCACAGTTTCCTTCCCTGGAACATTATGGACAAAGTTACAATCTCTCTCAGAAACTACCTGGGCATCCACCCAAAATCAGATTACAACAGCAAAGACAAGAACTCAGAGTATGAGGATGAAGAGATGCAGGAATGATGAGTTAGAGAAGCAAGACAAGAGATTCTAGGGGTTAAAGGAATAGAGGATACCAGGAACAAGAATGTGAACTTCTACTGCACGTGGTCAAGCGCAGCAGTCCCTTAACATCAATAATTTGGCTAAATGATTTTACATTGTTCCTAAGAGAAGGCTCTCATTCTGAAGAAGGATTTGTTGTATTCCATATCCTATTTCCAAAAAAAGACTTAGATAAGTGTACCTTCATCTCGTGAGTAGTCTTCTCCAGAATGAGGCTCAAACAGATAGTCTCCTGTTGCTAGTTCAAAGGCCTAAAACAGAAATAAGCAAAATTAAATCACTTCAATGCACTTCACATGTTGCTAGAAGTACTGCAGGTTGATTCTACCTGCCTCTGCTCACCAGAACAAAAGCAGACAAGAGAATAACCTGCACAATTCTAGTATGCTATTGCCATCTCAAGATGCACAATCGTTCTGTAGTTTAAATGACAGCACGAAAAAACATCATGGGCATAGCTATGGGAAATTTTGGAGATTTTCTAATGATTTCAAATATGCAGAGAACATATGAGATTAGAATACTGAGATAATATCTATGAAACAGTGCTGGATGCAGCAAGAAGGTCCTTTATACAAATTGAGAACTGCACAGTCCCCTTGCTCTTCAACAAAGCATGACATTAAGGTACAGTTCTATTTGAACTCTGCTAGCACTGTACAACAAAACCCTGACTTTCAAAGGTTGCTGGGTTTGTCTGGTTGTTTTTGTTTGTTTGTCTGTTTTGCTAGACCTGGCTAGTGATTGAGCGGGCTGCAGAGTGCACAGAGCACACAAGTTTACCAGAACGCTTCACAGCAGCAGCCTACAATCCCCTGGATGCCAGCACTCACCATACAAGCCGTGCTCCAGATGTCAGCAGGGGTGCTGTACCCCGACCCTATCAACACCTCCAAGGATCGGTACTGTCTTGTCTGGATGTCTTCAGTGAAGTGCTTGTGCTAAACAGAAGAAACGTTTTACTCACTGGGCAGAGATTGTTTAAAGGAGAAAAATCAATAGCCTGAAAGGCCAGAGCAGATCAAAGCTCACTGCCATTAAATTTCACCTAAGCTGCAGATCTCTGTTGAGTTGTTCCTTATATTCCTACAAGTACCGTTTAACTGCTCTACATGAGACATTACTTTAGTAAGGCAGTCCAGCAACACAAAGAAGCCACAGAAGTAGAACAGGGAGAACTGTTTCAGAGTCTGCACCCTTTCTATCAGATCTATCAGCCACCATACAGCAGGTCAGCACCACAGACAGCCTTGCCAGACACTGCAAACCTGACTCAGAACAGAGTCTGAAACACTTTATTTTCCTTTAAGATCTCAAGTATTTTGCCCCTTTAAAAGTCACATAAAACAGACATTTATTCCATTTTACATTTCAAACATTTAAAAGCAGTATAGAACAATCATCAAAGAATAAAACTATTTATGAGTCTCTTTCATGTACTCACGAATTCAGTGAAATGGTTTGACAAGCTAATAAAGCACACAGCCAGACACAGTGCAGTTCTTTTCAACCTTGCCCAGAGGAGCTGTAGACTCCCTCAGAAGTTTCACATACGCAGATTTCTACACACTGTATGTGACACTGTTCAAAGGCCTAATTAGAGTTAATCTAATGACCAAAGAGGCACCCAAAACATAGGCTGAAATCTTACATTGAAGGATCATTTCTTTCTTTGGATCACCGGTCCCAGCTACTTTTTTTCAAGCAGTTTAAAATTATGACTGCGTTTCCAAGCAGGTACAAAAAGGATTCTGTTTTCATATATTCAGCCTTGGCACACCGCAAACGAATCAGCAGATTTAAAGAGTTGATGCGAGAAGTTTTTAAAACTTACCACCCAGCAGGCATTTCCTAGGTCAGCTATCTTCACCTTAAGCTTATCTGCATTCTTGGGCTCAAGAGGATTAAGAAGGAAATTCCCAGCAGTTGATTTTCCTAGAGGCATCATGTACAACAGCTGATTAAAGCTCTATGGACAGAATCACCATCTGTCATCCAAATCCTATAAGCCCTCTCCCCACCCACATGAGATTTTTGCTTAAAGATCTGAACTTTTCCCTCTCTGAAGCCAAAGTATAAAAATCAACTTCAGTCCGTGGTGCGAACAAGAAGAGACACCACTATTAAGGAGAAGGACAAGCAAAAATATGCAGGGAGGACTGTTTTCCAGTACAGACTTAAAAGTTTGCCTGTATCAATACATGATTTTTAAATAAGGGCACTGCCAGAAGTAAAACAAGTCTTTAAGAGGTCCTCCTAAACCCTTGAAGGAAAGGAGTCCACATGCAACAGCATCTTCTTGACAGTCATCAGTCACTGGAGTAACACAGACAGTTGCAGCAGCTGAAGTATATACTGGAAAAAAAACCACCTCACTGAACCTGGTGGAGAGCAACAATACTGGCTCACTAAATTACATCCAGCTGCAGATCGTGAATGCAAGATGGGGAGAGTTCTATGAAGTAAAGCTAGTAATCTAACAGGGCCATTCAACTACATGCAGCCAAAATGTCAATATCTTAAGTTTCACTTGCTGCTTTTTCACATAATTCTGTAGCAGTGCTCTGCCAAGAAAGTGCTACTGAGAAATTTAAGAGAATTACAAGTGTGAGCTTCTCCCTCCAACTCCAAGCAGATATTCTTGAGCCGACCCTCACTCAAATATGCAAAAAAAAGAGAGATTCATCAGTTGATTCAATTTCTTAAAGTCATTCCATGTTGTTTATTGTTAACTGCAGCACATTACTGACTGTTGAATCTTTTCGTAAACCCACATGCCTTGTAGCTTCTCCTCTCCCCCTTAAATCACTTTAAATAAAATTATTGAAGCATTTTTTTCCCCCCCTGTATAACCTTTGTTTCAGACTTTCCAGTTCTGGGAAACTATGTCCTCATCTCAAGTAACTGAGAGAAGTTAGTTCTGCTCATATTGTGGAGAACAGCTATCCAAAGACACCTAACTACCTAGCCTACAATGGAAGAGCCAGTGACAAGTAAATTTAAGTTCCTAACCATACTGAAAAATCACACAAGGAATACTTTTTCAAGGAAACAGTGTTCCTATACTGAAATACAAATGTATTTTTTCAGTGGAAGCATTTGTGGATTCAATAGCCAGAACTGAGCTACAGCCACAACTGGAAGGTACAAATGACAGTTTCAGAGTAAGACTGTCAGGTTAATTACTCCTGGCAGAAAAAGGTTCAAATAACTTGTTCTTATAACTTCAGCCTACAAAAAGGTGGTTTCTATCACTATGCTGATAGTGTTGTACCACATCAAGGAGAAAGGAGCCCTTTCTCACGCGGCTCCTCTTGTACCTTTGTTGTCTGCTGGGCTATTATTCTCATTCTCGTCCTCTGATGGCATCTCTGTCCGGATGCTTTCTTGCAAATGGCTGATCTCCTGCTCGTTGAATGATTGCTCTTCGCTGGAAGTAGGCTGACACACCATGGAATCTTCTGAAACTAAGGGCACGAAAGAGTCCGACGCCGCAGCGCGAGGCCCGTTCTCCACGCCACCGTTACGCTGGCTGTAATGACAGCTGCGGAAGCTCTCCTGCGTGTGAGGGTGGTCGCCGCAGTCATTGGCGTTGTGAAGGTCATCCTCAAGTCGCACAGACCCTTGACTGCCAGAGTCTGGGAAGTCCGACATTCGTATCACACCGTTGCAATTTATTTCTGTTACACATTTTTCTATGCTGCTTTCCATTAGAACAGACTGTTCATGTACGATGACTTCAGCTGGAAGAATGGGAAAGGAGAAGAGAGCAGAATATTCTATAAAAAGTAAGAGCCAAAGCCGTTCGGCCTCAGAAATGCAGAGTTCTCAAAATGTACCTGAACACAATCATTAATTAACTCAATTTATAAAACCACATTGACTAGCCTCTTTAGACAGGTAGAATGTCACACAAACATGTCGAAGAGCCACCTCTCTTAAAGATGCCCAGTATGAGTGAAAGAACACTGCTACCCCAGCAATATTTTTGGTCCATACCTTTCTTTTTGTCCACATCTTCACAGGGTGAACTAACTTTCAGGAGTACTTTCAGAGGGCTCTGAGCTTCTTCATCCTCCTCAGGATTTGCCTGCCCTGGGCTTGCTTCCTTCTCCATTTCCTCTATCTCTTGCATTCGCTTCTCTAATAACTCCGCCTGACGCTTCTGCTTCTTTTTCAACTTCTTTTTCTTATTCTTTGACATTTTGTCAGCCTACAAAGCAGCAGTCACATTTCACTTAGTATTTCATATTTCAGTCTAACACAAGTCAAGTTTTAATGTATTCAACATCAGAGGAAGCAGTCTGGGATGAAAACTCCAGGGACAGTTCTCCCAGAAGCAAAGCAGATTCAAAGGTTTTTAGAGCAGTTGTCTTTTGCTCTTACCAGCACATTTCTGTCCTGGCCCTGCTATGAGGGACCCCAGACTGCACAGACAGCAGTCACCTTCACAACAGACCCCAAACCACCAATGAGATAATTGATGGTGGTATTTTTGAAACAGAACTATGATATCTCTAAGACAGTACCGAATCTGATGATTACATTTATGACAAACAAATTACACTTTTCCTTTTGATCTTATAGTAAGTTTGCTCTCCTTTACTGCCAACCAGATTATGAAACAATGCAGTAGATGGATACTTACATATGAGCAATTACACTTACTGGTTTTGGCTGTGGTGCAGTACTCACTGAAATGGAAAGCGAGATTAGTAAATCAGTATGTTTCTATTCAAAAACTGCAACCAGATTCTTATCTTAAGATAAGCTTTTTCCTATGAGAACCTGTAACAACATTTTCTCTATGCAAGTAAAGCAAGAATAAAAAGAGATGAGAAAATCATTAAATGAGCAAATATGTAATTAAAACCCGAGATTATAGACTTGCTTGACTGATATCAAAGACCTACAGTTCCTGTCATGCAGCTTCATTTACTGCATACATCATGCATCTTACTGAAAAGAAAATGCAAACCAAAATATTAAAATACCATGGTTCCCTAACCTAGCCCAGCTAAGCCATGTTGCAATGGGCTCAGCGAAATGCTGATGTTTTAAAATTAAGACTGATGGAGCTTTTCAGTACATACTGCAGTAGTTCTTGGGAACTACCCACTGATACAGATGAATACTCTGTAGACCAACAACTGAAAATCTGCCCTCAGCTCTTTAGAAATGTCAGTAAGCGAACTGACAGCTTGAGAAGGTAAATCATTTTGTTGAGACCTTCCCAAAATGGACTTTATCAGCATGATGCAATAAAGGAAATACTTTGGTAGAAAATGCTAAGAGTACCTCCCCTTATTCTTACTCTAGTAGTTCTGACAGCATTAACATGCAGCACATTCTATACTAGACTGACTGTCCTATCACTTCACCTACACTCGATAAAAACAAAGCTACATTAAAAGCAGATCTCAGCATGGATGTATCCCTGCTCCGTTTTTTCTTATGCAAATGACTATGCTCCTAGGCACTTCGAGTTAAAATGGTTAACTTCATAATTTGCATTTGCCCTTTCAATAGTTACTTCCGTTATTGTTCCACTGTGCTTAGCGGAGAAGTTTTCTCCAGTGAAATCAGTTACATCTTGGGGAGGGATGGGGAAATAGCACCAACTCTTATGAAAAAACACCTGCAGAGCCAGATGGTGGGGGGGCCCCAGATCTCTGCCATTCTGTTGCTTCTGCAGCCAGTCTGCGGATGTACTGGTCATTAACACACAGAAGAATGTTTTCAGGTTTAATATCTGTATGGATGATCCTACACTTCGTGTGCAAGTAATCCAGGCCTTGTAGAACCTACAGACAGGAGAGAAGGAAACTGGCCATTAGAAAAGCAAATAATTATAAACCAAAATTGAATGAATTTGCAAAACCAGAATTCATAGCTGCCAACAATGGTCTGAACCTACTGAGGACGGCTGTCTTTCAGAATACTCCAGATTAGTGCTAATGTGACCAGTGTTAATTTCAGAGTTCTAGAACATACAGATTTGCATAAAGATTTTAATTATGAATTCAAATTTCTCTTTTTGCTGTCATTATTTAACTTAGCACAGCTGAAAATCAAAATTTCAATGCCATACAAAAAACTCACGCTCTCCTCTGCCCTCCATTTCAGAGGTAGAAGTAGGGAACCATGCGGGAGGAAGAACAGGTTTCACTTGCTAGTCCATTATTAAACACTGCACTGTGACAATTTAAGAATTACTTGCATTTGTGAGGAACAATCAGGGTAAGAAGAGATTAAAAGCAAAACTGGCATTCCATCAGGGTTTGAGAGACAGAAAATATCTGTATCAGAAGATTTTTGCAGTAGAGAAAGTGAATTTTAACCCAAAAACGACTTTGCTGCAAAAGAGACATACTACTGATTTTTAACTTCTGTTTTCTTGTACCTGAAAAAGACGTTCCCAGCCCCCATCATCTGTAACTTCTCACTGGGTCACAGGGCACAGTGCAGCCAGAACTGGAACATACCTGTTTGATGATCTTTTTGACACAAGGGAGCGGGAGCCCCTGATAATTTGACTTGATGATCCACTTCAGGAGATGATGCCCTAAAACTTCAAACACCATACAGATATCTAGAAGAGAGTCAAGAAAAAAGATGGAACTCCTGACCTAAGGAGCCCTACATTCTCAGGACTGAGAATTGAAATAAATCTACCAATCCTTTGTTTCTACACTGAAGAACCCTCATCCTTCTGACACAGCTGAGAGCAGCTGGCTTCCGTAACAGCACCACCCTATTACAGACATCAGTGCTGTCATCTAAGATGTAAAATAAAAAGCAGGAGCTGGTTGCAATAATGGTCTAAAGCAGCAGTAGCAATCTCCTGGCTGTGGGTGGAGGCCAGCTACACAAGCAACAGCGCATTACTATTTCCTGCTAGTGTTGAAACAGCTTCAAGCTAACAATGTCAGCTTTGGAACAATTCATTTTCTTGCCTCAGGCAAAACCCAACACCAGATATCTCTGCACCAGTAATATCTGAAAACATAATCAGATCTCTATTTCATAAGTCACCTCCAAACAAGTTACTCTAAGTTACCAACCCCACCACCTCTTTACCTGCATAAGAAACTTTCTGCAATCCCGGGCTTCAATAACGTTTACATTATTTGCCTTTTTTCTGTAAGATCTCAGGAGTCACACTACTCCTTTACAGTGTCAGGAAGCATGTGTGTGTTTCATAAAAGTGAAAGAAATACAAGATCAAGTCAGCATTTACTCAGAGCTAGGTTCTGGAAGAACGTTTGAGGAAATGCATTATGTAGGTACTCAGCTTTCTAAAAGCTTTAGAAACTTTATAACCTACAGCCTGATCCTTTCCATCAGCACAGTAACTCTCACTGATATAAAGTTCAAGATGCTGCAAAGCAGAAACATTCAAAAGCAAATCCAGCTTTCAAACCGAAAGGATGCATTAGTACCACTTCCTACAAATAGCTGCCTATTAGAAGGTAATTCATGAAATTATAGGATATTTTCAAAACAATACATTTTAAACCTCTTAACACTGTTGGTAAAGGCCAAGGTAAGATGTTTCCCTAGCTAGAAAATCACTTTATCAGGTTACAGACCACATACATGCTTGCTGTTTTTAATTATTCACCTTGACATTTTGCAATGCTTTACTTAAATAAAAAGTTACCGCTAGGCTGCCTGCAAAATTGAAGAGTTGGGATAGATGGGAAAGGTATTTTGACCAGAAAGCCACTCAGACCTGTCTCACAAATGAGATGTGGCCACCCCCAGCTCTTATGTTAAAGGCATGACTAAGCAGCATCGTCTCCACAACTGTGGCATATCACGTCAGGCTGAATGATTCTAGATTTGAGCTTTGCAGGCAACAGAAGCCCTCAGAGAGCAATGATTTCACAGCAGGTTTCCTCAGGCAGTGAAATGGAAGCCTAGGCCAGCCCCTGGCATGACAGCTACACAGGGAACTCACACCTCTACGCAAAGCTCTGACTTTCTTCTACAAAAGGATACGAGAACCATTAACTCCTGAAATCTTGAAGTCATCTAATAGCTGAACAACTCTCTCTTTATTTGGATCATTTGGATCACTGTTGCGAACCTGCAGAGAAAAAAGAGGGTCATCTTCGTTTGCCTTCAGGTGATAACCAGGCAAGAATACACTTTGCAGAGCACATCCGTTGCACTAGGAAGCACCGCAAGATAATCCAGAAAGATCAAGAATGTGACTAACCTGAACTCCCAGAAGTGAATTAAGTTGAGCCCCACTCTCACACTCACCGATTTTAGCAACTTGATTTCATCCAGTGCTGTTTCTGTGTAGTGCTCCGCACTCTTTACCACTTTCATTGCCACAAATCTCTTCCCTCTATGCACACATGGTAAGTAAATTGGAGACTGTTAGCACTCCTAAGTTAGTCTCCAGAATTATCCTAAGTAGCTCTGGTATGCAAGAGAAATATATCAGCAAAAAAAAAGGCTGAAGCACTCGTGCAAAGGAACACTTACTGGATGTCCCATGCCAGCCAGACAGTGGAGAAGTGGCCCCATCCGAGCTTCCGAATCACATGGTAGCGTCCATTAAAGAGATCTCCAATTTTCACAAGGTGATAGCCACCTGAAAAAACAGTGGGAGGTTGGTATAATAAGGGATCGTACAAGTGCTAAAGAACAGGTATGTGGAACAAGCATCACAACTTGAGGCATACGTACTTGATGTGTTTAAGTATCTATAATCACATACACAAATACAAATGTTTATCTAACCAGGTCGCGCCAGAATATAAATTAGAGGCAGAGCAGTGTTGAGCCCTATAGCTGGACTGAAAAATATCTTAGTATAATTGAACTAGGAGGACCGATCATAGAAACATTTGAGCTGGAAGGAACTGTTAAAGGGCATCTGACCCCACTCTCTGCGTTGAACAGGGAGGCCCACTGTTCCATCAGGTGCTCAGAGCCCCTCCAGCTCTGACCCTGGGAGACTCCAGGGATGGGGCAACACCACCGCTCTGGGCAGACCAACCTGACCAACTTCTCATCTTTAGCGCAGGTCGTCACTGCAGCAGCAGGAAACACTTTCCGAGGTTCACTAGGCTAACAACCTTTGGAAAACGCAGTTTATGAAAGCTCAAATTTAGCTCAAAGTATCATTTTTTCTAATGAAAAAGAACTGGATGTCTACATTTGCTGATTTAGAAAGTCTTCTGACAGACAAGAAGCAAACATGTATTAAGAACAGCTCTCTAACCCAAATCTTGACTGACAACAGAAGCAATCTTGAAGAACAGTTTGTTTCAGGTTAGTTTGGGAACCATGATTATTTTCATCCAGTTTCAAAAACTATTTAAAATAATCAAAGAAATAGTCTAATTTTAACTGTCTGCAGCAGATGGGAAAACAAATGAAATTTTCAATTACATTGAAAAAGCCACACCTTAAACAGGTAAGTTCTTACCTTTACAATAATCATTTGGATCCTCTTGTTCATCATCATCTGACCCCAAGATTTCTTCTTCTTGCTCTGGAAGATCGTTCTCAGAGTGAGCAGCAGGGCCACGGTGCTGAGGGTCGGCTCTGAAAGAGGGCACAGCGCACGTCGCACACGTTACACAATTCAGAACCCCACTTTTTGTATAAGAGATTGTAGATAATGGAGATGTATTTCTCAGCCTCCAGAAAAAAACAATTTTCATTTTTATATGCTTTTACTCCTTCAGCAGAAACATTTTTTCATATGCTAGCAAGAAAGACAGCTTAAGGCCCCAGATTCACTTTTACAGTAGAACAAGAAAAGGTCAGACAAGAGTGTGAGTCAAAAGCTCAGGGAGTCCATCAAAATGTCAGCGCCTGTGAACTCCTCCTCAGCCCTCTGTTCAGAGAGGATCCTTCTGAAGTACATTTGGATTTTGAGATGCTCTCACAAAACCAAAGATTTAAATGCTCACGAAGGATATTTTGAATACTACCTTCAATTAACCCTTACTCCTTTTGAAAAAAATTAACCTCATTTCAGAACCCGTGCCCTTTACTCCCTTCACTCTCCAGAGATGAAATGAGCATCTACCAATTCTGCTGCCTCTAAGACTCCAGACGCCCAGTCTCCATCAGTGTGAATCAGCAGAAGTTTCCCATATTGAGACCGTTTTCCCTGAGAAGCAGTAGGTATATTTGACCCTATTTCAAATCCACCTTGTTTTCTTCAAGGGAGGACTAAATTCTGAGACAGCTGCAGGTTACCCCAGCGGGTACCGCGGATGCACGTGGGCTCTGGAAGGCAGGTTCTGCAGCTCCCGAGTTGGAGTCAGCTCACATCCGCTGCATCGACTCACGACAAAAACGAACACAACTTTTTAGCAGTTACACAGCAGAATGCACGTTCAACATTCACCTGCTGTGATTTCATACATCAATTATGTTCTGTTTCTACACATTAAGACTTTGGTTATCTTCAATACCAAACTAAAGAGCACAAAAAGGAAAAAAAAAATTGCTCTTTCGAATAGGATTGTGACTGAACATATAAGCAATTACAGTAGGAACTGAAGTTCATTAAATACAAGAGGAGACACAAGGTCATCCCAGATACAACTACAGCACCCCACAATGCCTTCTGCTCTGTGCTCAAAGCCACAAAGCCCTGCTCATTGCCAAATTCAGGAACAGATAAACAAAGCAGGCAGTGGTTTGGGATTGAAGATGCTGGAAGGGACCTCAAGAGATCATCGAGTCCAACCTCCTATCGAAACAGGCACCCTACAAGAGGTTCTGAGCCTTACAACAGTACTGCCAGATGGACAGACAGACCGCCTGGCTGAGGCATTTATCAGCTTGATCCAGCCCCAGGATGTTTCATACCTGGATCATTTTTGCCCTACGAGTCAGCAGGCAAGACAAAAAAAAAAAAAAAAAAGAATAAGAGGGAAAAAGTTGGGAGAACAAAAATCTTCTTAAAATAAAAGTGCTGCATTCTTCCAGGGACAAAGGAGCTGCAAACAGTCACTGACTGCCTCCAAATCACAGCAGGTAGAAAAGGCATGAAGGGGAGACTGGGTGCTAATATGCACAGAATCCTACAAACAGGGAACAGAGAACTAGAACAACGAACCGGTCAGAATGGGGAACTGAAGGCCAGCAGCCACACCCACAGCATAAGTAATGCGGAGTAATTCTCCCCAATGCATTTGAAGATTTCCACTTTGTGCCTGTGTAAGATCTGGCAAACAGGAATGGGTTCAAAAGATTATTCCTCTTCAGAATCACTGATGCAGACAAAACACCATGCTGCTCTGCAGTCCCAATGCTTTTCAATAACAGTTACTTTCAATAACAGATTTTGTGCACCAGGGCAGAAGTTACTGGAAGCACTGTGCCGGTTTGTTCGGCTTTCTGCACCCATCCTGAAGGGGCTGAGCACAGCAGCCCCCAGCCCAGCCTGTCCTGGGGATCCAGAACCAATTCCTATGAAGCATTTGGCTTGTATATTACAACCCATTACACCACAATGAAGTACAGAGCCCCGTTCAGGTCACGTACATTTCTATAGTGCTGCTTCCTTTACAAAATCCCCTCCAAAACACATCTCATTCCTTGTCTTGCTGCAAACATCCATCAGATGTCAACACATTTTACCACCTCCCTCCCCTCGAGTGACCACATCAACCGCAGATATGGATTAAAGGAGCCTTCATCAGCGCCGATATGTATTAATACCAAAGAAAAAACAACCCACAAAACCACAGCCCTCACCTGCCTGCACCCCCTGCGCAGGTAAGGCTCTGCCCGGCACAAAAGGCTGCAAAGGAAAATCCATGCCCTGGATTTAAAGATGACAGCTGAAAACTGCTGTCAGCAGTACTACAAGATGCAGATAAATATATTAAAACCCTTTGGGGAAAAAAAGATGGTTAACAGCTTACCCTCCGAGAAAAAAGAAAATCAAACATTTTAAGGTACTTTTTCTCCCCTGAAAACACCTCCATCACCTTTTACTTTAACTCCCTCAATGTACTAATTCATCACCAAAATTGACTACACAACTACAAAGTAGTATTTTGCTGAAGGAAGATAGGAGCTGGCATTCTGTCTTAGCATTCCTACGGAACTCTCACGAACCCATCCCCATAGACCACCCTCCCCTCCCCAGAAAAAGTCCTCATCCCCCCAGGAATGCCCGAAGAACTGCAGTTCACGAGACAGAATAAATGAGGATAGCCCACCTGCAGGAAGCGCGGCCTCCCATTGACACAGATATCCCTGAAGATAGCCCAGCAGTTTTCAAAAAAGCCATTAAAAATTGGATGGCACTGCTGAGGAAGGGGAGGACATGGATGGCCAAAGGGTTCCTGCCGAACGCCGCCGAGCTTTGTGCAGGAGGGAGGAGAGGGATCAGCCTCCACCACCTAGCTGCAGATGCACAGCACTGCATTGCAGGTGACGGGCCTTGCAGCGAGACCAGGGGCTGCTCCCAGCTGATCTCCTGCAAATTCAATCGTGTCGGCGGTTGGTTGAGCACAGACTCATCTCCTTTTGATGTTTACCTGTCTCCATCTTCCCTCTAATGAAATTAGGAATTTGGGCAGATGCTTCATCTTCCTGCACCAGCCGGTTTTATTTGCCTATTCAATACCCCTGGATTCAAAGCGGGACGAGCAGCAAGGTAGGGTGGCTGCTGACTGCCCAACCCTTCTGATACAGCACAGCAAGGGCATTCAAAGTGAAAAAGGCATTTTCTGAAGTAATTCCACATCAATTCCTGCAGAGCTACAAGAAAAACGCACCCTTTACTCTCAGAAGTAACAAAAAAGTAGGAGAGGAAGCAAATCTTCACCAGATCTTATAAAAAAAAAAAAACCATCAACAAAAACAAAAAAAAGCGCAGAGAATTGAGCGTTCGTCACAGGAATCACTTCACACTGTTCTCCAGCAATGTAAAGGAATTAATAGCCATTTCCTGTGCCTGATTATCCTGCTTGCTCGTGTGACGGGGGAGAGGCCAGCAGTGTGACATTAGCAGCACGATGCAGAGCTCTGCTAGAAGACAGTTATTACAGGAGGGGTTCTTCTGAAGCCAGCTCTGTGCTTCTAAACCAAGAGAGTCAGAGAAGAATGCCATTCAGCTGGCTGTGCAGCTGAAAAGTTTGCACCCTATAAGCTCACACAACGATGCACAGCAATCCCAATTTGGAAGAACTCAGAGTTTGATCACTTGTTTCCCACAAAGCTTTCAAAGAGTTGAGAAAACACACTTTGTTTTCACTACTCGGCTTCCCACAGAGTCTGGTCTGCACTACAAAAATGAGGTAAAAAACCAGGAAGGAGCCCCGATTACACAACGCGTGCTCCTGCAGATTTGCACAGAGGCAGAGCCAACAACAACAGGGACACGAGCATGGCCTGCACAGGGCAAAGTCAGGCTCTGTGGTGCTGCTGCGCTGCCGCTCCCTGCAGAGCACCAGGGAGGACACACCAACCTCCAAATCTCTGCATGCAGTTCCACTTTCACAGCTCAGAACTCCTTTGTTTTTTCCACCTCAGTAACAAGATGCTTCTAGAAGGAAATTCTGTGGTTTTACTCAAAGCCATTAAGAAAAAGTGACTTCTTCAAAACAGGTATATTTCCTTGTCTTCAAACCACTGTGTGATAATGAAAAACAATAAAATACTTCTCTTATTCATCCTCTTCATCTCAGTTGGTCATTCCTTTGCTACCTGGAAAACTGATGCCCATCTGCAGGAAGCTGAAGATGACTGCTTACCCAAATGATTTTTGGGCTGCCTCCAGCATTACCTTTACAAACATTAGCAGTCCTTATTCGGGAGACAAACAACACATGTGAAACTTGCATCCATAAATGTAATTCACTTTGGAGAATTTAAGACTGAAGAGTAATCTGCCCCATCCTGTAGGACACACAGGCATGAGCCCTGCAGCAATCTGAGCCTCCTGCTGAAGGAGCACCTTCACCATCCACCCAGGGATTTCCACTGCTCCAAACCACAGCAAGACTCTGCTTCAAGCACTGTAAGGTGCCTTGTTTTTATCGGGGCAGGGGGATCCAAAAGCGTGAAGCTCCACATGGCAGGATAAAAAGTCCAGATTTAATACTTGCCCCATCTTCACATCTGCACATCACAACAACGCCTCTTTAAGGGAACTGTGCTCGCCAGACTGCATCTCACTCCATAGTGTGCCTGCAATTTCAGGACCATGTTAAGGCACATCTAGTCAGACAAATGGCTACTTCTGATGCCAGCCTCCAATGTGCTTACATGTAGAAGATCTGCAAGCAAACCCTGAAATCGTAAGAAGTACTTTTTTTTCTTGTATGCATTTGACTCTTTCTACCCTTTTTAAAATACACATACTTGAGGGAATTTTTGGGAGCCATATTTGTACAGGAGTTCTGAGCCTATAATCACAGAATAGTAGGGGTTGGAAGGGACCTCCAGAGATCATCGACTCCAACCCCCTACCAAAGCAGTTCCCTACACCAGGACGCACAAGTAGGTGTCCAGTCAGGTCTTGAATATCTGCAGAGAAGGAGACTCCACCACCTCCCTGGGCGGCCTGTTCCAGTGCTCCGTCACCTCACTAAAGAAGTTCTTGTGCACATGTGCGCACAATCCACGTTATTTTGCAATTCTACACAATTCCTTCACTCTTCCATCCCTGTTTTTCTGAATGAAGAACCAGCATTTGCTGCTAGGAGGGCAGACGTGCTAGGAGAGCCACGCTCACTGCTGCAGGTCGATCACTGCGCAGCTGAGGTGTACAGGAATACCACTGCTGAGAGCTTACGGGATCAGAGACAGAACATTCCGTTCTGAAAGAACCGAGCACGGAGGCACCAATATATACTTCTGTTCAGTAGTTGGTGGGAGTTCAGTTTGAAGATAAGTAATAAAGCATTTCACATGAGAATGGCACTAATGTACAAATAACAGAGGCAATTAAGTTTCTCGCTCCCCATACCCACTCCCCCACGCAAGCACTTAACAAGCTGTTTGCAGAATTATTTGCTATTCCAGCAACACAACCCGAGGGACTTCCATGGAAACCAGCAGAGCTTACATCCTGCCATGCAGAAGTCTGGTCATGACTGCTGTATTTGAATGAAAAATCTTGTGGGCGAGGCATCAAGTTCTGACTCTGCTTTAGATGTACGTCCAAAATACTTACAAGAAATGCAGCTCTGGTATTAACAATGAGAGACAAGTGGGAAAAACATAACCTGAGATCCTGGTCCCAGGAAAAGCCTTCCGGAAGCAACTGAAGGACCAAGAGGGCTGCCAGACCTCCAGGGCTCTCCAAAGGCAACAACAAAGTGACGCAAGAAAGACATGCAGAAATAAACTGAAAGTACTGGAGACGCTGGTAGGAACTTTCTTCATTCCAGAGCGCACAAAGATTACCAGCTTCCTGATTGCTCCTCATCCAGCAATTCTACTGTTGTTCAGTTGGAGAGGAAGAAAAAAGAAGATAGGTTTCACCACACTGTAAAAGTCTGCCCAGATTACAGATATCTGGAAACCCATCTGCTTGAAGATGCTGAATAGTGCACCCATGTGGGAAGAGGGAGAGGTTGCACTGCCCTAGCTGAGCCCTGCACTGCCCTCCCTCCTCCAGCAGAGGCAGCCGGAGGACCTGTTGGAGGAACTGTGAAAAACGTCTCCTACTCAGCAGAGCCCAAGAGTCAGACCGAGGCACCAGGCACTCCATCAGAAGAAAGCACTGCAAATGCATGTTTCTCAGAACATGCCACACACCAGAGCTTTATGGCTGCCGTTACCTCTGCAGTTAGTCATGCTTACAGCAGTACAGAGTACTGCTCTAAGGAACAATCAGTTCGTCCCCCTCATTCCCCACACACAGCTGCTGCTGTTTCTGTTTTCCTGGAATATAAAAACACTGCTAAAGCAAAACATTAGACTTGATGAAATACCCAATGAACCAGGCAGCACACAGACTCACAGCCTGGTTTTATTAAGATGCTCATTTTACTCGATTCAGAAAAAATGAGTTGTAATACAGAACTATTTGTTCTGCTTCTTGTCTAACTGCTCTCAATCCAGACAGTTATTTTGGAGTCTAGTTTTTTAAACCCTGGGTCTGAGACACAGCAGTATCCAGGACAAAGAACAGCTCAGCGATCCCAGAGCTTGTGACACAGAGACAGAAAGAGCCACAGACTGTACCTGCCAGCAAAATGCACGCTGCCACAAGCGCTTACTTCATTACAAATTACCAGAGCCATCAGTAAAATGCATTTGCATTTTTGGTTAAATAGCAGCATAGTTTTGTATCAAATCTTCCCACTTCATAGGCTTTCATTCACATGGTGCAACACTTACAGCATAGGAAATGACACTGAGTGTAATGTGCCAGCCTTACTTCAGCCACTAACAGCTGTTCTGTCTGCAGTTAACTTCCAGCAATGCTCCCCTTCAAACAGCACTGAGGAGAGGACTCAGAAGCCAACCAGCAATCTGTTGCTCACCTGCACTGCTTCCAGCACACCAGCTCCGCAGAACACGCAGCCACCTCACGGCTGATGGAAGCCTGTGCTGCTGGAACACCCATCACACAGCTCCCCACTGCTCACAGCACACCAGAACACAGAAATTCCATGATTAGTTTGTCAGAAGTCACAGGAGAAAAGTCGGCACAAGGACACAAAAGCGCACCATGCAGCTCCAGACCTCCCAGTGCAAATGATGTGCCCAGCACACCTGCCTGCCAGTGCTGAGTTCCGCAGAGATCAGAAACTGCCTCCAACAATGAAGCCATGCCAAAATCTGCATTTTTGACAGTCAGGTAAAAACAATGACCTGAACGCATCTCAACATCCAGCTGCTGAAACGTTCATGGTCAAACCCTTAAAGGTTTTAGTTTTGTATTTTTATATTTAACCATAATTAGAGAATTCTTAATACTTAATTTTACTCTGACAAAAATCAGGTGTGCTAAGCTTTCTTACCAACTTCATACAGAAAAATCTTGTAAGTAATCAAGTCAAATACCATTGAACGTAAGATGTTAAAAAGACATTCCTTGTGGCTTCAATCCTAGATTTTACGGAAGGAGCCTTACAACAACCCAGCTAAGCTTATTTTAGAAGACTTAAGCAGAGCAGCTTTGTATTTCAATAGCTGGGGAGTTGTGCCTCAAAGTTGGAGGTTGAGCTTTTATTGCATCACATAAAGCACAAAGTACATGCAAGTTTCTTTAACTTCAGAGGTAGAAACCACCGAATATGCTGCTTGAAAAAGCACCGAAGCAGAAGTTTAAAATACGCACACCATTTTCCAAATAGCACAGTTCTCCAATCAAAGTTAGTGGCAATATCAGTCAGCAGTGTTGTAAGTAGCTACAGCCATTGTGTGGTTATGAAGTGCGTTTAAAAATAAATAAAAATATGTCACTGGAAGTTACTGTTCAACAACATCCACACTACGTAGAAAACAGCCTTTGCAACCACGAGCACTGGCAGTGCTCAGCACTGCGTGTTTGCAGCTGGACAAGAGAAAAAAGGAAAGTAGGTAAGTCCAGAACAAAACAAGTCGCTGTTCACTCAGAAATGAGGACACAGCATTATAGCAGAGCTCTCAAAAAACTATCCTGATGGTATCTTTAAAAGACACACGGCACAACTATAAAACTATGTGGAAATATAACACACATCTCCCAAAGAGCTGAGTTCAGCCCTTCACCTTTCCAGAGCCCTCTCAGAACAAGCGAATGTCTGCTGGAGACAGAAACCAACAGAAAAACTCTAAAACAGCACAATTTGTCAGAGGAAGTGACTAAGAACGCGCTGTAAAGATACCCAGAACCCCCTGCACCAAAGCTTTTAAAAGGGGCTGGAGGGGCTGAAAGGTCCTTTCCAAGCAAACCACTCTATGGGTCTGTGACCTTTAAGGTTATTTCCATGCCAACTAACTACTCCATGGTTCTGCGATCTTTCAGGTCCCTTCCAACCGAACCACGCTGGCGTTCTGTGATCTCACCCCACGGACAGCAAAGCGCTCACACCGCCACGCAGCGCACAACGAGCAGCCAGCCATTGTTCAGTATCCACGCGAGATCCTTTAATTTCTCTATCTGCACGCCGAACCTCACCACATGTAAGGCCCCGTAACATTCCTGCGGCCCGAGGGCGGCCACAGGAGAGCATCAAAGTCAGACAGCGACGTAACCGCGCCGTCAGAGCGCCCTACGAGGAGGATTTTAATAGGAGGAAGAAAGGGGCGTGAGGAGAGGGCGATACCTCAGCGAGCGGCGGGAGGGGCTGCGGGCTCCGTTACCGGGACAAAACGGCTCCGTTCCCGGCCCCCCGCCGCGCTTCGGCCCCGCGAGCAGCGGCCCAGCGCCCCGAGCGGCCCTTCCCGGCGGGGTGAGGAAGGGGAGCGAGACCGCACTCACTTTCTCTGGGCCTTATCCTTCTTAGCTTTGGTCCGCTTCTTCCGGGCCTGCAGCGCCAGCACTGAAAGAGACAGAAAGAGCGTGAGGAGAGCGCGGGGCCGGCGGACCGAGGGGCCTCGAGGGCGGCGCGCCGCTCACCTTTCCGCTCCATGGCCGCCAGCGCCGGGAGCCCAGGGAGTCCCACGCGCCTGCGCGCCGCGCCGTGCCCCTGCGCCGCGCCGGGCGGCGCCGGGCGGAGCATGCGCGATGAGAGAGGCTGCGCGCGCCAACCGCCGGCCCCGCCCACTTCCTCCTCCTCGCCGCTCCCGCTCGTGGCGGAGCTGTGGGGGGAAGCCGCGCCCCCTCGCTGCTGGCACCGCCCCCGCGCGCGAGCCGCAGGGCGGAGCGCCGAGGGCTCCGGCGGCGCTTCCGCCAGCAGCATGGCGCGGGGCGGCCGGAGGGGAAAGCTGAGCGTGCGACGTCATCGTCGCAGTTGTGACGTCAGCAACTGACAGGCGCAGAACAATAACGCAGGCTCCGAAAGTAATAACGCCTCCTAGTTATTTGCATGGACGCTCCAACACATACGGAGAGCACAATAACACTTTGATCGAGCAAATTCTCACCTGAAAGTGCTGTTTCTCATATAGTCATTGCCATTAGCTGAGTGCTTTTGCCAGTGACGAATTAGAGCTGTCCTGCCATGTCCATAAGAATCTGAACCGGCAGAGGTGACCCACTGACACCACTGCTGAGACGCCCCAGACTGCCACACTGTGCTCACAGCCGCTGCTCAGCCTCCATAAACCTTCACCAAGCATCGATGAATGTCATTTGGTGCCATGTTTTCCGCATGGAGGAATTCAGTGACACGTCCTTGCTTCATTTGCATTTCCACATCACACACGTTTTGCCCCTCTGCTACTACCTCATGCACAACAACAAAATGTAACAGGATACTGCAGAGAAGGTTCAACCTCTCCTGCCATACCATCAGCATCTGCCTCTGGCATCCTGGCCCAACATAATAAAATAGCAGGTGTTACTTTTGGAGCTGCTCTTGTAGCTTTGGCATCAGAAATGTAGATTGGAGTAGCCATAATAGTCAGAGAAGAATTAAATACTAACACTCAATAATTATCACAAAAAGCAACGCATCTGCTAGGCTGCTGGGGAATTTTTTGCTGTGAGCACAGACCCAGTACTGGTCATAAAGACGCCAACGCGTTTCCCTTACAACTCCTGCCAGCTCTGTCAACAACTGTTTAACATCATGCGGCTCCCGCGCTGCCCGCACAGCTGCCGCACACCTCACAGCGCACGGCTCAGGGCACGACGGCCGCCCCGCGCAGCCGCGGCTCTGCTCCTGCTGGATGCCGGCAGAGGGAGCGCGACCCGTCCAGCTCACTGTGGGCAGGCACCGCACAGCGCAGCCCGGGCATCAGATACAAATATTTGCAGGGAAAGGTGGGTACCTCTGTGTGCGATTTTGGAAGGCAGAAAAATCCTCGTGTGAGCTCTGGGGATGACAGGTTCCATTCCTCTGTCTGTTCCCCCTGCAAAGAGTTCTAAGTGAGATGCGATAGTACAAAATATGGCAATAATGTGACACGGAGAAGGATACACGCAGTCCCCGATTTCAGCCTTCCACAACCGCTGTGCTAGAAGTAGCACTGAGCTGGAGACTTCAAGCATGATGGAGCACGCTGCTCACATCCAACAGCAACCATATAAGAAAGTTCTTTCCTCAAAGGAGTATAAACACAGTATAAACAGACAACAAACACCGCTTCGAGTTCAGTATATTGGCTGCCTGTTCCTTTTGTGGGATCTACTGTCCTGTATTAGCATTGGGACTCCTGCAGCTGGTCCTATTAGTGCACGTTCACACCTCCTGTGGCCAATGCTGCACATCACACTTCAGTGAATTTGGCCCACAGAGGGGTTCTGAGCCAGCCCTAGACCCAACTACAGTCAACTTCCCACAGCCAGCCTGGCACTCATTTTTAAAGCAGAATGAATGCCACCAAACTATGCCCATACACAACCAGTATACCTGGTCCTTCTTCATAGCTTCCACAGTGTGACACACTGCAGCCTGTTGCCTAAGAACTGCTCCTGCCACACTCTGTGCAGCTCCTGAGGTTTCTCTACCACTTTCTGTTTTCTGCAGCCATGTGTGTACCAAAGCAGTATGTCAATAAAATGCCAACAGGCAGGGCCAGCAGGCTGCACATACTTTGCATTTTGCGTGGTGATGTTCTGGGATCTGCATCCTCTAATTCAGCGCAGTGAGAAAGCTGCCTGGGACTCTGCAGCATGCCCTCCTAGGAAAATGTCATGCGTTTGTACTGGTTCAGAAGGGCATTGAAAAGATGCTGTCTGCACAAAACAGCTGCATTTGTTGCAACTAGATCAGGCGAGAACATCAAACTGCCTCCAAAGACACTCCTGCAGGCAGGCCTTTGAACTCTGACTTCAGAGGTACAGGTGGAGTCCTCGGCCATAAAGTACGTGCTCTGTCACTTCACTGCCTGTGTCCACGGATTTGTGCTTGGTGAATCACAGAAGCATTCTGTATGTATGCAGGAGCTGAGGCGCTGTACAGCTGTATAGGAAAATGATCAGGTTTGTCTGAACTTCCTGTCAGCAAAGTATTTGTTTTGCAACAACAATGCTCATAATTTGAAAACTAACATGCTGACGTCCGAGTTGTCCCCTGGTGTTCCACTCTGCAGTCACATGGTAGGAAGGAAAAACACTGAACTCTGCCCAGTAAGCCAACAAAAAACTCAAGTCTTTGGTTTGTAGTGGAGACTTTCCATAGTGCCAACAGCTACGAATGCTATTTCACCTTAAATCAAGTCTGACATAGCAGAGCCAACAGAATCTGGAAATGAGGACTATGATTTTCATGGGTTTTGTGCTACTCTGTTTTGAACAGAGCTGAGAGGAGCTTGGCATGAAGCCACTGTCCAAAACAATGCAGGGAAGCATATGTGGTTTGAAAATTACTCGATACCATTTGAGCTTTCAGTTTTCCTATCTTTCAATCCAAACGATATGAGGGCTCCAGCACTCAGTTTCCTCCACACTAAGTAACTTGGCACAGTTCACCAAAATCCTTTACCACTGTAGATCACACATACAGAACTGCAGCTTTACAGCCACATGCTGTCTCCTCATGTAAAATTAGTTTTACCTGTGACTCTCCACAAGGGCAGTTTGTGCCATGGAACAAATAAGGGCATGGCAGAGTCCTGTGACATACATTGCTGATGCAGTTGAACACCGCTGCTGTCAGTACAACCCTAGCTTAGGCTGATGCAGAAAATATGAGTAAGCTGATTTTTTTTTCCCTAAGCGTTACCTATATCTTAGTCTACAATTTTTTCTGGCTCTTCAGAACAAAATAAATACATTCCTCCATTCTTTACCATTTCAGTAAGAGACTGCAAAGAAAATGTAATTAAATTTTTTGTTTACTGGGATTTTGTTCTGGTAAATCTGGTAAACAGAAGAAATACTCATGTGATGTTAGTGCTGACAAGATCAACTTCAGCAACTTGTTGAGCAGCAATAAGAAAATGCTTTCCTTTGAAGCTCACATCACTCTACACACTCTGAAGATAATGAATCTGCCTGCATGTAATCTATTCAGATATGGCAGATGAGTTTTACTACCAATACATAAATACAATAAATAATAATAAATAATTAATAAATAAATAATAAATAAATAAATACATAAAAAGTGCTCAGTTGCAGCATTTAAACCAACTTCTAAAGAATTTCAGAAAAGATGCACAAATCATTTGCTAGAATTCACCAAAACTAGGAATTCTCTTGTACATTGCTGAGAGTATCCTATCTACTTGAAAATAATTATCCAGGTGTTCCTTTTTGATAAGAACCACAGAATTACTGTAGGCATTAGTCAAGCTGTCTAAATATAAAAACAGGAGAAAAAAAAAAAAGAGCATCAAATACTGATAAGAATGACCACAACTGCTGCTTAACTGTACCTTTCTTCCTTCTACTGAAATCCCAATTCCCCAATAGTTGTAATCCACATGTTGCTGTTATACTTCCATTCCTTGTCCCATGCGAGGTCCTAGAAATTCAGTTGAAGGGACAGAGTTTCAAACTGCAGGTGAGAGCTTGACTCTGCTGCATTCCGGGCTGAGTATGAGTTATCTGATATTGGCTCTTCACGCAGGAGTTTGCTGTTAGGCTTCCTTGCAGTGAAGAAGCCTCCATTCTTCTCCATAAGCAAATTTATTTCCTGAAATGTACACAAACATATTACTGTAGGCCAAGGGTGGCCAGTCTGCTGAGCCAGTCATGTTCCCATGCCAAGGCAACATCACGTGAGCAGCCAGAGGGGCCCGCTGGCATGGGAGCACAGGGCAGGTCAGATACCCAGCTGCCAAGGAAATGAGCTGGCAGTGCTGACATCACCCCACTGCTGTGGGTCCCTTCTGCACACCCAGCCCAGCATGGTCTCAATGCACACTCCTGCGGAACCACTGTCACCTCCTGTATGGAAGCAGCTCACAGTCTGCCCTCCACATGCACTAAAGGGAAGGTGGTGAATATGAACTGTTACCTCCATTCTGTGAAGGCCTTTCTATGGGAGAGAGTATCAGGAAGGTCAATAACCTTGTGTTAGACTATTCTGTAGAGTGCTAAAATAAGTGAGGTAAAGAAGCAGAACAAAAGAAACCTGTTTCCTACAGATTTTGATAGTCGTTATTTTTTCCTTCATTCTTCCCTTGTTCCTGGCAGCATGCAGAGAACGATTACCTAAGGTTGGGCTGTTTCCCAAGGAGGGGCAATTAATGGAATCTATGCAGAAGAAGAGCTTTTCCTGGAACTTGCAACTGTCTACCCTGTTCAAACTTGGCAGAGACATCTAGTGAGCTTAAAAAATTATTGCAGAGGACGACAGAAAGAAAGATCACGTGCACAAACTTCAGTTTGTTGGGAAATCAAGTCAGTGCTGTCCTTCACTTCTCCAACCTGCCCCAAGGAAGCTGGTGCAGTAACCTCTGGAAATAAAAAGCTTGGAACTTCGGCTCTGCCCTGGCAGAGTCCTTGCCCAATGCAGGAAATGGAAACTGTCTAAAATACAACAGCAATTCCCTACTGCAAGACAGAGCTGGATTCCTTTCCAGTCTGAATGCAAAGTTGTCTTTCCCCAGTCAGGGACAACAGGACTCTGTCCATTGTGAACAACCAAACAACTGGAAAATTCAGAAGAACATCTGCTCTGCCTTATTTCCTCAATCACATCACAAGACCTTTAAGTTACTGACAGAATCATTTAACAACAGGAATGCTTACATGTAAGCTAAATACTCTACCATCTCATCTTCAGCTTGTGGCTTTTCAGCATGCTCTTCTGCAGTAAGTTCTATCTCATCTGGCTTTTGATGCCTCGCCAAAGCAGCCAGCAGAGCATCGTGAAGACTTAGAAAGAACATTTCTTTGGTGACACAGCTGTCAAAGAACTCGTTCTTCTCAAAGGCTGCTATCACAGAGGCTATAAAAAATGGGAGAAAATAAACAAAGCAGCAAAATTCATACCAAGCAGTAGAGCTATAACATTTCACTGCAGTTTAAAACTTATCCCCAATGGTAAGTCAATATTAATAAGCAAATGCTGTACTCACAATGGCAGCCAGCTACAAGGACTGTAATGCCGATACTGAAAAACATATGGAAGATCTGTGGAGAGAATTCGATATCAGCATAGAACAATTCTGCTTTATACAAATGCTCTAGAAGTTCAAACACAAATGGGAAAAGAACTCCATTGTATGATTTATCCCTGAAGAAAGTCCTTATTCCAGTCTCAAACCAAGATTCTTAGCTCAGAACTAAATAGCCAAACTATCAAAATCTTCATAATGCTAAGTGTTACCTCTTCACTTGAACAAAAGATTCTCATAAATACGGGCTAACTCCAAACATTTCTATGTACACTGATGCCACACTCATGTATAAACAACTTTTTTTTTTTTTTTTTAAAGCAGTAAAACATTATTTCAGAGAATTACAGAACTTCAGAATATGAAGCTGGAAGGAAAAGGAGATAAGTCCAGATTCCAACAGGGGAGTCATTTAATAGATGGCAAATAAATCTTTAAGGACATCAGCTCAGTCCACAGTTCCCAATAGGTTGTAGATCAAACAGAAATCTTTGAAGATGAGCTACAGACTTTGAGGGAGTTGAGTAAGAATCCATCTGTATCTGCCTGAGATGCACAGCTACATGAAATTTATTTTTGCTACATCTGTATCTCTATTGGCTAGGATCCCTGCTTGAAGACTAAAAACCTCAAGACATACATCAAGGAAAAGAATATAAAGGCATTCAGCAATACAAATAAAATAATTCTAAGAGAAGACAGGAGGGAATTGTGAAACTGACAGTTCTAAAAAAGAGGATTTTTTTTAAGTGTCCAGCTAGAAGAAAAAAAGAAACAGCCAAAATTGAAAGAGCAAATTAGACCTTTTTATAAATATAGTTTATAGTATAGCTTTAGTTTACACAATTGTAGGACTGGAGATAATGGATGACAGGTTTTAGCTTGTCCTTTGTGTCGATAACAAGGCTTTTGTTCTTGAAAAAGTGGCCTCATGGGAAGCTGCCAATTTCCGAAAATAGTGCACTTGAATGGGTCAACTGGAATATGCTCAATGGAACATATCTGGCCACGCACTGGGCAGCGTGGGCTAACAAGAAACATGTGACACTGGGTAAAGTTTAGGTTTCACATTTACACGCAGTTAGGTTGCTTACCTGTCGTAGTAAGTCTGAACCTTGCAAATCCACAAACTGGACCATACTGAAGTCCAAAATAATGGTGTGAACCGGACTTGGCAAATGTACTGGCTGTTCTTCCTGATCTAATTGTGCTGAGGTATTACCTACTGCAGAGCTCGGTGAAACACCAGCTTGTTTCCCTTCGTCCTCATTTTTTCCAGCCTGAAGTTGTGTTTTAATGCCTGGAGATGCAGCCTGCGCATTAGCTGCTCCCAGCAAGAGCATCCCACAGTTCTGTCTAACTCCGTACTCTGACCAACGTACCAAGTTAACTGAAGATGACGTGGAATTACTGTCTACATGATATGACTTCACCAGTTTCTCTGTATATGGTATCTAATATGGAAAATGGAGAGGAGTACATCAGTGGTTAGAAGTAGTAGGTCCAGGGAGTAGGTTATTTTTTTCCAGTAAATAAGCACTGTAAATTGCGTGATCTCTCTTCTCTCATGGTAAAAACACATCTGAAGTAACTCTAAATACAGCAGAAAGCCACAAGAGTATGCAAAGTAGCAAGTGACTTAGCCAAGCTTCAGGTATGGTTAGCAGTGTGCCTTCAGCTGCTGGCTGGTACCAGTGGTACCCAACTTCCACACCAGGGTACATCAAATATTTCTACTGCTCGTTAATTCACCCGGTACGGTGAGCTCCTATTGCTTTATCACATACAGCCTGTATGAAGAAAAACAATGATTCTATTTGCTTAATTTTAATCAGTAATTATATGTATATATATATATGCTATATATAAGCATTTACAGCCTTTTAAATTCTAGCAAGTTAAGACACTGTGCACGGTGACAGAGAAATAGGCACCTCAGACAGATTAGATAAATATACTTCTAAAGCTTACCCGAGGTGGTGGTAAGGGTGGATCACAGACACAAGAGCATTTAAAATCTTTGCTTTCCACTGAAATGTCAGACAGATTAGCTGAAACTAAGGCCCTAATTTCATTTGGATTTAGAGGCACTGTTTTCATGTCCATCTGAAAGACAAAAATATTTTTACTCCAGGGATAATACTAGCTTTTAGAAGCTTTATCTAGCTGAAAAAGTGGCATTTACCTTGTGTAACAAGTAATTTTTGAAGCTATTCATATTTGCAAAAGAAATGGAAGAACAGCACTGAAAGATTTTGACACCATCAATCTCCATTGCCTTCAAAACAAAAGTTGGATCTGTGAGAGTTGTACTTCGTAGGAACAATTTTTCCCCACCTAACCCTCTATGCAGTAGACTGCAAGGTGATGTTCTAAGGACAAAGTAACACTGCTGACCACACTGCATGCTCGTAGGAGCACTGGCAGCATGGACCAATAACGTACTCATCTGGAAACATCAATCAGGTCTTCCTGTTTTAAAGACCTCCAGCAGATCTATCACTGATGACAGTCGGCTGGTATAATATAAAACCATCCAAATTTGATACATAGTTTTATATCTAATGCTCTTTGCAGAAAACATACATTACATCACTCTTGTATTTCTAACCTTGTCCTCATTTGATTTCTGCAAATCCATCAGCATAGCTTTGGGAATGTACTCAGGTGGCAAAGCTCTTCACTACTGAATTACCCAATTTTGTATGGTTCCGTCTTCTCAACAGTGTATTACAAAGGCCCGTGCCCTACTTTACATCCCATCACTGTAAGAATCAGCAAGTCACTCTGGCAGACAGTTACTGAAAATGTGTTGTGTGGACACAACCAGACTGAGAAAAGCAGGTAAAACACCAAACAGTTCCGTAAATGTCAGCAATGCGGCTTCCACCACTGGGACAGCACTGACTGACACAGGGAGCTCCATGGGGCACAATCCGAATCACTTCACACTACAGATATTTAAGCATTCTTCAGTTTGAAAGTTTTGAACCAAGTGAACTGAGTCCGAATGCTCATTCCCGAACGCACTTAAGGGAAGAAGCTAGATTACAGAGAGGTGGAACATTTGTTTTTTGTTTCCTCTTACGGCTCTGCAGATGGATAAACTTCTATAAATATTCGTGTTTGGAATCTGTCCCAGCTCCACCATCTTCATTCTGAAACAAGATGTTTATTAGATTCTCACATAAAGCAGAGGAAAAAAAAACTACATTCCCAAAACCTTGATCTCCATTTCTAAAGTTACTGCTTTGGGAAAGTAATAGACAGATTCCAGGATGACCTGACCAAAGTGTTTACAAGCACGAAACTACTTTCACATTGTTGTATGTGCAGCTATCTCTAAAACATCAACTCTAGTGAGTATTTTGCTCTAGGAGTTACAAGTACCTGTGTGTCCTGATGCTGATTATGAAGAATGCAATTGCCAGGGCGATCAGTAAACCAATATCAAGACCAAGACAAAGCACTGCAGCAAAAGTTCCAAGCCAAATAGCCTTTGATCAAGAGACAGAGAAAAAGATATAAAATGACCTCCAACTCAGCTCCAGTATTTGCAAATTAAAGAGACTAAAAAGAAAAAAGAAAAAAAAAAAAAGAGCTAGAAATGGTAATAGTTGAAAAGCCTAGCTGGCACCTTTCAGCCACCCAGTCCTGAAAACAGTCACACAGAAAGATCACAGGAAAGAAGTGCAGGACCTCAAAACACATTAACTCCGTTGCAGTTACTGACAATTTACTTTCCTTAGCCCTGCATTTGCAGATACACAGTGGCAATACACATACCTCCACAATTCTGGCCCACTCTAAAAGAACAAAGAAAAGAATTTCTTCCTTTAAACACATTCCAGTTACTGTTTTTTTATGCCACTTACTAAATGATACTTATCCTTTCTCCACAGGGTAGGAATGTCCAGAAGTTTTTCAAGAAAAGGTAGCATGTTAAATACTACAATAGCAGCCAGCACGCTCTGTGCAAATAAGAAAAAAATGCATGTTATTTATTGCATCTGAGATTTATTGCACACACAACATGATAAGGAACAGATATCCAAGACAAACTGCTTAAAATTTAGATCTTATTTATGTATTTTTTATAAGTATAGCAGTTGTCAGACCTGCAAACCAACCTATCTTATGTGATTCCACAATTACTTCTGCCAATGCAACGGGACTTTCTCTTGAAATGCTTTGTGTGGTTTCTATTGCAGAGCTTTTCAGTGAATCCCTGTGCCTCCTGCAGCACCATGACAAATGACAACACTATCTACAGAATGGAGCTGCTGTATCAATGAATGGTTTTAATTAGCATGGGCAGTTCATTTACAGATTTGGGAAGTTGTTTGACACCATTTGTTGAAAAAGCACACCTTAGCAACAAAAAATGGGAAACCAAAAGTGAAATACAACATTTAAATCACAGATCTTGGCAGTAAACTTTCAATTCACTTCTAGCCAAGGAATTTTAGTTTGTGCTGAACAGTCAGTTGTGGGAGAGAGTATGGGAGAAAGTATTAATTTCCTAATACTTGACCATGCTGAAACTTAGGAGAATTTAAAGTCATTGTTTTGGTTTAGTCTATCCCTTGAAACAATGAAATGTAGAGAAAGATACAACCCCAACTGTTAGGATAATCTTCACGTTAAGCTTTAAAAGTAAGTAGGCTGCTACCATAACTATTACAAGTTCACTTACATTAGGTATCATCTGGAAAAAGTGTCCTAGTTTCAATGCAATCACCAGCATTATAGATGCTCCCATCAGTGCTGCTATCTGAACAGAGATACTTTATTAGAGAGGCCTTTCAGAACCGATTCCTAGTCTTCTCTAAGCAAACAAGGTATAGTGCTTGTAACACCATCTAATAGAAAAAGCAACCAGGAGACAAAGTCCACGGGTGTCTTGTAGTGGGCAATATGGATTCCAGAATGCTCATGTCAAAAGGCTTCTGTAGACACAAATTTGTACTAAATGGGCTATTCTTATGTACAACAACACAGGATTTTGATTTGATAGTTTAATTAGAAAAAGAAGATATTTCTCTTGCAAGTCAGCCTTAAGAACGCCATCCAAAATCCAGGAAGAAAACTCTCTAACCCCAATGTGGTCTTAGAAAGCAGCATTCCTTTATTCCTCATGATACGCACTGTGCGACTTGACAAACAAGGAAGCTCTCTCAGAGTTCAGGTTCTACATTTAAACAGTTAAGACACCCACATGCAGTACACTGGCACAATATTCATTCTTTCCCAAGGATGTATTAACATATGCTAATGTCCCTTTGGGCCTGCTCAGTGGTATCTAGAGTGGTCAAGTGCTCACCTACTTCTTTCCTGCTTTCCACCATCAGCTTCATCGCTGAGACCTTTGACTCCACCTTCAGCTGCTTTTCCCCAGTTTGGAAAATTTCCATTGCTTATTGGGCCTAGGGAGCCACTATTAAAACAATATATGTGGAATCCAAGAAAAATGTCCCTGCACCTCCTGGGTGCAAACAATGAAAGTATTCTATTATGTGCCCATTATTGAGGAAAACAAAACTGCTCACCCACTAAATTTGAAATTGAAAGTTTTAGAACTACTGAACTATCACTTATGGATTACTTTTGACGAACTAATATATTGACTCTTATACTAATGTACTAATCCACACTGCTAAACAAACCAGCCTATATCAGGCACAAATGTTTTACTAAATCAAGTTACTTCTACGATGCAGTGAAGCACGTACAAATACTCATGAGAAATATGTTAGAATCTTCCTAAAAATAAATAATTTTTAGAAATAATTTTAAAAAAAGATTAAGGTCATAACGTCCAGTACTAAAAAGTGCAAAACAATTTTCAATTCTGGGCATATTCACTAAAATACAGTTTACATGGTATGAACGCATCTTATTCTCTCCACAGAATTCTGGCTTCCTTAAACACACAGCATGTCCTTAATATCCTGCAATTACAGTGCATAGCATGGAGAGCACAAATTCATGCTGCATGGGAATGTAACTACTTCTCACAAACTGCTTGGATGAAATGTCAGCCTCTACTCAGTCTAGAATGATTTTAGCCCGGCTCACCTGGGTTCTTCCACCCGCCTTCTCTTGGATGACAGTTCCAGAAATAGCACAGCTGACAGCAAAGCTTCTGAAAAATGAACTGCAAATATTGCAAAGCCCCACAGCTATTAGTTCCTGTGAAAAAGAAACAGGAGGAAGTAGAGAGAACCCAAAATTAATGACTTACCTAAATAGAAGTGGCTTAAAAAGAAGTACATCTGCTCACACTTGCTGGCTGTCCAGCTCAGAAAATTTTCTGGAAACAAAGACTCTCATGGTTAAATTTCTCTCAAAAGCCACAAAGTTTTCACAGTTGAGGATCTCATGGACCCAAAAGTCAAGTTCCTGTTTACAAAGTAATCCACAAAGAACTCAAAACTTCCAAGCTAATGCACAGTATATCTCAGCACACAGTATAATAGAGCTGACACAAGAACTCAATGGAAAAGACATTCTCTTTGTACTTCTCCTCAAAGGCTACAGGAAGCCAGGGCAGCTTTCTGGATTAATTCCTTTCTAATGAAGACTCAAAGCCATCACAACAAGTTAAACAGGGTACTGCAAACCAGTTAGTGCTTACTCCATCTAGCACACTGGAAACTAACAGCTTCAGCTTAAAAGGCTCTCAGAGCAATCAGCCTAGGCTGAGAATTCACTAAGTTGACAGACACACATAGACAGGAACTACAGCTGTTCTGGCCATTTACAATTAGAGCTATTATATTTGTGTGCTATTGTAAGTCCCACAGATTCAGGATAGCAGTGGCTCCCAGGGATCACTAGCAGCACTGTGTACGAACCCCTGGAGTTACACTAAGTCCTCTTAGTGACCATACTGACTGGACATATTTTGGCCTTCACACATAGATGGCATCTGTCCTTCCACAGAGAATCAACAATAACAAGTTGATACAAAACAATCAGCTGGCATCACTCGTTCTCTGCTTGCATTTTTACCACTACCAGGTAACTAGTGGCTTTACTAAGCTGAATTCAGTTTGCTTCTTGGCCTAAGAAGTATGTGTAGCTTTGTTCTCACCTGACTGCTGGAAATGCTGTAGTTATGAAGCAAAGCATACTTCTCTCCAATAAAAACAAGAAGGAAGCAGCTTACAATAGCAAGGGAGAAAGCATGCAAGATGATCTTGCTCAGGTTTGATAAATCTGGCAGTGTAGGAGGTAGAAACCTACAAGATCAGAGAACAGAAAGGTTTAAACCTGCTCTGGGCTCTGTGCAGTCTATACCATACCCAGGACCAACATCAGAGGCATCTTCTGCCACCCCACGGGAGATGTCCTGAATGTGTAAGGGTTTGCTTCCACCTCACAAAAAACACAAATTCCTTCCCTCTGTGCGCTAATAAAATCTGAATCTAATAAAGAAAACTGTAGTTCAAGTTCTGCATATGCTCTGAAACGAGGAGATCTCAAAGCTCTCTTGAACAGTTATTCCTATAACTGTGCTTCCCGGTAAAAATCAGCCTATGTCAAATTTCAAGAACAGACTGAAACACCTCTTTCATGTCTCAAAAGTATAACCTCACTAACAGCAGAAATAACTAACCTCTGAGGAATCATACTGAGCACAGCACTGCTAGATTCAGCGTGAAAATGAATACAATTGGCAATAATGGTAGCTGTGATGATCTGGGAAAGAAAACAAGAATACCACAGATTATAAGCATTTGCACCTGAACTGCACACAGCGAATCTGTGGAACACATTCAGTAAGATTCTGTGAAACAGAAACAGTAAGGACAGTTACTCCTGCAGGAGGATTTGAAGGACCTAAGCACACATTTTATTCAGTGTATAAGCACCGCAGCATTCGGAAGAAATGTATTTTTGTGGGGTTTTATCAGTATATTATACAAATACTTCCTATTTGCTAATGTCTACAGTGTAGTAACATCTGATAAATTCTATGCAAAATGTGGACTCTTCTTCTTATTCCAATTTTCCCATTAGCTGTCTGTGTTACTGTGCTCTGTCACAGGCTTTGTCCCACAGGCCACTGTTAGATAAGTGGCAAATGGCTTCAAGTCCAGCATCAGCAAGGTTTTCCTTAAGAAAGGTGTTCCTTAGAAAAAGAAGCTATCATCTCTTAGACTCCTAGACTGTCTGCAAAAGTCAGAAATTTCATTTCAATAGAAAAAGTTTTGATTTAAAAAAAAAAAAAAGTCAATTCTTCCATTTTCTAGGAAAGAAAAACATCAGGAGAAAACAGCAGCAACAAATATTACTGAATTTTCAGTAAGACCTGCCTTTGAATGTAACAAAATTGAATATCTCCTTCCAGCAATTCCAGACCAAAAAAACCATAAGTCAATCAGAACTCCGAACCTTCAAGTCCGCAGTTCTACTACCATCATAATAAAGATTAAAAAGATAAAAAATAAAAAAAATCAGTCTGGAACATGGTGGTTTCACCTCTACACAATGCTGTTTATTCATGCAGTTCACCGTGATTTGTGCCCATGGCTTTCTGTAGGCAGAGATACCTTATTTCCACAGTAGCAGGGGAAAAACTTAGGAAGTTCTCTGGTGAAAGACGCCTCAAAGCTCAGCGACAAAGGCTGCTTATGGCACTCAGAGCCGGAACGCAGACAAGCAACTCCTGAACTGCTCAATTATCACTACAGCATTGAGAACACTCACCAAGAGAAGCTCCATTGGAAATGCAACAGGACTATGAAGATAAGTTATCCTGATAGCTTTACTGATTTGTAGCATGGCCATGCTAAGCAAAAACAGCAGTATGCTGGTGGCATTAGACTTTGGGAGAGCCAGGAAATAATAGAACGCATTCTGAAAAGGAATCATCATAGAGAAGATCAGAGGCAGATACTGCAAGTATTTTTACATTCTAGAAGGTTGAGACCTGTTGCCCTCACACTTTAACTTATCCTTTACTGCTACGACAGTACCTTCAGCGGGAAGAAAGTTGCTGAGAGCAAAACAGTATTTTAAATGGTCTGTTGAGAAACACAGCCACAAGTAACTCAGATCTAGTTCAATCACTCTTATCTCCTCTACACCACCTTTCTCTCTAGTTGTCTGTCTTTTCTTAAGAAAATTAGGAAGACTTATTTTTAACTTATCTTTAGCTAGGAGTCTGCTGCATCTTTGTCAGGTATGTCATAGATACTGTGCGCCCAACAGTTAGCCCACAATGATCCATGGAGGAAAAACATACCTCTTTCCCTAACCTTTTGCTCCACAATGATTACAGACATGCTGAAAATGATAAAGCTACATAAGTAATTAAAAATACTCCCTTTTCCTCTTGCATGTCATGCAAAAATATCCATTCATCATTCAAGACAACAGAAAGACAATGTAACCACAGCTGAGACCTGCAGAAATATCCCTTAGCAACTGACATATTCAAATTGCCTTCAATTTTTGTTACTGTTCTCTTCTTTATCCCACAGGAAGCAAGCATTTATTTATTTTTTTCACTAATAACGAATTTACTCACATAAAAAATGTCTCGAGAGCCCTTATGGAAGTCAAGCACAATGTCAAAGATAAAAGTGAACTGTGATACAATGACAAGCAATGCTGCTGCAGAGAGGTAAGCATCAATGAGAGCCTTTGGCAAGTATGCTGTTACAGACTTCAGGCAGAAGCAGCCTAGCAGTAACTGTATGGAACAAACAAGAAGTGAGGTGCAATATAATTATCTATGTCTAACCTGCCTTTCTTGTTCCCACATTTGAAAAGCACGACTTTTCACTGCCATACTTGATGGATAGTTATTTGAAAAGCTATATTCATTATGCACAATTAAGAAGGATGCTGCCAAACTAAAATAGGAACACTTCAGATCAAGTGTGTGTGGTTATGCAGGACTACCTAAGGGTCTTCATGTTGGAGAATTGGTCGAAAAAAGAACAAAACAGTTGGCCAATAAAATACAAAAGTAATTTACTTCACGTACTGCTAAATTAATCAAGGACACACAAATCTGAACCTATCCCATTTTTTCAGACATCATGAGAAGAGGCAGACCTTCATGTTCCATTTTCTACAACGTATGTATTCAAGTGTGCTGAGCTTAGAACTTGTGAGAACACACAAGCAGTCTCACTTCTTACATTTGTACAAAGATAAACGTAAGGACACATCAGTAAGGACACAACAGTTTCATCTTCTACCTGAATTATGCCAGTCATAAATGTCACTGACGCAGTGAGTGCCAAGGTCTCCACGTAACCTTTCAAAAGTGTAGGGTCTGAAAAATTGACCAGTGAACTGTTAAAGGACAACGTTTTGTTGAGATCAAGGGACTTGAGAATATTTTTCACCACTAGATTTAGGATGCTGAATGAGCCTGAAAACAATAGAACAGAGTAGAGAGAATGTAACTGCATGAAGTGTTGCAACAAGGATTTATCTTAAAACTACACATCCATCTCTATGCCCCACCATCAAATGTGCTGTATGAGACAATTAATTTTCATTCATTCCATTTTTACTGTTTCTGAATAAGCACCAAAAGCTTCAAAAGTTCCCTCTGAAAATTTCAGACTCCTACAATTTTACAGGCGAAGTCTTTGCTTGCTCAGATGCACAAAAGAAAAAAGATTTTAATGTAAAGCACGAAAATGAATGCACTACAATGAACTGCCAGAAAGTCCAAGCAATATGGTTTGTCTGAGAAAGAGCTGCCAAGTTATCTATGAGGCCAGAACTCCATAGATCCACTTTTACAATGATGATAAAGGCCTTCTCACATAATAATCTAGTTTCTGAACAAATTAAGAACGCAAAACCACCAACAGTTCAGTCGTGGCAAGGAACTGCACGACCCCTGGAGAAAACCAGGAGCTAAGTGGGAAGCAGCTTGATCTGGCCCTCTGCTTTATGCAGGAGACACTTCCATGATGCACTAGCTGCCCCCTTTGCACTGCTGTCTGTGACAAAGGAGCTGTGGCAGTCTCTGCCCTCAGGGGCAGAGGTGAAGCAATGAATCGAGAATCTGGAAGTCTGGATGCTCCCCTAAATAACGCCTGCACATGAGATGCTTTTTGAAGCAGCACTGAACACATTCTCTAAGTCCTGTAGAAACATTTTGCAATGCAGAATAAAACTCACCAATTGAGATGTGATGTGAACTTCCAAATACAACGTACAGCACTGAGCAGCAGAATGCAGAAAGGAAGCTATTGATTGTTGGTAGAGGTAAGCCAGCCAGCCAAACTCCTAACAGCCCTAGAAAGCAAAAATCTAACAGATTTTGCAGGGTGGATTTTAAAGATTGCTATTTTTCCCGCAATACAGGAAAATGCTGCTGTTAGCATATATTTATATACTTAAATTAGAGGGAAACTTTATGAAAAAAGGCAGCGTCTTGTCCTCAAAATTACACTATGTAACATTTGATTACAGAATATGTTTTCTTGCAAGTATGGAAATTAATAAGTTAATGATTTAAGGAATTTGTGAATTAAAATTCCCACATAATTCAGATGACATCTGAAGGAACACGGTAACACACACATTATGAAAAGGATAATGTACAAAAGGAAGCAAGAGTGCTTTTTCTTTTCTCTCTGCCTACCTTGAGGAACCTGAACCAACCCAACATTTAGGCCTGCATGGAGGTCCTTCAAGATCCACTCTCTGAACTGATAGGAAAAAAGCCAACTCAGGATAGGGAACCTCTTGTATATAATCTTTTTGAAACTTTCCCAGGAGAACCTGAAAAGAATCAGATAAGCTGTGTGTAAAGTTCTTCATGACCACCATGTCTGCAGCCCTCTTGCATGACCTCATACTCTGCAGGAATAGAAGCCACATTGCTACTCTCAGATCTCTGCAGGCCCTGAATACTCTGAACCTGCTTTGCCTTCTGCAGATCCAGCTGGTGCACAACACGAGTCCCATACAGGCACCCCTGTGCCTTTGCATTCCTTTCAGATGAATCGCGAATACTTTGTATGCCATTCATATGATACCCTGTCAGCACCAGAGCACACAGCACTGACTGCATCAATTACTTGACCTCATTAACACACTGCAGAAAATCAGGAGACAGCATTTTCATACCTGCTATCCTAATCTAGAAGAAAAACATACAGCTGCTACATCTGGAGGGCAAAAAAAAAAAAAAAAAAAAAAAAAGAGACAAGCCTATTGCATCTCCAAAAAAAGCAGTCAAATGTTTGCTGTATTATACTTAACATGGCAATGCAAGCAAGACTTGACCTAGATGATTTTTCTGCCTAAATGTCTTTGGATCAATATTTCCAGCAGGTAAACTCTGAGTAGCCCCAAAGCCCTGTGCTCCCCCTTCCCTTTTCCAATCCCCTGACCACAGCGGTGATCTACTCACAAACCAAAGATACACAGTGCAGTATCTGCCCAATTCTTCTGGCAACCCTGAATAGTGGCTGGGGAGACTGAGCCCCAATTAGCATTACAGAGTCCAGTCCCTTTCCATCATTTGATTGTCTGAGGTGATTACATGCTGGGATGACCAGTGAATTCAAAATAGAGAACAGAGAAAATATATGAGATAGGGAAGTAGAAAAGAAACAGAGAAAAGAGTATGAGGAAGCTAGAAAGACACCAGTCTTAAATGGGGAATTGAGGGAGGGCATAAAGATTTTCTGATAAAGCAGCAAGTGCAGTGATAAAGATTCTAATAATATTAGCCATGACTTTAAAACAAAACTCTCCCGTTGACCTCTGCACAAGTCTTATTTCATTGCATCAGGAATTTGTGAGTGCCAGTCTTAACTCTAGATCACATATCATAATTATACACAATTCAAGCCTTTCTGTTAATTTTGTTCCTCTGACTCCAATCTCCTTTAGCACCGGAAAAAAAAACCCTAATGTACAGTCCAAAGGATCTCACAATTGCAGAAATTAATCAACAGTGAGTCTTCAAAGTGAAATGAAAAACTAGAATGCACAGTAGTAACTCAAACTCTAGCTCCACTTGCCTTCACTTATTACCAGGAAATTCCTTTGCAACAGTGCCAGTAAAACAGGATCCATGGTTTTAGGCTGTAGTCACACTCATTGCTGAGCTGGTGTTAAGAGCTAGTTACACAAAAGAGAGAGGTCTGGCTCTTCTGTGCTGCTTTTCCTTCTGTGTCCTGTCCCATTTGGTAGCAGCAAGCTGTTAGATTAGTTCACCACACCTTGTGGAACCTCACCCATAGCTAGATTTGAGTCTCAAGGCATATCACTGTCCCAAAATAACAGTCTGAGTTTCAGTATACCTTCAGAATACATGCTGAAACAAAGCTTAGAGAAATGATGAATCAGATTTTTTAATTTACTTTGTAGTGTAGGCTCAGCCATAACCAGTGGCAGTCCACTCCACGTCCAAAGAGATTCATTTGGAAAGCCAAAAGCATTCATGGTCAAACAAAACTAAAAGGGAAGCTGATGAAAGGGATTCATATTTTTGATGATTAGGGATTTTGAAGATTCCCTTGCTGGAAGAACACCAGGAATTTTCCTAAGTCATCAACAAAGACTGCCTTCTACTGAGCCTGGAGGGCTCCTCTGGCAGAAGATATGCTTCTGTCCCTAGGATAATGCCCAAAAGAGAATTTTGGCAGATGGGAAAATCAGGCTGTGGAAACATTAATACTGTATAGGCTGTACTATTTGCAACACCCATTCTCCTCAGAGAATGCAGAACATAGCTCCAAAATAATGCAAAAGCAATTCAGCCAATCTTATCCATACCATTATGCAACTTTCCATGTCCCCAGCTAAGAAGGAACAGAAAACAGCTCTTGAAATTTAAGAAACACAAGTAACAAAAGGCAGAAATCAGAAAAAATGCAAGTGAAAGCTTGTGTCTGACAGCTGGACTGAGGGAAGCACTGGAGGGGCTGCAAATATTAACAACTTCTCCTTAAAATGTATATATCCCTCACACTATCTTGAAGTGAACAAACACTCCTACAGATTGCTAAACTGGGGGCTAGTGGAGTGCTGTTCTTGTACACTTCACTGCAAGTTTCTCCAACTGGTTGTTCTGCTTCAGTTATCAATCAATACAATTCAGCACTTTAATTACAAGCTGCAGGAAGATATTAGCATCTTTCCAGATTTGGGCTGGAAGAGCCTCCTTAGTTTGTTGTTTTTTTTTTACACCTGTCAAATTCCCAGCATACAGCTCACCTGCAACGTAGCTGTGTCTTCTTTTCAGTGATTTGTGGCTCTCCACCAAAGGTGGAAGGTAGGTTTCTTTCCAAGAATGCTTGTACGCGTTCCTCAGTCCACATTTCTCTTTGGACTCTGTAAAATGCCGGTTGCTGCCTGGTACGGACTGTATCATTGTCTAGTTCCATATTTTCTTTTTGATGAGGAATATCAAATACTGGAGACAACAGTAGACAAGGTGACTGAAATACCTATTAAAACCAAAACCAATAACAAGCATATGACATATGTCCACCCCAGCATAGCTCCTGTGAAGCCAACAGCTACAGCAAGGATAAGCAAGGCTCTGCAGACTAAAATCCTTGGAAGGATGCTGCTGTTAGGATCGAGCAAACTGCCAGAACATTGAGTCCTTCTGGAATTTGTCTTGATTCTGCTCTGTAGGAAAGACCAGCATGGATGCCCTCCATTATGGGATCCCCAAAGTGGGTCTGTGTTAAAGGAAGAAAATACATTGCGTCTCCATAAACCTATCACAACTGAGAAAGAGTTTGAACTCTCCTTGTTTCCAGTGCTGGAAAAAAAAGGCTTAGATTGCCATCCAAATCAGAGGCCATACCATGCCACAGTTTGCAGTAAAAAACTGGTATTTGATACCATTCAGATTTTTAAATGCCCCAAAACTTTCACTCACATTCCTCAGCATTTAAACATCAGGAAGATCTGAATTCAACCACTACTGCTCTGATTAGGTAAGATGTAAGCTCCTGAAGTGATTATTGAGTAAGAAGTCCAGTGAAAAAACAGATGTAAACTGAAGTTCTCATACTGACAGCTGAGGCAGAAAAAAAATTCAAATCCAGAGTTATCAACTGAAAGTACAAAGATTACATAGGAAAAAGGCTGTGCCATGTGGAAAGGCAGTTTTGACAGAAAAAAAAAGAAGGAAAATGAGAAGCATAAAAAGGCAGTAAGTGAGCAGAAAGTCTAGTCAAAATGTAATGTAAGTACCAAAACCTGGGGGAAAAAAAAAAAAAAAAGTTTTCTCCTCATTTTTTGTTTCCTGAATTGTCAAGATCTGATTGTACAGGTCTGGTGTTTTGCACCTCTGAGATATGCTGCTTCTGACAGAGCAACAGGGACCCCATCACCCTGGAGGCATTCCCACCAACACACACACCCCAGCCACTCCAAAGCACAGCCAGCAGCAGGCACGCCTCAGGCACGCTCCATTCCTATGGCACGTTTTCTCCCTCTTTTTAAAAAGGAGATACACAAAGGTCTTCCAGAAAAGTTTAAGAGACATTTTGTTCATTAGCTCTGCATGCTCAGTACAAGTCGCTGTTTGAGCACAATCCCTTTTTTTCAAGGTAAAGTAACACAACAAAGAAAGCTAAAAAGAAGCTCGAGTTTGCAAACTGAAATCCAGGCAGACAGGGATACAGCAGCACCAGCACAGCTCCCTGCACCTCCACAGTCCTGGAGACCCCCAGGGAATGGAGCACTCCAGTAAACGGTCTTAGGCTCACAGGAGCAGCACTGCGGGCACCTGACAACACCTTGGCCTCGCTGAAGGCCCTGGCAGGTCAGCGTGGCCTGCTGCCTTAGGTCAGCGTTCTCATAGATTTTCCTATTTTACCTAAAGCACGCCTTCGAGGAGACAAAAGCCGACCTCAGGAAAACGCCACACACGGGCTGTGCCGCCTTAATTTTAGCCGGCGTGGGCAGAAACACCCCACAGCTTCGCACTCTTCGTAACACCGAACGCAGACACCACGCAGCCCGCCTTTCCCCGCTCTCGCGAGAGCTTCCCCGCCCCCGCTCCGCATCGCCTCCATATTGGGGCATCTCTGCCTGCGGCACCTCAACTCTCGCGAGAGCGGCCGGACCGAACCAGAGGGCCTCGGCGGGGAGGCGGTGTAGCCGGCCCGGTCCAGCCCGAGCTGCGCCGCTGGGGGGCGGGTCGGGGCCTCGTCTTTCCCGTCCTACCTGCGGCGGAGTGGCTCCCTGCGGCCCTCCCTGTCGGCCGGCCCCTCTCTCACCTCCCGAGGCCGGCCCGCCCCTCGCAGCGCGGAGGAGGAGGGAGAGAGCTAGGCGTGTGTGCGGGGAGGGGGAGGCGGCGGAGTGAGGGCGGCTGAGAGCAGAGGAAAGGAAAGGAGAGGGGAAGGAGCAACCGCCCCGCGCGAGGCTCGGCCCCGGGCGGCGTGAGGCGGGGAGGGCGCGGGTGGGGCGGCGACCAACGGTCGGTGTTAGGAGACGGCGGTGTGAAGGGGCGGCGTGGGAGGAGCGAGGCGGGGAGAAGGAAGGAAGGCAGGCAGGCAGGCAGGCAGGCAGGCGGACGCTGCGCTGCTGCTGGAGGCGCTGCCGCAGCCGCGGGCACAGCCGCCCCCTCCCGCCGGGCCGGGCGGGGTGGGCTCCGCAGCCGAGATGTCTCAGGAGCGGCCCAAGTTTTACCGCCAGGAGCTCAACAAGACGGTGTGGGAGGTGCCCGAGCGCTACCAAAACCTCTCCCCGGTCGGGTCCGGGGCCTACGGCTCCGTCTGGTGAGTGGCGGCTCCGGGCCGGGTTCTGCCCTGGGCGCCGCTCCGCGCCGCTCCCCACAGCGCCGGGAGTTGCAGCGCACGACAGGTGGCACCGGGACATTTTTACAGGGGAAGATAATCGCGTCCCAGCCCCCAGCGTGATCTCATTTGGGCATATTTCGCAGTACCTTCTCGCAGTTGGGTGGTGGGGGTGGAGAGGATGCGGGCTGGCAAGGCCCCGAGCTCCGCACAGCTCTGCTGCTGTCCCGGTTTCCTTCTGGACCCGAGGACGGTCCTCGCAGAGAGGCAGAGAGCTGCCGCGTCCCCTGGCAGGCGCTGCAAAAACCATTTTAGCAGTGGCAGCGCGTCTCTGGTGCACTGCCTGCAGGAGCAAAGTCTGGGGTAGGCGTGCAGGAATAAGGAGAGCTCGGAGTTGGACTCGGTTTTTAACGCTTGCCTCATAGCAACGTTCTGCAAAATATATTGGATCGTGAAATGCAGATCAGATGGGCTACTGACATCGTTTAATCTTAAAGACGAGGTTGTGTCCGGATCGCGTTGACGTTCTGACTCAAGCGGTCGCATAGCAGAGGTGAACAAAGCAGCGCAGGCTGATGACCGTTCTGGTTTTTGCTGTCAGTGCGATCGAAGTTCTCACACGGGTGTGCAATGACTGTACGTCTGTGCTGCTGCTGTCTTGGAGCAGGCGTGCCTATTTCTTTCATTAACGTAACATACAAATTTGTATCATGACTGTCATCTGTATTTTAAGGAGTAATGCATGCTGACCTCTGTCAGTAGAAAAAGGAGTTGCTTTGCATGCGATGCAGTTTTAAAAAAGTTCTCTTCTGCTCTCGGGAAGCTCTGCTGAAATAATACACGTTTCTTAAAACTCTAGTGTCCCAACTATGTAAATGCTTGTATGTCGTAGAAGACAGAGCCTAACCGATTACAGTGCCAAGGGCGACCAATGTATGTTCTGATTTATTTATTTTTTAGTAATTGAAGGATTTCTTTCTGGTGAAAGAAGGGCTCAGTGCCCCAGCTGATAAATACTCCTTTAGCTGCTGTGGTTACGTAACTCCTTCGGTGCAATAGGAAGTAGATTTGCTCCATGTCTGCTGCATTCAGGCCGGCCCTTCATGGTGCATGCAGCCCTTTCCTCTTCTGTTCTTCCCCTCCCCGTGGTCTGTTGTGTACGTAATGCTTCCAATGTTTGTTTTCACAACCAATTACTGAAGAGTTGGCATCACGAATTTCCTGTCGTGCTGCCTCCGAACTTTCAAAGATTGTGCAACTGTGTTTGGCCTGGATTGAAGCAGTTTCAGATGTGTTGCACATGGATCTTAGCACAGTCTTTTTCACGATTTTCTTTGTGTTCTACCAAAAATGTGTTTCAGCTAGACAAGTTGTAGAGAAAAGAATTACCTGTGCGTATATAATTAACTTTGTAATGTAAAGCTCCAAACGGTGATGCAGTGTTGATGACGTTCCTAGAATGGCTGGTTCCAATCTGTTCCTCTAGAGTTTCTTCCCTGTTCCTTATCCTGTTCTGGGAAAATGTACCTTTCAGGCTTGAATTTGGAGAGCCCTCTGTTTTGGGATAGCAAACCGTGGGGCTTAAACCAGCCTTCAATGGAATGCTTAAATGCACTCCGGTGTCTGTCTGCAGCACTGTTAGGTTAGAATATAATGAGGTACTTTATTTAGTTGTCAGGATGAGAGATTTAAAAAGGAGGAGTTTCTAGAAAGTGGAGGAAAAAATAGTAAAAGAATTAAGCCTGCAAATGAATCAATTAGACTGTGCAGTGTCTGCTGCAGGCTCCTTTAAACGTCTAACTAACTTGGAACACCATGATAGAAAATCCTGACTTTATTTTTTGCAGTCAGTGGATGGAGAATGGTTTTCTGTGCCGGCAGCCAAAGCATGTGTCCTTAGTGAGGAAGTCCTTAGAGTGAAAGTTCTCGTGTCTTCTGGAGTGCTGGAAGAAGGATATTTAAACAGCCAGCTCGGGTATTTTTCAGGGCCTGTATTTAAAAACTGAAAATATGTGGGGTTGAGGTAGGGCTTCGGTGCCAAAACTTTGAGAAACGTCAGTATGTACCGATAGATCGTTCATCACTAAGCCATGTTAACAATTGTGGTGACATCTGTTGTCTGAAGTGATATTTCAATTCGTTCTTGCCGGAGTTTTGTATATTCATGCAAGTCTTCTGCATTACAAGGATTCTGTCAAAATCAGTAACAATGTCTGCACTAAAACATGTGTGGGTTACTGAAATATCAGTCTTGCATACTTCATATAAGGGAGAGGTCGATGCAGCATCTTGCATGGGAGCTGCTGGGCCGCCTGGGATGGGTGTGCGGTGAGCTGTGGTTCAGCAGGAGAATGGCTGCTGTTGGTGTCTGCAGGCAGTGTTAGTTCAGCCCCTTGTAAGCAAAGAGGTGCTCTGAAGCTTGTTGCCATCAGCTTATAAAATGTGAAGGCAAATTTGGTGTGCTCCTTGCAGCTTATTTTATTGATTTTTGTTTTTTTCTCCTACAGCTATTGCTGTACAACAGTGTTTTTGCTTTAATTGCTTTGCAGTCTCTGTTCTTTCCTTTGGAAAGTAAACTGCTAAGTCTTACTCTTGCTCAGAATCTTGCGTAAGGGTCCTTCAGCTTCTCCTGTTTGCAGGCTGTCAGGCTACAGAGCTGTTACACAACTGAGAGGTCTGCTCCTCTCCTCCATAGTTGTACCAACACTGACTGAATGTCCTGGGAGTGACGAAGGTACTGAGATGATCCCCATATTTATAAACTAGCAGAAAAATGCAGTGGGTTTAAGACATTGAACCATCACTGAGGAAATGAAATAACCCTAAATATCACTTATTTAGCAGCAGTTCCTCTGTGTACGTTTTTTTGTGCAGTGTGTCTTTAGGCTTAGTAATCCCTTATCAAGATGTGCAATGCCTCTGTACACAGGATGGGACCAGCTTCTCCAACCAGGTGTGCGGGGAACAAACGAGTTGCAGCACTGTGAGTGGGACGGAGCAGCCACACAGGTGTCAGAACATGGGAGAGGAAGGAAGGTTGGCCAGCAGTGGGCGTGCACAGAAAAGCAGGAAGCAGGGCTCAGGAAGGGAAGGATGCTGGAAAGTTGGTGTGTTAAGAAATGAAATAAGGGTGAGCATGTGTTTCCTGCAGGGAGATTTATGGAAGGAGCATCTGAAACACCTGAGATACTTGGCAGCTGGTTGAAATTCATGACTAATCACAACAGCCTGTACTGAATGAAAATGGCTGAGCTTACTTTTGTGCTAAGTCCCAGAAAACACCTCAAGTATTGTCGTCCAGTTAGTCTGAATTAGGTGTGACTGCGTATTGCAAAGCGGAACATGGAACTTTATTTTTAAAAAGTATTCTGTATTCCTGAGCTGCTGGATCTGAAATATCCATTTTGTAGAGATATGTGAAAACTTAATGTAGATCATTGGAAAGCAAGATTAGAAGATGAACACTGAATCGCATTTTCCATACGTGCAGGCTGGGTGAGGTGATTACTAATGGGCATTCTTGTGGGCGGTATGGAGTAGCTCCAGTAATTCAGCCAGGGCAATTTGGTGCTCCTGTGATCTTCCTTCTAGCTATATTTTCATATCCTTCCAGAAAGTTCCTTGTGCTGTGTGTACGGATATCCCTTATACAGAAGGAGATGCCCTTTTCTGTCACGTGTGGAGGTTTTCCCATTCCTTTGCAGGACCTCAGGGAAGAACTGCTGTTGGTAGAAGCAAGTCCGTTATTTTATTTTCTAGCTTTAGTTCTTGCAATCATAATACAAGAAGTTCCTTGAAACTGCAACTTTGAGATAAGTCATCTTTCTGCAAGTGAATTCATATTAATTTCAGTTAGCTTTTTTTTTTTTTTTGGTCTGTGCAATTGTGAGTTTGTTCTAGAGTTACTTTTGTATTTGGCTTTGGTCCTGTTAGCTCAATCGCTTCTTGCTTTGTGATTGTAAATGTAACCTTTCCTTGCCCCTCCGTGCTGATTGAAGGCCGGCACATCCTCGCTCATTAGTGCCCTGTGTTGGACTGCAGAAGGAGACTTAACAAATGTCCTTCTCCGAGTTTTTCACTTCCACCCTTTCCCCATGTTTGTAATCTTGTATCAGTATAACCTCAATTTCACATCCTGTTTCTGTTCCTCCTTCCTTTTTGACAAGCCAAAACTAGTTTTAGATAATGGCATTGAAGACAAGAAGAAGAGTGATTTGATTGCTATCTGAGTGCCTGCTTTTCCTTAGGTCTCTAAATATGCAGCTCTGAGCTCTGGAAGGTTCTGTGCAGCGTATCAGGCTGGTCACACCTTTCTTCCGGTGCTGAAAGCTTTTGTTGTTTCACGAGTACTGGGCTTTTCCTTCTGAATTTTGTCAGTGAGGAGATTATGGAAGAGCTTCAAGGAATGACACTGCAGTACAAAGTGTCTGTTATGTGCGCACACAACAAGTTATCACACAACTGGCATTAGTTTTTATGCATTATAAGGAATATTGTTTTAATGTTTCTGCTAATTTTAGTAATGTACAGTGAAGTTTCACTTATGCACGTACTTTTTTTTTGTAGCAAGCGCTTAGGATTGGATGCAATATACCTGTGAGGTTTGTTTGAGATGAATGAGCATCACTGGTGATTTCTCCTAGCAGCGATTTTTGTACGGACTTAAAACCTTAAAAGATGGTATCTTCAGCACAGCAAATTATTTTGTTATGAAATGTTCTTTATGAGAATAGGCATAAGGATATGGATAGTGTTTATAAGTATTCTTCCTCTCTCTAGAGTTTTGTTGCCCTGTTGACATTTGAAATCATAACTATGCTGTAGGCAGAAGAGTCATAAACATTTCTTTCTTTTTTTTCCTGCAAAATTGCTTTTTAAAGGTACTATCTTCCCTGTAGTAAGTGAACTAAATTCATCTTAGAAATGCTTTCAGTACGACCCAACATGTGTATCAATGTGTGTGAATTTGCAGTCAGGTTGCAGACCAGGATGCCTGGACACTATTGGTGGTGGAGAGAGGGAGAAATTGAATTGGCCACGCGACTCAATCCCTGCACAGTTGCTATCTGGAGTTGCTAAATGGATTTGAGGGTATTTATAAGTGATTTGTTTTGACAGTTTGATTACTCTTTGTTGTAGTTCTGCCTTTGACACAAAAACTGGGTTGCGAGTGGCTGTAAAGAAGCTGTCCCGGCCATTTCAGTCTATCATCCATGCCAAAAGGACCTACCGAGAGCTGCGGCTACTGAAGCATATGAAACACGAAAATGTAAGTTGGAGGAGATGATATGAGAAGTTGGGCTATCCAGCACGACTGCATTCAAGGCTGATTGCACAGGTTTTTCAGATAGTAAATACTCAGCTTGCAGTAGTCCAGTGAATCATGGTTGAAGGGTTTTTTTTCTTGCATGTCATCATGTCAGAAAGAGTTGGAGCACTTGTTCACCAGATTCCTGTAGATAAACAGGGACAAAAAAGGGGAGGGGAAGATATCAGACGTCTGTTCTTGCAAGCTATCATTTCACCAACAAAGCAGACCATGAATGGTTATGCTAAGCTATGCTATATGCTGTCTAATCATTTTTTCTGTTTAACTTCCATTTGCTATAGAAACTAGTTGAGCAATTCTCTGTGTTTGTGGCATTAAGACACTGGCATACTAATACTGTGTGCTGTTAGAGCAAATATTGCCTGCAATTGAGCAAAAATTCTCTAGCCTTCTGTAGAGCTGTTAACGTCAAGAGGGAAGGAAGGCTCTTAATTTTTGTACAAGTGAACTCCAATGTAGCAGAAGGAAAACACTGTTTTGGAAGTGGACTGAGCAAGCTTAGTGTTTCTAACACAGCAAGCAAGTCCAGTTTTGATGGAGGATTCTCCCTGGATGGTTGGATGAGAACTTCTTTTGTGGCTGTGGTGGTTGTGTGCTGTGGCTTCTTACTGCCGCAGCGAGCAGATGGTGTCCCTTGAATCTTGTTTGCGTTGTCGGTGTGGCTGATGGGGCCTTTTGGTGCGCACACACTGCACTCAGCAGTGCTTCCTCAGTGCCTCTATGCGATGTTGTTATCTTGGTAACAGAGGTAGCAATCGATCCTGCTTAATATCCATCCCCCAAAGTTTTTTTTTTCTGTACCTTTTCTCATACCTGGAATATATTCAAAGCTTTCCTCTAGAATTGTTTGGAGAATGTGTTTGGATGCATTTCTACATCAGCGCATCAATCCGTTTTGTCCAAGCTAATTAGGTTAGATTTCTATGATTCTATAATTACACAGTGGGGACTAGCCTGGTGCTACAGCAGTTCTGTGTCTGGTGTTCAATAATATTTTTGATTAGTGTTGCAAATTGCATATTAGCTTTGAGAGTAAGAGATAAGATGATGATGTTTGAATTATTCGTATATAGAAGTGTTTATGATTGGTTCATCATGCCGTGGGAAGTTTCTCTGGTGTATGGGAACTGCTGAGTCACGGCCTGAACCTCTGATTGATCACCTGAGGTGAGCCATGAGTCAGCCAGAGGAGCACAGCTGAAGGCAATTCAGCTGTGCTGCCGGAAGGGGTGGAGCCTGGCTGCACCCCTCCTAGACCTATTGAAGAGCTGGCTGCCAGTGGGGAAGGGTCTCGTCTGGAGATCCCTCCTTCTGGTGTTTTGTGGTGAGCCCAGCATAAAGGTAAGCCTTCCATTTATTCTCTCTTGTTATCATAGTCCACTTTGCCTACCTCTCTTGTTTATTTTGTGGTTGTAACATCTTGATATCCATTGGTTATACACTCTGGGTTGTGGTATGAAAATCCTGCAGATGCAGACATGCTCAGAGCCAGGTCAGGCAGGCTGGTTAGTTCAAGTGAGCTGACTATTCAGATCTCAGTTTGGAAGTAGAATACACTGCTTTGCGTGACTCAGAACACTTCAGTAAATCTGGTAGGTATGGCATTTTAAGGATCTTGAGCAAGGCTGGTTTTCTCTCCTGTATGTAGGCTGATTGTGTTGATCTTGAGCAAATAAATCGTCCTGTGGAGCAGTCAGGCATGGCTGTGTTATACTTTCAAGCTCCAGAAGGCCTCATTAGCTTGCATAAAGCAGATTACTGAACAGATGTGAGAGTGAACTTTGGTTTGGTGTCATATGAAGAAATTAACAATCTAAAATTCAAGGCAGAAATTCAGTCCGTGGGTGACCAGCTTCATTAGAACTGTGTCAGTGATGTGCTACAGAGTAAATGTATTTGTTTGTGAAACTTGTCAGTGAGAAAGATATGGATAGCTCAGTAGTGTGCTTTACACTGTAGCGAGATGAAAATGGTAAGAGAGGAAATGGAAATCTTGGTAACAAAGTCAGTTTTTGGCTTTTTCCTGCTAAACTGGGAGGACAGTGTTGTATATTTTCTGCAAACGTTGGTATGGAGGAGTCCACGGGACAAAGAAAGCGTAAGAGTTGTTTTGCAGCATGCATGTTAATGGTAAGAGGTTGATTCTGTCATCCTTGACAATTGCAAATGATGGGATAAAATTGTGCTGAAAGGGAACCTTGGCATCCAGCTCTTGGTTTAACATGCACACTCGAACCATTGCTGAGGTTACTGAAATGCGTGCAGTGTGTACGAATCCAAGGCAGGTGAGATGCAAGCTTAAAATAGGAGGAAGAAGCCTGTACCTTTATTTCATATTCCTAAGTTATGCTATGCTGTTAAGAGAATGATAATAACTTTAAAAGCAAATCTCAGTGAAAGTTTCAACAATTATGGACCAGATGGATTTTCAAAATGAAATGTAAATGACCTAGAAGGTAGTTACAGGGTAACAAGGTATAATCATGCATTTCCATGAGGTAACACATTCGTTGCCTTTTGGTCTCCGTTGCTCAAACAGTGTAGCTTGAAAATGAGGGGTGGAGTGGAGACTCTCAGGGCAGCAGATATAAATGGCAGTGTGAAGCTGTCAGCTCTTGGTGAAATTTGGGTCTGTACTGCACTGAGATGTTTTTCTGACTTATTTCACTTCTACTTATTTTCCAGTGTAGACATTTATTATTTGTTGCTTGCATTAGAGATCCTTGCTGTTTTTCTTCCTCTGCTCAGTGCAAGTGAAAAAAAGGCACCTGCTTCTGATTTGACGTGTAGTCAACAGCATAACTAAGAACCAAGCAGGAAGCAAACTGATCTCTGCCTGGTGTTTGCTCATCCGTTTATTTCCCCACCAAACTTTAGCTGGGTTTAAAGAAGGTATTTTTAACCAGTACTGACACTTGCCTTTTATTGACTTGGCTTGCTGTGGCTCCTGCTTGATGTTTTAAGTGGATGATTGGTTTGAAAGACAGCTGTTATATTTTGGCTGTAATTTTTTTTTTACTTAACATTAGAATGCTTGTTTCTGACCTTGTATGAATACTGATTTGCTTGCATCCAAATGGTTCATGTAGTTGGAAATGAAAGTCTATCTGTTCCACAGAGGACCTTATTAACTCTATCATTTACGTGATCAATGTATTTCATGGCTTTTTCACTTTGCCTTTCCAGGTGATTGGCTTGCTGGATGTGTTCACCCCTGCCAAATCGCTAGAAGAATTCAATGATGTGTAGGTAACTTCTCTGAAAGTTGCAACAAAACATCTTTTGTATCTTCCCACCCTCTCCCAGGTTATTGTAGGAATTTTGCTGCCTTAATTTGTCTGCCATTATTTTGAATCAGCTGTGAAATGCAACCGTATTCTAATGGACTCTTTCAGCTTGTTCTCGTGTATTTTGTTGGCCAGTGCTGCAGGAATCAGCACACTGATCTGCTGCATTATTTAATGAGCTATGAACTATATTTTATTCGGTAAAATGCCGAGGAGGCTGCCGTGCTGCTGGAGCTTTGTAAGGAGTTCTTATCCTAATCACGCTGAAGGGATTGCTTCATCGCCTGTGTTTCCTTTTGTTGGTAGGTACTTGGTGACACACCTCATGGGAGCAGATCTAAACAACATTGTGAAATGCCAGAAACTCACAGATGACCACGTGCAGTTCCTCATATACCAGATTCTTCGGGGGCTGAAGGTACCTCCTTCCGTCCTGCCTGAATGGTGATAGCTGCTCAGCGGGAAGCAGAGATTGTTGATGAATGTCATATCCTTAGAATTTCATATGAACACATAGAGGGGCCTCTGCTCCTAAGTATTGTAGGATAGCCTGTTGTTGTTTTCTCCTTTCATACCTCTTTGGGGCTTTGTATCAGTAAAGCTATGTATGATTTCAGAAGATGCCTACATGTGTTCCTGTGGACAAAGTCTGGAAAATATGATGTGTGCTGTCCTTTAATCATCCACGTCTGTGTCTTCAGTTTGGTTTTCTTACTTTGTTCCACTCCTGGCAGTAGTGCTCCTGGATATTCCTAAGGAGAGACTGAAAGTGAAACACTGATGTACTTGCAAACTCTGTAGATGCTGTACTTGGTTCCTCCTGCAAACAAGCTGTAGCTTATTTTGTGTGTTGGGTGGGGTGGGACAGTGTTGTTTAGTGAGGAAATAAGAAGAAGGCTGTTTGAGCTGTCATGTAATCCTTGTTGTTTTGCCCTACAGTACATCCATTCAGCTGACATAATACACAGAGTAAGTATTTACTCTAAGATTACTTCCTATACTGAACAAATGTCTTTTAAAATTGTAATGAGAATCTTACAATGTAGCCTCTATTGAATCAAGAAGAGATTTTCTGAGAATTATTTCAGTGGAACAGTGGAGGTTAGTAATGGTTCTCCTCATCCTTAATTTCTGTTCCTACCTCTGTTTGGTTTGTTTCTGAAATAGGTTCTCTGTTTGTTAAATATTATACTGCTACACTGAGTGCTGTAGATACCTAAACATGCATTTTTGCTTGTCTCTGACACCTCTGCAGACAGCAAAAGATAGAGCTGGTTCTGGGATAAAATTATTTTTCTGAATGTGGGGAGTTGATGTTGAAAGCCATGTAGAGAGTTGATTTTTCAACCTGAATTTACATTTTTATTTACTTTAGATGTTTGCAACAACTTACATACTGCCATTAATGCTGATACTGTTGTTTTTTTTTTGTTTTTGTTTTTAGGATTTAAAACCTAGTAACTTAGCTGTAAATGAAGACTGCGAGCTAAAGGTAATACAGTCATGACATATGACTAGTTTGATCATGATCTGAGTGAATGAAAGGGTCAAAGTGATTTTTCATGGAAATACTTCTGTGGACCAAGCTAGTTGTGTCCTTCTCAGACATAAAAGGTTGTGAAGATGCTTATAGAGAATTCGTTTTTCTCCTCTGTGTGTTCACATGGTTGTATGTTTTTTTGTTATTTTTTTTTTTTTTAAATCATCCTGGAAAAAAGAGTAGTTTATAGATGTGCTTTGGACTTGGCTATTTTCAGAGACAAGGTATCTGTGTGTGATTCTGGTGGAGAGCTGTGCTGTTCTGGCCTTGTAACAAGTCATGAAGTTTAGTTTTGTTGCAGTTGCACCATCTGTCCTCCACTCAGTCCAAGACTTGGAAGCTAGTACGAGTAAACAGCCAGATGTGGTACCACTGCAGTAATAGGTGGATGTCTCTTTTTGTTGTTTTTTTAACTCTGTAGATCCTGGATTTTGGCTTGGCTCGACACACAGATGATGAGATGACGGGGTACGTGGCTACCCGGTGGTACAGGGCTCCTGAGATCATGCTGAACTGGATGCATTACAACCAGACAGGTAATGCATTTTACTAATAAAAGGCTTCTGGGTTCCTGAGATCCTTGTGGGGAGGTGCAGGGAAGGTTCATGTTCTATTCCACTTGATTGTAAATTGACAGTTGCACTAATTACACTTCAGTGAGGGTGATCAAAAGAAGTAAGATATAGAATTAGTGTTAAAACCGCAATCGCGTATCTGAGGTATGAATCATTATGGCAGCATTTGCAACGCTTCCTTAAACTTGAACCTTTGGAACTGCAGTCAGCAAAATCTTGTCACTACTTATCCCTTTTCCTAGCACAGCAACTTCTAAAGTAAGCGAATAGAATGTATTTAGGTGAGAAGAAGGTGCCTTTCTAGGAAGCTGCTGGAAATGCATCTAAAAAATGCCTGTGGTTATGGGATGAAGAAATGCTAAAAATGCATAGAAGTATTTCTTCCTTTCTTCTTATCCATTTCTTTCTAATTATGTCCTCTTCCAGTTTGAATGGCTTCCCAGCAATGCGCCTTTCTTCTCTAGAATGCTTTCAGATCAAGCACAGAAAGGAGGGGAAAAAAAAAAAGGCAAATTTTTTCTAGTGCGTGAATGCATACGAGTCCATACAAATAACGTGCTGTTCTGATTTCACACCTTACTGATGTTGTCTTTTCTCTTTTCCTTCTATGTGTGTGTGGACCTGTCTTGTCTGTAGTGTAGTAGTTGGTGGTTGTTCAGGCAGAATTTATGTAAGACCAGATTTGTTCCTCAGAGCTGCCATTAACAAATTTCTTCCTCGATTCAGTAGGTGCCTCTGTAGCTCTTTGGTGTCCAATGCACATTACTTTCTGGGAGGAAAAGTTGCCTGATCTTGTCAGTATTGCGTTATTGGGGAAATGTTACACAGAGTGGTTATTGAGCAGTGTCAGTTTCCTTGCAGTCTCAGATTGTTTCAACACTGTGAGATTATTGAAGCGTAAAGTTGGTTGCAATTGTTGGGTAGGGTGATTCTATTGAGGCTTTATTTTTCTGCCTTATGATTTTTTTTTTATTTTGTTCAGTTGATATTTGGTCAGTGGGATGCATTATGGCTGAACTGTTGACTGGAAGAACGTTGTTCCCTGGTACAGACCGTATCCTTTACAAGTGACATATTTTCCTGAAATGGAAGTCAGAGGTTTTCTCTTCGTCATACTTCACAAGGAAACAAGTTTTGTGGTGTTTGGTTGTTTTTTGTTGTGGTTGTGCTTTTTAAAATTTATTTATTTTTAACTACCTGATGGCTTCTTTTACTCACAGTGTGATGGAGTTCTCAATTTTGCTTCACGTGGAATCACCGCAATGTGCGAGAGGCAAACCTGTTACGGTTTATTGTCTGTTAGCATCACTAGAGTAGATCATTTCTGGGAATGAATTTCTTTTAAATGTTTTAAAATTCATTCAAATCCATCTCTTTTGAGTTTGTAGGAAAATAATTGCTCGGAGTGGTGTGTTTGCTGTGAATCCTCTCATGCTTCATGTTTGTAGGAAATGTGAAGCGCCCCTTCTGGCCTCTCTTCTGTATCTTGCTGCTATGCTATGAAAGCAGCAAATTTGCAGACTTTAGTGCCAGGGACCTTATCCCAAGTCACTCTGAAACATTTAGGTTCTACTGCTGTGCATGTAAACAGACTGTAGCTTTCTTTGATTACATGCTTGTACGGCTTGAGAACACAAGCATGGAAAAAATCTTCTCAAAATCATTTTTTTTTATGGCATTGAAGGGAGCTTGGTGGGACACTGGCGCGTTTCTGGGGCCAGTCACTTCATTCCACAGGAGATCAGAACTGAGACTTGTTCTACTAAGAACAAACTTACAGAGTTAACTAACTTCTGTCGGGATTTTTCACTGCCTAAAAGGTGGAGTTCCTTTGTGAAAGGCAGTGCTATTTCCCACCCCTTATTGAACTTAATTCTTTTAACTACAGATAGTTTATAAATAGCAGAAATTATTAAAATTATTATTTCTGAATTGAAATAGATCGGATTAAAAGAAAACTGGTGTTGGAAGTGCTGGCCTTCTGTGTACTGTGTCACTTCTAGAAAGCATTCAGGTTCCAAGACTGTGGAAAAGGGAGCAGCTCTCATTCCAGCTTTAAAAGTCTTTAACGTTTTAACATTTCCCTTTTCAGTGTGCTCTGGCTTCATCGTTCTTCTCTTTTTATGCCCATCTTCTTATCTCTTCCTAAATTTGTTGAACTCTCTGTACTCCCCTGTTTAGTTATCTTGGCTGTGTTGTTGAGAATAGAAGCAGAGCTAGCATGGAAGTGGCGAAATAGCACAGAGTGAGTTGCCTTATTTCTACCAGCTGACTTAGCATTTGTAATTTGGTATAAGCAGGTTTTCTTCAAGAAGAAAAATAATCAAAAATTGCTGTACCAGCCAAGGCCTTTCAGCTGCTGATACCATTGCACCCCATAACAGTGCACTTTAAATTTAAAAAATATTGCTACTTGCAAGTAAGCCATTTCCTGGTAGGATTTGTAACATGTAAGAAATGCTTCACAGCGTGTTCTTGATGAATCGAGGAAAATTCTCAGGCTTGGCACGTAGCTGTTCTGTTCTCCAGCTGGAATAGGCAATAATACTCACAGTGCAAAATAAAGGAAAATAAGTTCTAAATGACTTGCTTTGTCAGATTAGAATAGTTGGCTGATTCCTGGCTCCCTGAGGATGTGTGCTTACAATTCTTTACATTGAACACTGAACTTCTTTCCTAAATTGTGGTAACATTTTTTATTTAAATGCTTTTCCTGTTCTGAATTGGTTTGGTATAAGAAAAAACAGCTCAATCCTTTTCCACTGTTAGTAAAATTTTGTAGTACTGTAGTTCTTAGAGTTTGCATAACGGTTCCCCACTTCAAGTAGCGTGCATGCTGTTTGCTCCTGAGGTTAGAATGTCAGTGGAGTTGTTTGTGCGTGCAACACTTAGAAGGTCTGGGAAGGCAACGAGCTTTCAGCTTTCTCTGCAGCTCTAATGTCTGAAACCAATCAGAAGTGACTGAAAACTGACATTCTGGTTGCTTTTTGGTCCCATGGTGGTGATTTTCTAATCTATATAGCCTCACATTTCCAAAATGAAAGAGAAAACAGGCTGAATGGATGGTGTCTTCAGCATGTCAGGACAGCCCTCTTCCTGTTTGAGCAGCTCTGTGTTTGAGATGCGGTCCCATCTCACCAAGGATGGGGCAGAGGTGATGTGACGTTACTTACAGTCCCTTGGGTGTTTTTGCAAGGCCTGGAGAAGCACCCAGTGCTTGTAACGGGTTTGCTTTCTCTGGTAAGTAAAAAGATGTATTCAGAAATGATCTTCAACTTGTGTGTGATGGTTATACCTCTGACGAGCTAATGCCAAGTTCAGTTTGAAAGATTTGTCTGTAGAGTTTCTGAATGTGGCTGTCCTCAACTTAAAGCAATGTTTTAGATGCGCTTACAAAGTAACTCTGCTGTCAATAGAGGCTGAACTTTGCAAAATTGTTACGGTATTTCTAACTTAACCTTGAATGTAAACTGTGTCCTTCCTTCTGTGGTCTGTGAATGGAAACATTTGTGTGAAAGATAAATTTCTCATATTGGTAACATCTCAGCAAGGAGGTGCGGGTGGGGAGCAGGGCTGAGGGAAGATGAGTGGCAAAAAACAGGTAACAAGAGTCAGTCCCTGGGGATTTTAATGCCTAGCACAGCTGGAGGCTTCCTTTCTGTTACAAATGTATCTGTCATTAAAAATATATGTTCCTGATTACTTCTTTTTACAGCTCTTGTGATACAAATAGTTCATACAGGTAAATATGCAAGTGGACCTCGACAATTCAACTTGTGTTAAAATGATAATGCACAAATAAAAAAACATTCTGTACCAGCTTAGCCAACTTCATGTTTCTGTTTTAAGTTGACTGTATTCCTTTTAAGCTAACTCTGAAGAATATAAATATATATGCAGATTTGTTCAGTAGTGTAGGAGCTCCATCATAACCAACTAGTCTGAAATTGCACTGTGGTGCACCTTGGCTTTGCCTGTGCTGGCAGTTACACCAACTTTTGGACGTGGCTTTGCCTGGAAAAGCTCTTGTCTTGATCTGCCTGCTGGTGATGGTGGATGGAAGATGGCTTTCTAAGTTTCAGAGTCACTGAGACTTACCAGATTGTGGGTGTACTGTGGTGATGGCATTCCGGGTTTGCATGCTCTACTTTTCTTCTCCATGCACATGCTTTTTTAATTTGCTTTGTATTTCCTAAGTTTGTTTTCTTGTCTGTAGTTGCTTATGGTCACCAGAATGCTGTAGGCCCTGTAGTTTGGCAGGTTGTAGTGGCAGATGTTCAACTAGATGCAGTGCTTTGGTTTTGGCATGCCTGTGGCTGTGTGAATTACACATTCTGTGTTTTCTTGCTTATCTGAGAAGATGCTGAAGTGTAATACGCAACATCTTCCTATAGCATGCTGTCCTTTGGGAAGGGCCGACAGCAAACTGAGCAACAGTGCTACTGGCATGCCTGATATATTAAACACATTTTAAAGAGCTCAGATATAGAAGCCAAGGTATGGGATGTAACATCGGAGGTGTGTTGGTAGTCCTGTGCTTGCACAACTGTTTCTTGCACAAGAGTCAGTAAAAACTATTAAGACTGTTCTAAGTGGCACTAAGGAAAAGCCAATTTGAGCGAGCTAATTATAGTCTGCTCATTCTCCTGCATCAGTAGTTATATTGATCTCATTTTAAATGTTGATACTTAGTTGACAATTCAACAGATGAGTTAAATCCAGATAGATACATTGGATTTACTGTTATGGTTTTAGTGTTTGAGTAGGGGAAAGTTGGCCAAGCTGCTGGGTAACTGGGAAATTAGTTCAGGTGTTCTGACCAAACACTTCGGGCTTTAATGTTCTGTAAAACTTTAGCTGGAGACTGCTGAAACCTTTATCTCCTAATGTTGAAGTGTTGGTAATTTCCTTCATGTACAGTTTGCCATTATCACAGGAACTTTGATCTGTTTTAAAAAAATCAAGCAAACAAAAACCTTCCCCAGCTCCCATTTCTAAAAAACAGTCCCTTGGTTTGGTAGGGTGCTTTTATGTAAGTAGAACTCCTTCACCATCAGACAATTTTAGAAGCAAATGTAGAGCTTTTCCAGTATGTGAGTTAAAAGCTTTTTGAAGGAGTAGTAACTGTATCTGAAAACATCAGGAAGGCATTGATCCTGGGAACAGATACTGTCTAGAGCGGGTAGATTGTGCCCACTGAAGATGTATAAAGAGCAATGTAATTCTGAGGACAAACATAAATGTTACAGACAGTCTGGAATCACAGGTAGCATTTGAAGGGCTGCATGCAGGTTAATTCAGAGAAAGGGGATGATCCTTTAAGTAGTTTTTGAAAGATATCTTTTCCCTGTATTATCTTGAAATTTGACATAATTTTGTATGTCTTGTGTTTTCTCATCAAGTGTATGTTTTGTCACATATCCTGAGTACTGAATGTTCTCGCCTTTCTAAGAGGGCAGCTCGGAATGATACGTGGCTCCTGGAGGCTCTGCTCTGGGTAAACCATTCTTGGCACCTTCAGAGTTATGAGCCAAGAGCCCTTTCCACAGAGGCTTTACACCCGAGCCCCCTCTGCCCATTGGCGCTGCAGAGCCCTCACCAAGCCGAGGGGCCTGAGGTGCTGCACCAGAGCTTCAGTGCTGGGCAGAGCCCGGTCACTTACACACTTAGGAAGCAAGAAAGTGGCTGAATTATCTTGGAAGGTGTTCACAAAAGGCCTTTGCTTTCTTAATGTTAGTGCCTACCCTTTTCAGCCTTCTGCTTCACTTTGTCCGTCACTAACGGCCTAATCGTGCTGACTGCTGCTACTGGGGGGGCTGCAAGGGCAAGTGTGTGACCTGATTTCTGCCGGGGGCAGAACGCTTTGACGTCTGCCTCGCCGTGGGTAGGGATGCTGTGACCAGCACAGTGCATGCAGTGCATCTGTAGTCAAATTGTTCAACCCTTTTGATGCGGACAGAGATGTTACAAGCGGGCACTTGTTTTTATTTTTATTTTTCCAGGAGGAATGAATACAGTTTACTTAAAATAGCTTTTCAGTTGAGGCCTTGGCAGACACCAACTTTCAGTATTATGAAGCTGATGTTTTGCGCTTTTCATTTTGATTTGTCCCAGCATTTTCCTTTATGGTCCATCATTAGATATTGATCAGTTGAAGCTCATTTTGAGACTCGTTGGAACCCCAGGGCCTGAGCTTTTGAAGAAAATCTCCTCAGAGTCTGTGAGTTGACGCTTTGATTGTAATATCTGCCCTATCGGAAGTCCCAAGTTTGTGTTTTGCCCTCCCGTAGTCCGTCTGTAGTATGTGTTGGGATCTCTCTTCTGTTGTTTTTCTTTACTTCTGGATGGCTTTGAGTTCATACGCTGTTTGCATCTGCTTTTTACTCCTCTTTACTCTGCCTGTGGTATAATTTCTTCATTCCTTATTCTTTTTTTACTGCCTCATAACTTTTTTTTTCAGTTTGTGGGTTTATGCTTCGTGATCCATGGTACGATCAGATGTTGCTGGGGAGGTATTTCTCATGGCAAAGAACTTGAGGCTTCTCTCAGTTGTTTCTCCAGATTGTGTACCATGGATCTTTCTGGTGAGGGAGATGGAATGAGAGCAGTGTGCTATCCTAAACATGCACAGTGCCTTCTGTAGCATGATTAATTTCTGAAACATTGCTGCAACTGCCTTGGGTTTTGTAGTGCAAGACCTGCAGTGCCTTTTAGGTACTTCTGGGTGTGTGGGGTCCCTTTGTCAGGAGAATCACGAACTTCCTTGCCGAAGGGTGACCTCTGTGTTCAGCTGTACTGCCATTTTTATATGATTCCAGTCCTGGGTTGAGAACTTCTGCAAAGACAGAATTAAATGACATTTAGCGTTAAGCATTTCTGAATGTGATGTGCCTAAAAGTTAGAGCAAAGGATGGTGTAACGCTGCAGACTAACAGGGCAGCCCATAGTGGGCACTGGACTTGTTTCCAGGCAGCTGGCAGTGTACTTCAGCAAGTTGCTCACGGCTGTGTCTGCTGAGTAACGGGGGATCAGCGTGGTGGAAAGCAGCAAGATCATTCTGTGCTGCATCTCATGTTCCTTCTCACATAACACTGACGGTAAATCTGAGTGTGAGTTAGCTTGGACGTACACTTCTGTGCAAGTTTGAATGCGTCGGTAAATGTACTGAATGTCACATTAATTTAAGAAAGCACTGGGGTGTCTCTTGGAAGGATAGAAATGATTAACCCAGGTCTCTGGGTGCCTGCAAACCAGCCCTGGGGACTCTGACTGGTATCGAGGTATTTTAGGTACAGCAGATTACTGAGAGAGAGCAGCTTTAAAGGATGACAAGGTTAAGCAAAAGATTAGCTTGTATGTGTAAGACTGAAGTGTCTTCTTTTAATACCGTGCAATGAAAGTTGCTCTTAGGTTCAAGTCATGAGTTTACTTTAAAAAAAAAAAAAAAAAGAGTACTGTTTCTACTACTCTACTATTTTTTCCACTGTACAGAGATAACAAAATTATTAAGAATTTGAAGGCCTTTAATGTGTCACTGGAACAAATTCTGTATTTTTCTGCTGCTTTACTTTAGTATTCTCTTACTTTCTCCATTCTGATCACTGACATCAACTAACTCTTGTCTTATGCAATGCTAATGTTTTGCTAATCTTGCGCTTATTGCCTTCTGTCACATCTCCCACATATCAAAGTGCATTTGAAGCTGTTTAGGAGGTGTCAGTTGTAAGCTGCTTTCACTACACACCACAAGGAACTTAAATACTTTCTCTGCAGGAAGAAAAAAATGGCAACCAGAGTATAGGATAAGATTTTTATGTTTTTGTTCATTTTCCTGAGGCTTTTTGTAGCTGCAGCAGCCTAGGACAGTTTTCTGAGGAATATATTCAACCAAATGAAATGTCTGCTCTGGTGGCTTAGAACTGCTGGGAAATGTGAAAGCAACCTTGTAGTGCAGTGCTGCTAATGGCAGGCAGAAATGCTTCTGTACTGACGCTGTTACCAACTGATCAGTAACTCTACATTGCCTTAAGTGTTCAGTTGTGCATTTGCTAAGCTTTCACAAGTATTTGGGAAAAAAGTAATTAGTGGACCCTGCCTGTTTGGCTTGTGCCTCGTGGTTTGCAGAAGAGATTCTTTGTATGCAGCTGTTTTCTGTTCAGAACGGTTTTTGCACTGTTTCTAACAAAGCCCTTGACTAGGCACTTAAGATATTAACCAGCTTCAGCAGATCATGCGTCTGACGGGAACGCCCCCTGCGTATCTCATTAACAGGATGCCCAGCCACGAGGTGAGCCCTGAGCAGATGAGGGGGTGGTTGGCAGGGCAGGTCCCCACTTGCAGTGTTTGCTGCCTCTGAAAATGATAGGCTCGCATGCGACATGGGGTGAGCCATTAACTGCCTGTTCTTCAGCAACGTTCTTGTACTAAGTGAAGACTTGAGATTGGACAGTGCATACTCAACCACAGACTTCTGAGATTCAGGAGAACCTGGATGTGAGTTGGTTTTGCACTGTGTGAAACACATGGTCTACCAGCAGACACCAACTGCACACAGCCTCAGCAGTGCTCCAGGGCAGGCAGCTCTGCACCTCTTTGCTTTCCAGTCTTGCATGAACCTCAAGTAACGTCAGCTCTTGCTCCACTGTCCTGAGTGGCCTTTAGTTGGGAAGGGATAGCACGGATGGGCTTAGCAAGTATCAGAATAAGTACAGAGGAGGCAAAGCAAGGAGACGGACCATGATGAGCAGTGCTTCAAGATGACTGAAATGTACTGTCTTGGTGGCTGGGTGGTATTGTACTTAACAGACTGTCTATTTCCACAGGCGAGAAACTACATTCAATCTTTATCTTACATGCCGAAAATGAACTTTGAAAATGTGTTTATTGGTGCCAATCCATTAGGTAAGGCTTGACTCCTAAATGGGCTCTTCCCAAAGCTGACCTTGGCACATGTTGGCAGGCCAAGACTTTTCCTAAAGTTGCGGCAGTTGTTCAGAACAGAGATGCACACATTTTTCAAAGTTGACACAGTATGTACGGACTGTAAGGTGTGAGGGAAGAGACTGTGGGTAGTGGGGTGGCTCCAGAGAAATTAGAGTTTCCTCATGTACCTTGCACTTTTACAAACTTGCATTTCAGAATGTGTCACACAGCTCGCTATGTAAGATTCTTTCTTTTTTCTTGGTGTTTTTTCAGCTGTGGACTTGCTAGAGAAGATGTTGGTACTGGATACAGACAAACGAATTACTGCAGCAGAAGCGTTGGCTCACGCCTACTTTGCTCAGTATCACGACCCAGATGACGAACCAGTGGCAGACCCCTACGACCAGTCCTTTGAAAGCAGAGAGCTTGAGATTGAGGAATGGAAAAGTGAGTCTGGGGAGCAGGAGAGAGCCAACCTGATCCCTTTGCGGTCCATTCCACGAGTTGCAGTTTGATTAAGCCATGGTAGTTACAGGCACAAAAGCTCTTTGAAAGGGTAGATAACAGCAGGACAAGGGTAAATGGTTTTAAGTTGAGAGAGGGAAGATTTAGGTTGGATGTCAGGGGGAAGCTCTTTGCAGAGAGAGTGGTGAGGTGCTGGAACAGCTGCCCAGAGAGGCTGTGGATGCCCTGTCCCTGGAGGTGTTCAAGGCCAGGCTGGATGGAGCCCTGGGCAGCCTGGTCTGGTATGAAATGGGGAGGTTGGTGGCCCTGCAAGTGGCAGGGGGTTGGAGATTTGTGATCCTTGAGGTCCCTTCCAACCCTGGCCATTCTGTGATTCTGTATATGGAGTGAATCTGTCAACAACTGTGCACATAAGTAGTATAGTCCTTGGTAACTCCTACTGTATGCATGCAAGCACATAGGGTGGCACGGGTTGCTTACATGTTTTTCAAATGTATTTACACATTAGTGCTCTGGAAGTATCTTATTGTGCCTGTTAGTCTCTGAGACGGTTTATCCGTTATTTGAGGTTGTTAAGGTTTTGTGCACGAGGGATGTCATTAGTAGTTTCTTAAGTTTCTGACACTTTTCCCACCAGGCCTGACTTACGATGAAGTAATCAGCTTTGTGCCACCGCCACTTGACCAAGAGGAGATGGAGTCCTGAGAAACTGCTCTCTTCTCTTTGTCCCACTTCACTGTGAGGGGAAGGCCTTTTTGTAGGGACTCTCCAACTATCATTCAAGTGCCTCGCCACAACAATATTCTCCTTGGTGGAAGGGTTTTGTGTGTGTTGAACTGGGGAGGGTGGGGGGAGGGAGGAAAGCTGAGTCTATGTAAACATGCTGCATGCTCTCTTGTGTTCTGTGTACGGCCTGGAGCAAGTCTCTGAAGACCTGTTCTGACTGCTCTTTAGTCCTTCCACAGGAAGCTTCAGCTGGTTTGTGCTGCTGGGGTGAGGAGGGGAAGGTGACATTCAAAGTTTGGTTACAGTTGTTGCCATTTATCAGTTGTTCTACAACTAACCTCAAAATAAGGAAAGTTGGTTCATAGCCTTAGAGAGCCCTCTGTTTTCTTTGGGAGTGAATGTAGGGTTGAGGGATGTCCTCCTTCCATGCTACGGTGACTGATTCGCATCCAGATCTTCCTGGTACAGGAGAACGTACAGGTTTTCTGACAAATGTCTGATTCTTGGAACGTGAAAAGATTTTGTATGAAACTGTAAATATGTTTGTGCCTTAAATGAATGGGGAAAGAGGGGGAAGGAAGTCTGGAGTGGAAGTGTCTGGCCCTGCTGTTTTTCAGGGTGAAGGCTCCCAGACAGCCAGGCATGAACTCTGTGTGTTCAGGAAACAACTTTCCGAGGCAACAGCCTCTCCTTGGATTGGTATTCCATATTTTTCTCCCTCTTTCCCTCCTCTAGTTGTGCAGTTTGTCAGCATTAGCTCCCAGGAGATGGAGGCTGGAGAAGATTCTTGCTAGCCACGTTTGCGTATCTTGTTCCTTAAAAGGTGGGGTGTTCTTGCATGTCATAGCTGTATGCGCATGTAGAGCAGCTTGGTGTTTGTTGTTACATTGTGGGGGTGGCACTGGGGCAGTTAAATCATCAGTGAACTGTTCACTGAGTACCTCAGCCAGTGCCACAGAATCACAGCATCCTTCCTCTTGTGCTGCAGCTCAGCGTGAAATATCTGCCAGTGTGGAGACTGTCGAGAAAAGGGTAAAACATAAAGCATAGAAATGCACATTGTCCTTTGTTCTGATCTGGCTTGAGGAGAGATTGGGATGGAGGGCTTCTTGTGAAATCAAGTGTGAAAAATGTTCTTTGAAGAAACAACTGTGGCATCTTGTGCCAGAATTTATTTCCTGAAATTTTTTTTCTAAAGATGTTGGAATCCAAAGCAAAGAAATAAGCATGCATAAAAACACAATCTCCCTGTCGCTGTCTATATAGGTATTTATATAATATAAAACTAACATTTACTAGAGGATCTTTTTTACCCTCACAGATAAGAGCTTCTTGGCTGCTTGTTAGCAGGTGGAGCTCTGCTTGAGGAAATGGGAGAAGGGAGTATGTTTGGATACAAACGTGACAAAAATACTGGTATTTTCCAGGACTCTACGTGAACTTAATGCCCAGTTAGCTACTGGCAGGAGGGGCTCTTTCTGTGCTTTTTTCTGTGCTACAACTATGCTGTGGATCTCAGGAGCCTGATTGTAGGATTTGGGGAGGAGACTTTTTAGACATTTATCTGTTGCAGGCGTCCTGTACACGCGACATAGCAGCTGTGTGAGTGAGGAGAAGGGCTTTTGCAGTATTTTGCATTCTTGTTACCTACGGGGTGGAGAGGAACTGTTTGTAGTATTTTTACCATGTGTCTGAAGAGGTGGCACAAAGGGATGGGACACAAAAGATGAAGCCATTGATTCTTGCTAGGCTACTTTCCAGTGATCTCTTCAGGTCAACGTTTTACAAAGTCTGGGGTGAGATGAACAGGCGCTTTGTGCTCTGTGATAACGCTCTCTTCAGACCAACAAACTAGAGATAAAACCTCCCTGCTGGACAAGCAGTCCAGATATTCAAATGAAAAAATGTAGATAGACTCTGTAAACCTACAGCAGGATTATTTTTATCAGCCATTTTACGTGTAGATGCTACAGTGTGATTCCATGTGGAAATACTGCTAAAGATTTTTAAAATACAGATGCTGTGTGTATGTGTGCGTCCGTGCGTGCGAGTGGGAAGGTTTCATTCACAGCCCTGCTCTGAGGGAGCCGCGTGGCGCTCCTGCGTGCAGCGCAGTGCTGCTGGGCCGCCTGCAGTCTGAACAGGAGGATGCACTTCAAAGAAGAGATCTGCTATTTCGTTTCTATCCATGAGTTGTGTTGTAATTGGTTATGCTGGATAAGATGTCACAATACCACTGGTTAAAAATAAAACCTATTTTTCAGATTTACTGTGCTGATGGTTCTTCTAACCCCTGAACAAACGGTTTTGGAGTGAGATGAATTCCTCCCTCATTGTACAGAATCCTGTGTGGTGGAAGGGTGGGTAATGCTGCTCAACTGCAAGCACGGAGCTCGTGTCCATGGGCCCCGCACGTGGCTTCCGTAGTACAGACCTAGCCTGGAGTCTGCATGACTGCTGGACAGTGAAAGTACGTGTAGTTTTTGTTTAGCTTAGGGAAGCTGTTGTTTTGTTTTTAATTCAACGCAATAAATGAGAGTTCTGCGACTTGCCTGGACCTGGGACTTCTCACTGGTTGCAGATGTCTGCCATGTAGAAATGAGTGGGTTTGTTTCTGTCTTCAGCTGTCATCCAGTTGGTAGAGGGAGCAGGAGTGTTGTGACTCGCCTCAGTGGGGATTTTCTGACTGCTGTTGTGTGCCAGCATGACTCAATCAGAAGGACAATTAGAGGAATAATTGGATAAAGCTGTGTTCATCACACCAACAAAAGCCTCAGTGCTGCAGTGCTGGCTGTGATAGAGCAGCGCAGTCGGTGCTGATCCGAGTCAGGTAACTGCTACTGCACTCTGTTTTCCTCTGCAGTGCTGCACAGAGGTTGGGTTGAAGAGGCACAAAGAAAAGGGTGCTTGCTGTGGTGCAAATGGAGAGGAAAGAGGATAAACAAATAAATCCTAGATGGGGTTTGTCACTTCTTCGAGGGAGAAAAATCCCAAATCCTCAAAATTCCGGAGTTGTGTTTGGTTACAATATACGTTGATTAGCAAAAGACATTAAATTCAGTGAGAAGTGAATTAGGGAAAAGTGACTTAGACCAATTTAAAGAAAATAGGAAGCCTTAAATTAACTCATCTAACTACAGCTTTGCCCCAGATACTCAGAACTCCTGAACCATGTGTTGACAGCTGTGTGTGTGCAGTTGAGCAGCAGTTCTCCATGCTCATGAGGTGACAGATGAGTTACATTTGCTCCTGTCCCAACAGTTCTGGCTGAAACTCCTCTTGCTCACTGGTGTATTTATAGAACCCAGCCCATTCTGCTTTGTCTCCTTACTATGCTGTTGCTAGAGCCAGGGTTTGCTTGCATGTGTGTGTATAAGCAATGTTAAAATGCTGCCAGTAACGCAGAGCCTGACTTGTTTTATAGAACTGCAGGCCTTACCACTGCTATCTGGAGAATGCGCGTGCCAATTCTAAAATGTGTTGCAGTGGTTGCTTGTAAGCAGGTAAAATGAATCCTCCCTAAAACTGTAGTAGTGTGTTTCCCTAAGTCCCATTCGTCAGGCAGGGGATGGAGCAGAGCTGAGTGGTGGCAGAGCGTGTCTCCTCAGGCGTAGCTTAGTCACTTCCTCTGGAGGGAGGGTGCGCCCTCAGAGCTCTGCTGTAGTCGAAGCAGAGTGCTGAGCCTCTGCTCAGCAGGGTGAGTTGGGTGCTGAGCGATGGGACTGACTGCTGCAGAAACAAGGCTGGACCCTCCTGACCTCAGTACCTGCAGCTCCCAGGGTGGTCCCATCTCGGAGCAACTCCTGAGCGTCTCACTGCAGTCACGTGGATGAAGTGAAGCTCAGGCAGCCTTCTCTGCGCCCGTCTGCTGGGAAACCACGGAGGAAATCCCCGCTGCTCCCTTGCTCTTCCGTGAATTTAATGCCCTGGACTCTGTCCTGGAGCTCTCCTCCCCTGCGGCGCTGACTCGGTGCTGTGGCACGGTAACCTGTCCTCTACGCCAGGCATGACCTCGGATTCCTGATGCACCCTTACTCACCCCACCGGCAATCTCATGAGACGCCCGTGAGCCCCATATGGCACTTCTGGGGGTGACAGCCATTCTGTCCTCGAAGTCCCACCTGCGGCTGCAGGTGCGTCTGCGTTGGGCGCCTATTGGAGCACCCAGAAATACCTGCACACGGCTGAGGCGTGTCTGGAAACCTGATGCCTCATCTCCGCCATGTGGAGGCGGAGGGAGGAGGGCTGTGAGACATGTCCCTTCTCGCTCACAACAGCTGAAAGCAGAGAAGGCAACTCGCTACAGGCCTTCTCAGCAGTGCAGGGCGCCCCGGTCGCATCCCAGGGGCACCGCCAGACGCTGGGACTCTGGGTGGGTGGCAGTCCCGCAGCCGCCGGGCGATGAACATCGCAAGGAGAAGAGGCTTTTACAGACAGGAGCTGAACAGAACCGTCTGGGAGCTGCCCAGGAGGTACATTTCCCTGCACCCCGTGGGCTCTGGGGCCTACGGTTCTGTCTGGTGAGTGGGGCCCAGGGGGAGCAATGAGGGCTGGGGGTGAGAGGTGCCTCAGCACCCCCGATGAAGGGACTCTGCGTGTATGATGGAAACGGTTCATCTTCGGCTCGGTCACCACGAAGGGTTGCTTTAAAAACGATCCTGTGCCTCCTGCGGTCACCCTGACAGGCAATGGGGAGAGTCGTGTCTGGCTCAGCCCTGTGGGTGTCCTGCAGGCAGGGATGGCCTCAGATCTGAGAGGGACCTCTCAGGGTAAGGGAGTGATCTGGTTGGCAGGAAGAGGGAAACACCTGAATATCTGAGAGCTGAAGAGTTGGGCCCTGCTGCAACAAAGCAGTGGGCAGAGCTACAGCAGCTGATGCTGTGTGGTGGGGGAATGGAGCTGGGTGGCACAGCCACAGTGCTGCTTCCAGCTCCCTGTTGTAAGGCAGCAGCTGACCGGAACTTCCTGGCTGGTGGCAAATCCTGGCTGACAAGGGAGCAGCAGAGCTGCTGTTAATTAGTTACTTGGACAAAGGTACCCACAGTGAAAGCGAGCAGAAAAGTCGGATCTCATTTTGTTTACGCTGGTGAGTTGAGGAGGCTGGTGACTTTTAGCACGGGCAAATCTGAAGCAGCCCATTGTCAGTAGCCAAACAGAACCTCACTGCATATTAGGGTAAAAAGGAAAAGGAATGGAGTGTGTCCTCTTTCTTGGATGTTGGGCAAAGCACCTCTTGCTGTCCCAGAGGAATCCCCAGACTGTCTGGCTGAAGTTGGGGCTCTGTCAGTGCACTGCAGGATGCAAATGGGGACCAGAGGTTTCCTTCCCCACTTTTCTGCTTATGTGCAAGGCTGGGTCCTGAGATACCTTCTGAACCCGGTAACACTTAACTTGATATTTTGCTGTGCAGTTGGGATTTGCTGTCCTCTGCTGGGAATCACTGGGAAGCTTTTCTATCACAGCACTATTTGGAGCTGACAGCTTTTGCACATCTTTCAACAACAAATAAGGGCTGAGAAACAAATTCTGGGAGGCCAGCATGGGCTTGTTTCTTTCCCCGTTAATTCTGCAGTGATTCAGTAACTGGGGAAGTTTTCTGATGCCCCTAGCCCTGTCCCTTGGGTGCAATGTGCCACAATTACCCATGGAACCTTCATGGTACACTCGTGACCTCACCTCGAGGTCGGCCTTGGTGTCATCCTGAGCTTCCAGCTGCTCCTTAATCTCTGCTGGGAAGAACGCTGTGGGCTCTCCTGGCTGCGGCAGCAGAGTTTCCTCTGGGCTGTGCCTTATGGCAAAGGCAAAAGTAGCTCCATTTGTGCTGGGTGTTATGAAGCTCCAGCTCCTGCGTGGAGTGGTGGGGCTGGATGTGTGCTCTGCAGGCGAGACGCTGGGAAGGCAGTAAGAGGTGGCACTTGGAGGTTGGGAAATCTGCCCTGAATTCTGTGTTTGACTGAGTGGTGCCGGATCCTTCCTCTTTGTTCCTTCACGGCTTGGAGGACTGTGCTGCCCTTCTGCCAGCAGCTGCTAAAGGTCTAATGGAACTGAGACAAAATTTTCCATTCCTCTCGAGATGTTCTTCAGTGTCACTTTCAGTGCTTTCACAGCCTGGTGTGGCTCCCTTTGCCTTTTCTAGCTGAATACATTACAAAAACGCAGTCGCACCGAAGCTCTCAAAGGATGTCTGCTCTCATCAGTGATAGCTCAGAGCAACCATAAGGGACCTCAGTAGCCATGAGGGGGAAGATCGATTGCTTGATGGCATCAGAGATATCTGTTCACTCAGTGAGAGCTGCTGGTGAGCTGGACTTCTGGCAGCTATACCACAGTGAATTGCTGGTGGCTGGAAATCAGAGAAAGCCAGGCTCCTGAGATTTGCACCAAAGTATAACAACCCTTCCTTGGTGTTGCACCAAAGGGGAAGCTGTGCTGAGCGGATGTTCCCACCTATCCTACTGCATCTCTGCCCTACCAGCAGAGACCCAGCAAAACGCACCCTTTGACTGCATTGTTACAGATGGGCATTTTCCTGTTGACTCTGTTCATAAAATCTTGCCTCTGAGTGGCCCTGGAGGCCTCAGGAGCAGCGCCTCTGTTCTGCAGCTTTATGGCACAGCCCTTCCTGGACTTGGTGCCCAGAGGAAGGAGGAGCAGATGGAGCCTGGGTCTGCAGTGGGAATGGATCGCACATCTGTTCGTTAGGTGGAGAGAATCCTTGAAGAGCCTCAGAGAGAGAGAGGGTGTCACAGGATCATTCCACCCAACTCAAACAGCCGACGTGCTCAGAAGGAATAGCACGTCTCCAGCTGTGGTGGCTGTACCATGTCTTCATAAGCTCATGAAACAAACCTTATTTGCAGCCATACCTGCTTTTATACAGAAGCATACAGAAGGCTGCAGGGGAACTAACTGCGGCAGTCTGTGTTGTTTTCAGTGTGACATCCCATCTTTGCTCTGGAATACAGTGAAGAATGTTGACATACCTTCGACGACAACATCTTGCAAGCAGGTGGCAAAGAGGAAATTGCTTTGTTCCCTTTTCTCCATGACTTAAAGAAGGAGTAGGCATAATTAAAACTCATTTTGACATTCAACCATTTGAGTAATGTTGCTCTGTTAGCTCCATCTTGTTGCTACAGGTTAAAGCAAGTGTTAAAGGGAGTAAAGACTGGCACTAGTGCTTTTCTTTCTGTCCTGTCTAGTCCTCTTAGTCCTCCTGAAATCATGAGCAGTGCTTTAACAGCCCATCATGTAAAGGGAAATTCTGCGTGCGAGCCCCACTGAGTTTCAATACCAACCCAGAGAGATCAAGAGGCCTTTTCTTTTTTTTTTCTTAACCTTTTTCGGGGGGAAGTCCAGCATTAGCTCTTTTCTCAGAGGGAAATTGATCTGGTGTTGCAAAGTTTGTTAAAAACGTTTTCACATTTGCAGTGTGGAAACTGGTTTGTGTTTGTCTGTCACAGTTCCGCCATAGACAAGAAGACAGGAGAGAAAGTGGCCATCAAGAAGCTGTGCCGCCCGTTCCAGACAGAGATCTTTGCCAAGAGAGCATACAGAGAGCTCATACTCTTGAAGCAAATGCAGCATGAGAATGTAAGTATGCATTACTCACTGTTTCTGCTAAAGCAAGAGGAACTCCCCTAGGTGCGTGCCGACTCTAGTGGCAGCACCTTACCTTTGAGAGGTCTCAACATCTGCCATGGGGAGCAGTCTCAGGGCCTGACTGCTGCCCAGCTGGTGCCACATCGGCTCAGGCAGATGTGTAATAGGTGTTCCTGTGTCTTAGTAAGGGGAAAAGTAGCTGCACAGCACGGTGAGGAGTCCTCACATTCCTCAGATGGAGCTCTCAGTGCTCACGGATGTGCTGATGGAGAGCTGTTACCTGAGTTTCACATGCAAGGCAAACGCTTTCTAGATTTATGTTTGGGCTTCTCTTGTCTATCAGGTCATTGGGCTGCTCGATGTCTTCACCTCCGCCCCTTCCTACCATGGATTTCAAGACTTGTAAGTGTGGAGTTTGTGTTGCTTTGCCTAGGCTGGATTGTTGAGCACCACACATGCAGGCTTTGCAGCAGCACGATGGATCGTGCTGAGGTGCAGTTCAAAACGCAAATTGGAAAAGGGACAGACTAAAGCCAGACATCCCCAAATAACAAGGAGAAACATAAGCAGTTCCTGTAGCTGAAAGGCCCACGTGAACAGATGGCATGCCCTGTTCACAGCTGGGAGAACGTGGGATAGACAGACCAGCATAAATTACCTGAGGCATTTTGTTCCATGGTGCATGATGTGCCTTGTGAGCCACGCTGACGCACGGCGTAATCTAGAGGCTGTATCCAGAATGGGGAGAAGTGGCGTTCACCAGTCCACATGGTAACTGAACTTTGGAGATCTCCTCCTCCTTTCGCTTTGATTCTGGCTGTTCAGACACCTTGGTGTTGGTGGTCAGGTCAGACAAGCTCCTCTCACTTCCTCATCCCTGGGCAGCACGCACCTGCCTCCAGGTTTGCGGCTGCTGGCTGATACTTGGCAGCCTGCACAAAAACCATTCGCTGGTTCTGAGATGTTACTGCTGCTCATTGCAGCCTCAGCAGGCAGGCTGAAGGAACCTACAGGCTGTTTTCCAAGGCAGGGCCAAGGAATATTATAAATTTGGGAGCCAGTGCTGCAGCTTTGCAAGACTCTGTAAAACTGCACATGACACTTTGCTGCCAGGTGGACACAAGGTCACATGGGTTTGAAAATTATTATTTAAAATTAAACTAATTTGAGGTTGTTATGATTTGGAAGATCTTAATTGATATCATGTGTCTGATCTGACGGGAGGAGAAAGAGCACTTTTCAGAGTGGGCAGAATCCTATCATTGCTGCAGTTGGCTAGGAACAGCCACAGCCACCTGCCCCAGTTACACTGATTTAAACAGTCACAGGAAAACAAACCACCCAAACAACAACAAAAATAAGAACAAGGCCAGCCTGGCTCCTTGTGCTTTTCTTCTAGGCTCAGGGCTTTGTCTTACTGCCTTTTAGCTACCTGGTGATGCCATACATGCGGACAGATTTACAAAAGATCATGGGACATGAATTCAGTGATGAAAAGATCCAGTACCTGGTCTACCAGATGCTGAAAGGGCTGAAGGTAGGTGGGGCTGGAGAAACACCACTGGACTTGGTGACTCCTCTCCAGTTGGTCTTGCTTTGTCATCTCTGGGCTGACCACAGCAACAACCCCTGTCTGGGGAAGATTTGTTTTTCTGGGTGTTTGTTTGTTTTTTGTTTGTTTTAATGGCACACTGAGAAACAGGGATTTGCTCTTGAATGACTCTTGTTCTAGCATACATCAGTCCAAATGGCTGTCCTTTCATGCTAGTCAACAGGCATGGAAGCTTCCATCAGTTGTAGAGCTTGGAGTGGTTTCTCTGTGACAGCAGCTGTGCTGCTGACTTGCCAAAACCCTGAGCAATTCTGCAGTACCAGGAGCAGTGGGGCTCCTGCCGAATTTCTCACCTGGGCTGTCAGTGAAGAAGATGGAGGGAATGATTTTCTGTTCAACACAGTGAGCAAGAAATGTACTTCTCTAGCTGCCCTTGGGAGGACAAAGCAATCACTCCAAACCCTGAAATGCACAGGCAATGCCTTAACATTGCCCTCTGTAACACCCTCCACCTGGAGTTTAGAGCTGTGGTTTCTGAGTGTTACTAAGTTCACCCTAGTAACACCTTTCCCCTCATCACTGCTACCTCGAGTTTAAGTAAAGCAAGGGGAGAATAATGCCATTGGTCTAACTGGTGCAGCAAAAGTCACAATCGGTGTTTGAAACAGTAATCTGATTTCCAGTTTTGGTTTAATGATGAAATTGTTGTTTCAAATGTTAAACCATGGGGGAAAAAATGAATCAAAGTTTTCACGCCATCCAACTGACCCCAGCTCTGTCTGTAGTCCAGAGGTCTGTTTTGATAGTTTTAAGAGATTAGTTAGCTTTGCTCTGAGGCACTGTTGCCCCGTGCCCCCCTTCTGCTCTATGCTGCTTCTTTGGAGCAGCAGTGTAACCGCAAAAGCAGTCAGAAATGCAGTTGGACGCTTCAGATTGCTCTCAGGTAGCTTTCCCTCATCAGCCACTGCTTCTCCTATGGTTGTGGGCTTTACTGTGGGCTCATATTCTGGGACACGCAGTGGATGCCAGCACTGCGTTCCCACTGACTTCCTCTTTGGAACTCTCATTTCTCCGCTGGAGAAAATGCTCTTATCTGCTGGTGACCACACCGTGGCTTCTCTTTTTGTTGCAGTACATTCATTCTGCCGGAATCGTCCACAGGGTAAGTCCATATGCACCAATACTCTGATTTTGTCTGTTTAGGAGAAATGCAGCTTGGTCATAAAAATAGCAAATTTCTAAACATCGTTTTGCTAATGGCCTCATGTGCTCTGAATTCTCTCTGGCTCTGCTGCTCTCCTGTACCCAGTGCTTATTCAGATTTAGCAGAAATGCTCTATTTGCTGGCAAGCTGTGAAGCACTTTATGATTTTTGAGTGAAAATGGTTTAAGGAAAAAAAAAAGTCACTGCAATTTAAAGCTATACAGTATTGCTGTATTGGCACTGGGCTCAGGATGTTATGGGAAAGCATCCCAGGTGAGCAGAGACTTGACTCAGGCTCGCGTTGATGAACTGCAAATCCAAACATCTCACTTATTCTGGTCTCATCTGTTTTAGGACCTGAAGCCAGGCAACCTGGCTGTGAATGAAGACTGCCAGCTAAAGGTAGGAAAAATGCAGGGAGCAGGTCAGAGTGCTCACAAGCAGGAATGCTGGTGTGCAGGTGTCATCGTGCTTCCCCTGACAGCTCAATCTGGGGAGCTGAATTACACAGCAGTTGTAGTCAGCAGGAAATATTCACCTGCTTATGCAACTTGCTGAATCAGGGCCCAGGCCTTGGAATGAACATCCTGTCACTGTCATTCTGGCTGCACTGAAGTTCCCAATGACTTCCTAAATTAATGTAATACTACTGAGCCATATGGGTGTTAGGTGGATCCCTATCCCTGAAGGATAACTGGATACAGCCCCAGTTACCCTTTGGTTCTTGCTGGCTAGACCCTGAGGCATAATGGCTGTGATTCTAGACAAAGTTATTTTCAGTATATCTCTGAAGAGATTGCTTACAGCTCAGAGGGGTGACAGTCTCCCATTTGTTTTCTGTAATGTATATTACTGGGAGGGGCTTCTGTTGCCCGTAAAGGTTGGGTCAAGCCGTGTTCATCTCCAGAACTGAGAGGTCATCTCCTGTCAGCTGCCGGGTGTTGTTATAGGAAATGGTGAGTCATAGTGGCTTGTGAGCACACCTTGGCCTCCACCTTCTACAAGTCCATTAAAAAAAAATCTCATAGAATTTAAACTTAAGCTTCAAAGGAAGTGACCTTCCAGGTAGCAGCAGAAGACGCAGATCCTCTCCGCAGGGTCTCTGCAGAACAACCAGCTCTGCAGCTGGCTTGCAACTTGCAGTGGAATTAAGACAAACTTGTAGGTCTTTGAACCATCCCATGGGTGGCTTTGGTGCAGACAGAGCTTCGCTCCGGTCTGATTGGATCTGCTTCATTTAAAAGCAGATTATTGCTTGTAGGATTGATTGATTGATTCTTTCCTGCCTTTCCTTCTCCCTCTTCTTTTGGTGAGCTGCAGATCTTGGACTTTGGCTTAGCAAGACATGCTGATGCTGAAATGACAGGCTATGTGGTCACACGCTGGTATAGAGCTCCAGAAGTCATTCTGAACTGGATGCATTACAACCAGACAGGTGAGTTGCATTGCTTCAGCTGTGTGACTGTCTGGTGACAAACCCAAAGACCTCTCTGTCATGCCTGGGTCAAATCCCACCTAATCTACCAAATGTTTTTGCTCCTTGTAATCAGTGTCCCCTGACATGGAGCAAGTCACAGCTGATGCCTGTGGGAAATGATGAAAGCAAAGATTTTAGCAGCATGGAAAGAACTGGGGAGGGCAGAAAATGGGACTGAAGTTGAAATGGGTGCCTGCTGCAGACTGAAAAAATAGGCAACAGCTCATGCAATCCTTTTTTCCTAAAAAGCTACTCTTTTCAAATTTTTCCTTCTTTCTTCCCAACAGTGGATATCTGGTCTATTGGTTGCATCATGGCAGAAATGCTGACTGGGAAAACGCTGTTCAAAGGAAAAGACTGTATCCTTTCAAACGAAACCTTTTCCCTCAGAGGGGTAACAATTCTTGGCATGTGTGAGAGAGCCTTAGGAATGCGGCTACAGAGGGAAATCAGTGTTGGTCTAGTTTACTAAGAGATGATCACAGGAGATCAGTGCAGTCTTTTTGGTGAGGAAAACAGAATATAGAAGGGGGACAAGACACCCTTAGAAGTGCACCTCCTCTGTTGGCCACGTATTCTCTATATCAGCAGTCTAACCTTGAATTCCCCTCGTTTTATACCCAAGCCCTTCCGTACTCTCAATCTATGGGCATATACCTCGGTAGAACGGTACAAACAGAACTCGCTGTTGATGAGGACTGCGTCCTAGAAGAGAGGATGCAAACAGTGTAATGAGTCTCAGTTTGTGTGGCTCTGCAGGTCTGTATCATTACCTGCTCAGAGCTGCTGCTGCTCCTGGGACGCTCCTGCGCACAGCCCATAGGTTGAGCTGCTGGGTGGAGCCCAGGGCTCGCTCCCAGGTGGATGATCTTTAACACAGCCCGCCAGACCTTGATCAGCTGACTCAGATCCTGAAAGTAACGGGGCATCCAGGAGATGACTTTGTGGAGAAGCTTGAGGACAAGGCGGTAAGGAAGCCCTGTGGCCACTCTGGTCTTGCTGCCAAAGGCATGGTGGGGAGAGGTAAACTCGCAGCAGATGGGCCATGTGCTGCTGTTACAGCCGCCGTGAACAGGAGAGGGGGCAGTCTTTCCCATCATCAGGGAAAACGTTTTTGTCAGTGACACCTCTGATGTATTTGACTTCAATGCTCGTCACTGAGAACTGGTGCGGATCACAGGGCTGCTGGGCGAGGAATTGGTGCTGCACCTCCTGCCTCTGTTCTGCAGCTCAGCTGTTCTTAAAGCATCAGCATTTCTGTGTCCCAAGTGATAAAAATAGTTCCTCACAAGCTGGCCACTAAAATGTGACGTGAGATAATTTGTTGTTCTCATCTCCTAAATAATGAGACCCAAGAGCTCCATTTTACATCCCCCTTATACTTGTCCAGTTGCAGTAAATGCATGTGCTCTGCTTTCCTTTCTCTTTTAGGCTAAAAGTTATATCAAGTCTCTTCCAAAAATGCCCAAGAAGGATTTGTCTGTGCTCTTCCCCAAAGCCAATCCTCAGGGTAAGTAATCTTGAGCATTTCTCACAAGTTCTCACAACTGAAAATGAGTTGGGCTGACTGCCACAGATGCAATTTTGTTGCTCCTCGTTTTCATAACTTCTCACTGCTTCCTCCCTTGCAGGCTGTATCCCAGCAGAAGGTTGCCCTTCCCAGAGCAAATACACCTGAATTAAAACAGTCCTTTATTGGCACTGCAATGTCAGTGTTCTGCTGTTAGTGGCCATTTACCTCTTTCCTTTCTGTTTTTAGTTTTAAAATGGCACAGTGTGTAAAATAAAAGGAAGAGGTAAACTTCACATTCTTGTATTAACAAGCCAGAAGGAAGCACATGCTATATACAACAGGATGTCTAGGTCACAGAAAGCAAATCGTGGGATTAGGGCAGTTGCATGCAGCGGTACAACACCTTTAGCTCCACTTGGTATAGGATTTGGGATGAGTTTTGGCTGATGTTAGCTTTCAGAGCTTGCTGCTTGTAGCAAAGCAGAGGACATTATGATTCAGAGTACTCAAAATGTCTCCCCAACCCCAGATCCAAAGCATCACAGGTTTTGATGAAGTATGAGAGAGCCCCACAGTTCACTCTAATAAATCTTTTCCTGCGGGAAGAGTTCAGCTCAGATTGCAGCTGTTTGTTGAACACCTGCACCTTTCAGTACGTAACAGGCAGTTGAAATGTGCGATTTTCAGGGTAAAAACCGATCTCCAAGTGGCTCTTTCCCCAAGTAGATAAGAGAAAACCTCTTCTAAAAGGGGAGCATTAAGCTATGAATACCAAGACGGAACAGGGATGATAGACCAGTCAGTATCTGAGTTTCCTGCCTTCCTGTTTACCAGGGATGTATAGGTTTCTATATGGATTACTCAAGCAATAGCTTGAGAATTGACTATTTTGAGTCGCAGGGGTCAGAGTGAAAGCAAATGACTGAAGCTGCAAAACATCGTGAAGTTAATGGTTTGCCATTCACATTCCTGCAGACTATCCATGCAGCAGTGCCTATCTGAGGCTGATTTGTTACCTCTGCACAATGTATACCTCACTTCTCTTAGTAAAAGTTACCTGTGGCCACTGCTTGGCAAACTTTGCAGATTTCCATGCTGCCTTGGCCAGATTGCGGAATTCGTTTTGTTTTTAGGTATGGAAATGTCTTAGTGGAAACACTAGCCCTATCATTTTCAGGGTTTGTGCACAGGATGGCTGTTCTGCCCTGTACCCACTCAGCACGTTCCTGTCTTCTCCCACAGCAGTGGACCTGCTGGACAAGATGCTGCAGCTGGATGTGGAGAAGCGCCTTACAGCCACAGAAGCATTAGCCCACCCATACTTCGATCAATTCCGAGACATTGAGGAGGAGACAGAGGCACAACAGTCCTACGATGATTCTCTGGAGCATGAAAAGCTTTCAGTAGAAGAATGGAAAAGTAAGAAGTTTATTTTATTTGACACTGCATAACACAGACTTTCCTGCCCCTTTCTGTTTCCTGTGAGCACGCTGAGTAAGGCCAGCTCAGCTGCAGCCACTCAGTAACGCCTTGATGATGGCATTCATCTCCCTTTCCTTGCTCTTACTGTCATGGACTCAGCAGAGATTCCTTCTGCTGCCATCTTTTCAGATTCCACTTTTTCCCCCATCTGTACTTCATCTCTTCCTCCCAGCTTGTACCTGCTGTACTTCTCTCTGCACACGGTTAATGGTCGAAGTTTTGTTTGTGACCTCTGCAATAGGAGATGCACGCTAGAGGTATTCATTATTCGTTCTTCTTCTGTTTTTCAAGAACATATCTACAAGGAGATCTTATCCTTCAGTCCAATCGCACGGAAGGACTCAAAGAAGCGAAGTGGAATGTCGCTGTAGTGACTGCTTCAGCTGTGACCGGGATTCATGTCTCATGCTGGATGACAGATGGGATTTGTTCCACACAGCCTCTTTTGTTGCCATCACTTGGCCTATGGGACTCCTCTGTGTGTGAACATGATGTCAACGCTGTGACCGTGGGCACTGGACTTTCTTCCACTGGTGGGGGAAGCACTCCTAAATAGTTTTCAACTGTAAAGATAAAATGCTTCACTGAAGCTTTGGGAGAAATTGCTGGTATTTTTTCTCCCTCCCTCCTCCCCCCTCTCCTCCCTGCATATTGCCAGGTTTTTGTTTCTCCTTTCTTTCAAAAAGCACAGGCTTTTGGACTTGAATTATGTATAAGGTAAATAAAATGGTAACGCTGTCTGGGGACTGAGTCCCAAGCAAAATACTGAAATGGTGAAATTTAGCGTAACAAGACTTTATCCACACTCCTGATCACTGAGCTCCTAAAGAGCACCCAGCACAGCCAGGTTGCTGACATGATTCAGCACCCGGGACGTCATGGGAATTGAGTTCTTCATACACACAGGCTACATCCAGGGCACCTTCTGCCCTGGTTTCTTGCTATGCACAAAACTCCCTGCTAGGGTGCAGCCTCCTCTGGGCAGGTACTCATTCCTCCTTTTTGCTTTACTTCTCTCATCCTTGGGTTTTGATAGGTACTGTTTCTTCCTCGTGGCTAGCTGCAAATGCATCCCTGGGAGTTAAAGACCACATTCCCACATTCATAACCTTGTTATCCCAGGGAGCTGGGTTACCAGCAAGCAGTCCTCCTGCCCTCACAGGGGCCTCTCCTTTATGCACAGTCTGCTTCACCCTCCAGCTCCCTTAGCCAGGCTTATCTCTGCTGCGCACCCTGCCTCTGCAGGCTGCCTTTATCTCTTAGCAGATCTGGTATTTTGTTACACACTCCAGTGACATGACCTCTTACGCACTCATTCCCTCTGCTTTGAGGAATCTGTTTTACCATTTGTTCTCTGCTGCAGTTCTCTTACAGGGCTGTTTGTTCCTTAATAGGAGGAGACTTTAATTGTTTGGAAATGTCTTAATAGGTGATTGTCTACCCCAAGGCTCACATCCTTACTTTGAAGTAAGAATCAAAAAGTTTATAGATTGGAAAGGAGGGGAAAAAAAAAAGAAAAACAATATATTGCATGAACAATTCAGCGTCATCAGAAACAGGAACACAATTCAATTCAGTGAACGTGGAAAATAGCTTCAGATATTCTGGTATCAGATCAGTTCCTTCAGTCATCAATCTTATAAACATCATCTGAGACAATCTTATTACATAGAAAACCTCACAGAAACCAAGCTACAAACAGATTCCCATTAATTAATTCACTTTAGCGAGTATTTCTTGGCTACGAGAAGTTGCCACCTCTGAGATGCTCATCATATCAGTATGTGACAAAGGTTGGGAATATGCAGTGCTTGTAGGGAAAAGTACCCTGGAAGAGAAAGTTTCAAACGCAATTGAATCAATCAAATTCAATTACAGAGTCTTGCTGCAGTTGGAAAGGAAGCAGTTGAGGGCCAAGGGCTCACAGGTCAGGATTTTGGGGACCCTATGTGCACCCTAATGCAGATTCTCTAAGAAAAGCCGAATTAGTGTCACCTTGTGGAAACTGGTGACATGAAAGAGAGCCCTACTGTGCTGCATCCACAGCCACTTGCATCCAGCCTTGCCCTCAGATGCTATTTCTTTAGTAGGTATAGAGCTTTGTATGAGTTGAAGAACAATAAAATACTATCTTTTGCTGTTTATCACTCTGGGTTAAGCATTCTCTCACATACAACTTGTCTGGATTTAATTGGTTTGCAAAGGTGTTCCCATAGTATTGCGATAAGAAGAGTGTGATGCACAGACAGAGGGAGGTGGTTCTCTGAGCCCGGCTGCTGTTTACCGGACTAACCAGCTTGGCATCTGCAATCTCCCTCCAGGGAATGTTTGTTCCACCTTTGCTTCTGTAATATGCCAAGTAGTTCATTCAAACATAAAAGTATGTTTTGATCCTTGAGGTAATTTGATGTACTAGAAGTATTACTAATGTAATCTGAAGCCTGGAACTGTTGGAGGTGTATGCGTCAGTGTGTCCCAAGCCAATACTCAAGTACATAGGTGTGTGCTATAAACGTTATTACTACTGGAAGGGGAGATGAAAAACAATTACAGGCACAAAATAAGCAAACTGCATCTGAAAGTGACTTCAGTCTTAATACTATATAAGCAGGTCTTAAAGAACCACGGTTTGAGGAAACCATTCTCTCCTCGTCCTGCTCCACGGGATGCAACCTGCATATTCCCTGCATGTAGGAAGGGAGCAGTTGCTGCTCCATCAAAGAGCAGTTGAAATATCGTCCCTTTGAACAAGAAGTCTGACTGGGCTTCTCTGTCCATCGTGCAATCTTTAACAGAGGTCACAGAGGAGCTCTCTGCAGCTGCCACAAACATCTCAGCTGCATGTCTTTGTACTGAATATACTTCCAAAAAATATTTTATATCAAGTCCAGATTCCTGTGTGGAGTGCTTTCTCTTTTGTGAGCTTACACTGAATGCTCTGAAATAGTGAGAACAACCTCAAGAGTTGTGTGTGGACTCCACTCTGGGAATCTTTCATTCACCCACTGACAATGCACAGTGGTCTTCAGCACACGATTCTGCCACGTGTCCCCTAAGGAGCAAATAATTCATGGACGTTCATTTTGCTAGTTTTTTGGGTTTTTTTTCTCCTTGTGTAATTTACATGACTTTAAAATACAAAATCCAGTGATAAAAATCACTCAACCATTTAGTGAACATCCAAAATCCCATAAATCAGGCCAGATGGAAATATGCTATTTACACTGAAGCACAGTAAAAATGATGCTGATATAAATTATTTGTGCCCACCTCACATAATATGCAGATGCCCATCTTGAAATACTTTTTATAGCTCAGTCCTGCATTTATTTTTGAATGTAGGGAGTTTTTTTACTATTATTTGGAAAGTGAAGCCTTCATCATAAACAATCTTTCTGTGCAAGTTTTTTGGCAGCCAGTGAGATCTGTGAGTTACAACTTTACGAGAGAGATCTTATTTATGGAGTACTTACAGCTGAGATTGGGTGAGAAGAAGCGGATGAAGCAATGATTTTTTTTTTCCATAAGAGACACCATAAAGTTATAAGGATTTATCTTTTTTTTAAGCAGATACACAATATTCAGCACATTTTGGACATCACCTAGAAAACTCTCTGTGCTTTGAAAATATCTACAGCTTCTTAGAAAACTCTACACTTATTTTATCCCATAAGAAAAAAAACTGTTTTCATATTTAACCTTCTCACACTCTAAGTAACGTTCTAAATGGACTAATCCTTTTCAGGTTGTACGTGTGTGATGCTGGGATAAAAGAAAAACATAGGAAATGATAAACACACCTGAGAACTCTAATGAGATCCTTTAAGGATTGTTAATATGTTTTCATATTTCCATGCCTCACCTGCCTAAGTAGCAAGGGAAAGTTCCTAATCCTCTGCAGTTTCCCATGTCATTGTGGAGTGTGGGCTTGTAACACGATCGTGGCTGTTTTTTGTTTTTAGTTTTTAAACACAACTAAGAGAAACAAAACACGAAAGAAAGACCAGAAAATTGCCAGCACCAATTCATTTTCACCCCACAAAGGATGAACATTTACTTCACTAACTGCAGCTGTGTTCATCAGCATCACTCTGCTGTGAAAACATTGGTGTTTCCAAGCAATTGTGGAATATAGGATGTTTAATTTCTCTCGTGCCAAGCCATTTTCTGACTGCATGGGCTTATACAACCCTTCGTATGATGTTCAGCCAATGCTGCTTCGCCACTGATTCAGACAGCACTTGGCTGATTGATAACTTCTTTCTCTTTTGCTGGGTTGCGCTCTATTAAATAATGTTAAAAGTAAGCATTTATCTTTAGTAACTTTCAGTTGAATGAGAGCTAACTCCTTTTAGCCAAGTTTGGCTAGAAAAATTAGAATTATCCTACTATCAACCATAATTTCAGTTCTTTCTTCAGAAAAACCCAAAAAGGGTTTTAAAACTGATTTGCCCATTAAGATAAAAAAAAGGAATACCATTAACTACTACTAAGAAAACAGTGCTAGGTGCTTGTGTCATCTCTCTGAAGTCAGTGGGACTGAACAGGGCTATAAATACTCCCCATAAAACTAGGATCTCAGGAAGTGCACTCGCGAATCCAGCTGAACTGTACTGCAGCCAAGGCTAACCACTTTGAGGTATGTGGCTTTTAACCTTTAGCGTGCACGGGTCCTTTTTAGCAACGAAAACAATTCCAATAGTTCTGAAGAAAACAGCCACAGAACAAACAACCAAAACACAGATGACAGAAGTACTCGTTTTGAGGCTTAATGAATCAACAAATAAAAAAAAAAGTCATTTTTCAGTTCTCAATTACAAATGATGATTTTCTCCCTCTTTAAATATGTTTAAATACTTGAATAAAGATGAAGAAAATTATGACTGAATGTGCCTAGCCCTGTTTGAACTGTCTTGGCTGCCATTTTCAATTGAAGTGACATCCCTGGTTTTGAACTTGTACCATTTAAAAACTGTGAGAGCCAAGAAATTGAATTAAGTTGTGCCTCTGGGATTTCAGATAAGTCCAGAATGTTTTTTCAAATAACACATTAGTTCCACAGCTCTATTTTAAAATTAAATGATGGATAACTTGTTTTAACGCTCAAACATATGGCCCTCAATCTTCCAAGATGTCTGTGCATATTTCATGTTGTGCAAGAGTCACTCTACGGAACTTAATAGGACTATTCACACAGTTGACATTAAGCACATATGCAAATCTTCGCAAGACGTGATTATAATAAGCCAATTTCAGTGCAAATCTAAGTATAAAGGGCTTAAAAGCTGAGGTCAAAATAAAAGAACTTGCACAAGTGTCATAATGAAAGAATACCAAAATGCTGAGGAGAAAATATGCACTAAAACCTTCTGATAAAATCCAAACTATGTTCTCATATAGAGAGGGAAATTAGGCAGTCAAACTGCTCATTGCAGTAACTGAAATAATTTTACTTACTGTGAAACTCTTTCCTCAACAGTCAACTCATTTGCTGAGATGTCTATTTTATAGATTTTTTGTTGTTCTTTATGGATAGGATTGTGCTTTTCCATAGATGCACTTTGGGGGCGAGATGGGATTTTATGTAAAATGATACGCTTTATTTATCTCCAATTTCTTTTCATGCAGTAAAAATATATATATGTATATATACATATTTAATATCCTTGAGTTCCGATGTGTTAACAGTAGCTTCTTCAAGAAGTAAACACAGAAATGAGTACTGAGAAGTTTTGAAATGTAAAATCCGTCATAACGTTACTGTTCTGCATTAAGTGAAACTTTTCCCATGTTCTTAAAGCTTCACATCCCGGTCCAATTTGAGTACTTTGCAGAACAAGATTGTCACGGAATGCTTGGCTGCTCTGATATTTCACACTTAACATACAATGAAAGACAAAAGATCCTATAGTTGTAACTGAGGGAAAACTACATTTTTATCTTTGAAAACAATTCTATATTCTATTTATAATTCTATACGTTCAGATGCCAATATTATGCAATATTCTGTATGACTGTAAGTGGGAAGTGCACACGCACAAGTACATGCTATGCTCTGTAAGCATAGGAGACTCTGGAGCTCCTATCTCATCACTTATCTCAGTGGCAAGCACAACTCCTTCCTCATTCATTCCTCTCTGTCCCTCTCTCTAACCTTCCACCTTGTCACACCTCTGAACGTCAGGAGGCCATCTGGACCCGAAGTATCACACTAGAAAATAATGCAGACTCTCATTAATCCCATCATTTGTCTGACAGTGTTGTTTGGGTGCAGAGCAGCAGGGATTAGGCTTACATGCTCTCTGGGAGAGCTGCGCTAACTGGTGCCGGCGATACTGTCATGTGGTTTTGATGTTCCCACGCGCTTCCTGCAAAAAGAAATACCGGGTGAAGGATGAAGCACTCTCATAAACTCAGGGCAAGGATCTGGCCAATCCCAGGGGCCTAAAACAGGTCCCTCACAGCTGCAGCTGAGCTCGCAGGCAAATCCCAAACCCAGGGACCGTCACAGAACCCTTAACTGGAGCGCCCCTGGGATCCCCAACCCAACGTCGCCCCCCGTTCCCGCTGCCCGCGTCCCTCCGTGCCACGTTTCCTGAGTTCCGAGCTCCTTCGGGGACGGCGACCCCCCCACCCCCGGGCAGCCCGTCCCGATACCCGACCACTCCGATAATAAACTTGCGTCCCGTCATTCCCCCCCGCCCCTCCCGGCCGCTCAGAGCCAGCAGCACAGCCGGGAGGCGGACGCCTCCCCCCGCTCGCAGCCCCTGGGGCCCTCCCGCTCCTCTCGGCCCGGGGGTGGGAAGGCACCGGGAGGGGCGGGCGGTCTCTGCCCGCGGGCTGGGGGGAGCGCAGCGCGGCAGCCCCCTCCCCCGCCGCCTTCCCTCACCGCTCGGCCGGGGCCGCACCGCCGCCACCGCCTCCATTTTGTGCGTGTCCCTGCGCCCCCCCCGCCTCTCCTCACACAGCGCGGGAGCGGCGCTGGAGGGAGCGGGGCCCCGGGAAGGGGGGGAGCCGGGGGTGGTGGGGGGCGAAGCGGCGGCGGAGCGGCATGAGAAGGCGGCGCTGAGGAGGCGGCGGCGGACGGAGCGGCCGGACCGACATCTTGTGCCCTCCCCTCCCGCCGCCGGCTGGGTGAGCCCCAGGGGGGAGGGGAGGGGGAGGCGGATTTAAAGGAAAAAAAAAAAAAAAAAAAAAAAAAAAAAAAACGAAGGAAAAAAAAAAAGCACCCCCCTCCCCCCACACCACGGAAAAAGAAAGAAAAAAACCCCAAAACGATAAGGAGGCGGCGGTGACGGCGGAGACCGCGCGCGGAGACGCCGAGGTAACGCGCTGCGCGGGCCGCGGCTCCCTGCCCTCAGGGGTCTCTGCTCCCTCACGCAGCGCTGCGCCGGGGTCGCGGGAAGGTGACAGGGTAGGCGGCAGGAAGGCCACTGTGCCGCGGCTAGAGGAGCTTCCCGCTCGCTCGCCGCGCGGAGGGAGCGACCCGCGGCCCTCACCGAGCGAGGGGCAGCGGCGCTGAGCGCGGGAACGGGTATCGGGCAGCACTGCGTCCACCGGCCCCCCCGGCCGCCATCTTGGCTGCCTCTCGCCGCGGCGCTAGAGGTGGCTCCACCCACCTTCTCCCACGCTATTGGCCGAGCGCGCCCCGTTTTAGCCCCGCGGCGCTGTGCGTTGCTATTGGTAGCGAGGCTGGGACGGGCGTTGGCGGTAGCCAATAGCGTCCTGGCTTTGGTGTGCGCGCTCTGTCGCTCTTTCCGGCCGGGTTCTATTGCTCGGGGACTTTTTTCGCTCCCTGGGGAATGGCGGGCCGCGGCGCTATGGGCCCTCTCACAGGCGCGTTCGTCGCTGTGTTTGTGCCCGCTCCGTGCCCTGTTTTGACTCTATCGGTGCCAGCAAGGTTGCTGTGGCCCTGACAGCGCTCCTGAGAGGAGCTCTAGGACAGCACCTGCCACAGGTTCCTTCAGAGAGCTGCTTAAACCCAGGCCGCTTCTTACACTTCATCCAAAGCCTCACACGACGCCCGGCGTGTGCCACATCTCTGCCCGATGACAGAAATGTGGAGGGATTCATAAAGTGTGTGTGGGTATCAGAGAGGAGAGTGGGCCTTCGGCAGCCCTGCAGCGTGTGTTGGTGGTGGAGCCTGTGGAAAGTGCAGCCGTGGAGTGTAGCTCTGTGCTTTGGGTTGGGGAGAGAGGAGCCTGGAGAGGAGACAGCTGCTGCAGGCTGTTCATTTCCTATGGCACTGTTGATTCAATTTCATGGATGTGTTTCTTCAATACTTCTGCAGGTGTTTGTTCCTCCCTCCCTCCAGAGCTAAGGGGTGGGAGGAGGAGAAAATCTCCTGAGCCTGTGTCTGCTCCGTGCAGACACTGGGCTGAGCCTTACCTAAAGCTGAGCTTAGGGTCCCTTCTCCCTGTGTGACACTGAGATGTTCATCGAGGAGGGACCTTGCTTTTTCTGACATCCACATAGAATCATGGCTGGAAAAGACAGATTCCTAAGTCCAACCCCAGCCCATCCCTACCATGCCCCCTAACCATGTCCCTCAGTGCCGCATCTCCACACGCCACGATGGAAGCTTCCCCAGCATCGCTGCCTTTAGCTGCAGCCTTGTGTCTTCCAGAGGCTCGCAAAGACTCCTGTTGCCAGTGAGAAAATCATTGTCTGCCAGCATGGGAAGGAGAGAGGTTGAAGGAGGCTGAGGTCTTCTGAGGTGTGACTGGATGCTTCTGGTCCTCGGTGCAGCGTTGCACAAGTGTGGATCACAGCAGTATTTAGCCCTCCTTTTACAGGATCCACTTGTGCAGGATTTTTCCTGCGTTGCAATGATATTTGGTATGTGGATCTCTCACATTTTTTTCTGTGAAGCTATCTGTAGTAAATTTAAGCCTTCTGATGGGGCTTGTTTTTCTTAGCTCCTTTTTGCAGACCCCAGGCATCTATGCGCCACAGACATGAAAACTGCTGCTCAGAAGAAGTGAACCATTTCAGAACAAATTCGTGGGATAGAATTAAATTTAGCTCTGGCAGCTTTTTGCATTACAGCCCTGTTGTTCGTTTAGTTGTGCTCTCTAGGAACCTATCCCTCTGTTCCTGGCGTCACACGCAGTGAAAGTGGATTGTGGGGTATTCTTGGAAAGCTTTGAGCACACTGGTGACAGCAAGAGGACAACTTTTTGAACTTTTTGCTTTTATATCAACAGCATTTGTCCATGGTAGGACAAAAGCAGCATAGGCTGAAGGAGTGTTTAACCCTGCTGAAGTCAAGGCAGTTTAGCATTTCAGCGTGCACAGATGCTGTTTGCAGAGAGATTTTTTGTATGTGGCTGGGGAGGTGTTTTCAAGTATGCTGAGAAAATCATGACATTCCTGGATTGCTTCTTAGAAGTTGCTGTGTTGCAGACAAGGTCACAGGGTTTCATCTTGGCATGTCTGAATTTGTTTTATGGCTGCTTTCAAGGCTTTCTGGAGGTGGGTAGTTGTGTCTCTTCCTGATATCCAGATGCCTTTCAGAAATGAGCTGGAATTCTTATCCCAGGCACTGAGTGAGTTCTGGCTGGCAGCAATTTCAGTGCCGTTTTAGATGCTTCTATGTATTGTTAAGTAGTTGTGTAGCTTTGCATATGGGTTGGTTTAGAGCAGCCAGTTACTGTGGTAAAAAGCCCTCTTTGGCTAATTTCTCTGGACAGTAAACTGACTGTGTCTCTAAAGCTACTACAAGAACACCGTACTCTTGGTTTTTCTATCAGCAGGTAAAATAACGCTTCCTTGCAGCGCTGGTTTGGCTGAAATTTGCTCTTCTCTCAGCCAGTCATCAGCTAATGTCTTGTTTTTCCTGAACACAATGTTAATAATGGCTGTGGTCAGGTCATTCCAATTGCTTTATCCTCCAGTGTCTTTATGTTCATGAAACTTCTTGCATCCAGTATCTTCTTCGGTTACACCAGTCAGGTTATACCCAAGCCATATGTCAGCAGGATTTTCTTGGTTTTCCATTTGTTGACCAAGCTGCCTTTAGATGCTGGTTATAGAACTTCTTTTCCTACTGTTTGAAGCAACTGAACTTGTCTGTGACCAGTACAGCTGCATTTCTGCAGTATGCAGGTCAGAAAGATCCTGAAAATCCCAGTGTCTATGTTTACAGGTGGGAATTGTCATCTCATATTTTACATCTGAAAACAAATGATGCTTTCAGATTATCATTACAGGATTGCTGAAAGTGGCACCTGCAGCTTATTTCTGTGGGTGCAGAGGAAATTTTGGACTCCTTTTCCAAAGCTGGTTTGTTTCTTAGTGTAAGTGTCATCTCATGGCAGACTCATGGATAAGAGCAGCAGTGCTTTCAGGAGAAGAGTGTCTCCAGGAATCTGTTACTCCTTTCTGGAATAACTTCATGAATTCTTGCAGGCACTGATCCATGAGGTGATGCTTGCTTTGACTCAGTTGATGTTTGTGAGGTTAAGTCCATCATGGAGCAAAAAATAATGTGACAGATAAATACAAATGCTTTTTCTTGTCTGCAGGTCCCACAGAAAGGGGCCAAAAGTGCTGTGCTCTAAGGGTGAGGTGCTGGTTCAGGCCCCTGCATAGCAACAGATAAGCTCTGGGCTGACTTATCTTCTTGGGGAGATCTTACATTTACGTTTCTTCTTTTCAGCTCTCTCTTTCCTTGGCCTGTCTTGTTACTCTGCCTAGTTCTTTCTGTGCTTTGCACTCTCATCCCTGACTCTGCCGTCCCTTGCATTACTCACTTGGATTCCTCTCCACTTTCCCTCTTTCACCCTCGGATCTCTGGGATCCTGCCGCTGCCTTTCCATCCTTCTTCAGCTCTTCTTGACAGCTCAGCTTCACCCTTCGTTGTTGGGCAGCTCCTTAATGACTGGAACTGACTCTCAAATGATTATCTTTGTTGCTGATTAGCAGTTTGTGAGGGCAGAGCTGGCTTGGGCTTTTAGTTAAGGCTCCACGTGAGCAGCACTGCACAGTTCTCAGAACAGCTTTGTCTAGATGGTGTCTTGCTGCTTTCCTGCTTATACCCCTGTGGATCTTGCATGCCGAACCAGCTCAGGGGCCTGAACGTGGATTGTGGCTTCAGAGGGGCAGATGCTGAGCCTTGTAAGTCCATCTGGATCCATATTGCTCATTCCCATACTCGTTCCCTTTTACTTCTTTGTAGATCCTGCCAAAGAGAAGAAAGGATGTGCATCTAGCACCCATTGCATTGCTCAGTTCATCCTCTGGTTCTTCACAGGCTTTTCTAACCCATTTTGCATGATGTGGAGAACATGGGTTAGCTCAGTGCACATTCTGTCTGCAGGATGGTGTGAGAAACCAGCTACAACTTCAGGAGAAAGGAAGGCAAAGCTGGTAGATGGTTTTTTGACCATGGAACTCTTTCTCAATGTGGGTGAAGGAAGAAGTGGCAGTGGGATGGAGATATGGGTGAACTTCCCTCTGAACTGAGGGAGCACTGCTGGTGTACGTTCTCATGTGGAGCTCAGCTAAAAAAAGAAAAGAAAAAGATTGGCAGGGGGCACTGCTTTTGTAGGGCAGGAGGAGTGCTTTCCTTTAGGTCTGGAAAACCAGATCTAATATTTAGCTCATTATGTGTACTGCTGGGAACTCACAGGCAAAAGAACAGAGAGAAGAACTCCTTGGCCTGTGTGAACTAAACATTGAATGCTGCAAGCAGGTTTAATGAGTACTGTCTGCATTTCT